TTGACAATTGCAATTTTTGCATTTTTGATCCTACAAAAAGTTGCTTAGACTAGTGCGCCTAAAATCGTTTACCTAGACATTCTTTTGTCCTTTGCCACAAGTACCACAAAGTCACGAAGTTTCTGTTTCCTCTCCCCTAAGTGAGGTCAGTCATCTTTATGAGAAATTAGTGAGTTTGACAGCGAGGAAAATATTGAAGATACAAACTACAATTTTGCAGGTGTGGTTGAGTAGAGGAGGTTATACTTACCAATCCCTAAGTTATATTTTATTATGTGACTCCAATATACAGTGAGTTGCCAAATATTAGAGATAGTTTAGTTTTTTGTAATTTTAAATTTTAAATAGATTTAATGAATAAATACATAACATGTAGTTTGTTTGTTTTTTTTATCGTTTTTATTATTAGAGGGATTTATCTAGAATATAAAACAACATAATTACTTGTTCGTAGCTTTTTTTTAAATGTGTTATATAACAATATAGGTAATTATCTTAATATTTTATGTATTTTTACCCTTTGCTACGATAAAGTCTTTTCAGCGTCGGAGCATACTTTCTATCAGACTTTTGTGTTGTATTAAAGATATTAAAATTGAATTTAATAGGATTAAAATTGTTATGTCGGGTTTTGTGTTGTATTAAGGGTTGTTATGTCGCTCTCTAATACAGATTTACATTATTTGCTAAATGGTAGTGATGGTTTCTTTAGCAATTTCTTGTTTTTTGAACTCCCATAGATTTTATATGGTGAATGTCTCTGCGAAGGTAAAAAATGCACATTTTTTTCAGCTAGGAATATAGTAGCATTTCTAGTTTTGTGGCACGATGCTAAGCTGTGCATAAACATATACTCTTCATTACCAGGAACCATTCTTAGGCTTAAGGGAGGAGCCTATTTTTCAATACCCACTTGTACTGGTTATGCTTCATGGTCTTTTTCACAAAATAGAGAAACCCATAGGCTTGGCTGAGACCACGCAATTATACTCACAGGTAGTTTAATATTTTTCAAAAGGCAGTCCTGGTGGAATTTTTCTCCTGAGCGTTGTCGGACAAATTAGCTTTTGTCCACCAAAGTTTGAAATGTTGACTCGTCCAAAAATCAGACCTGTAAAATCAGACCTGTAAAACATTACTATAACTATTAGGAACGTACTCTTGTCAAATCCCTATTTGTTGAGCGTTGAGCGTCCTTTGCGTCCGCAAACTCGAATTTCTAGGAAATAGGCAAAATGGGATATATAGGGATTTGCGCAGCGGTGTGCACATACATCGGCTGATTTTTAGAGAGAACATGCAACGGAGTATGCAAAGTTTGGGGTAGGCAGGTTCTCTTTTAAATGAAGTTGTTTTTTTTTACATTTTCGGACCTTAAGGATAGCGTTGGAATAAGGGTTTGACAAGAGAGCCTACCTAACTATAAAGTTTTTCAGGGTTTTATTAAAAAAAATTTTTTAAGTAATCTTAATATTTTTATTTAAAATATTAAAAGTCATAAATCCAGTTTTCCAATACTCATATTCTGGTGTTTTCTTACTAACTCCAGTTTTTTTAAAAAATAGCTTCAGCTAAATGTGTTTTTTCTGGCCAAACGTGGTTTTTTCCAAACTTTAACTTTTTTTTAATTCACTTAAACTCTAAAACAACAACAAATCAGCTAAAAAACTACGCCGCCTAAAAGAATTATCATATTACCTTTACTTTTCCAATAAAAATTTTTTTACGATAACTAATCGAAAGCTATTTACACCTTAAACCATAGATCATCCAGGTCATATTTTGTGCAGCCGTAGCGCAGTGGTAGCGCACTGGCCTTAAAAACAAAGGATCCGTGGTTCAGACCCCACCTTAGAGCAAGTTTTGCGAAACCGGTTAGGAAGGAGGCGTGAACTTCCTATTAAGTGCTCATCCGTGGTGCTCTGTGACAACAACCGTGAGGACTTCTTGTGGCACCTAAATGAAGTTTAGGTGCGTTCGACACAATAGATCATGAAATCCAACTAAAAAAGTTGGAAAAATACGGATTAAAAAACCATACACTACAGTGGTTTAAAAGTTACTTGTATAACAGACAACAATGTGTTATTGCAGATGATAATTACCACACTAAATTATTAAAATTAACTTGCGGTGTTCCTCAAGGTTCGACTCTTGCTCCTCTTTTGTTCCTAATCTATATAAACGACCTTCCAAATGTTTCTAGTAAACTTGAATTTACAATGTTTGCAGACGATGCAAATTTATTTTATTCTTCGACATACATCAAGGATCTGTTTGATAATGTAAACATAGAACTCCAAAAATTAAATATATGGTTTAAAACAAATACGTTATTCCTAAACATAGAAAAAACAAAATACACTTTATTTCATTCAAACCAAAAAAGAAACACACTACCAAATATTCTACCCTCTCTAAAAATAGAAAATATAGTAATTGAGAGAACTCACGAAACTAAATTTTTAGGATTTTTAATTGATGAAAATTTATTTTGGAAAGCTCACATAAATGCTTTAAACACTAAAATATCAAAAAACATAGGTCTACTTTATAAAGCTAAACCTATGCTATCGCAAAATAACTTAAAACTTATATATTTCTCTTTTATACATAGCTACCTCATATATGCGAATATAGCTTGGGCGAGTACGCATATAATCAAATTGAAAACTTTATACCGACGTCAGAAACATGCTGTAAGACTAATCTACCTTAAAGACAAATTTACACACGCTGCACCTTTATTTAAAGAAGTGAATGTGCTTAACATTTATCAAATTAACATTTACCAAAATATATTGTTTATGCTAAAATTTAAATTAGGTAAAGTACCAAATCATTTTTTAAATAACTTTTTTATAAATAACGTAACAGAAGAGAAACAGGAAACTTTATTACATCTTTCGAAAAAACAAAACTTTCCCAGTTCTCAATATCATATCGGGGTTAATTGATACAACAAACTAGTAACTAAAAATAAATCAATTTGCAATCTAGATAATCAAAATTCCTTAAGAACAAAGTTGAAAAATCTGATACTGAATCTAAACAGATACTCTGAATTCTTCTAAGATTATAAATTAAATTACATATATATCAACTGCAAAGTGAACTGACTCGTTTATGTGTATTATCTAAATGACTCTTACCTTTCTCAAACAATATATCAAAAATTGTTTATTAAACACAAAAAAAAAAAACACTTGATTTTTCTTATCAATTTTAGTTATTATGCTGCTTGTTATGTTTAATTTTTTTTACTGAGCTTATTTTTTATTATGAATTTAATTTAAAGATTATAAAAATATAGTTGTACTTAATATATAATTATATTTAACATAATCATAATATATCAAACACATTGTAAGGGCTTTGTGATAAGATCATTACAATCTTTTTGAAGTCCGGCCTGTACTATTTAATTACAAATTTCACAATATATTTGACTCACGAGACTTATAAATATTATTTAATAAACACCTTTAATTTACGAAACTTGTAAATGTTATATGTACGGCAAATATAAGAATAAAAAAAAATTTAAAAATTCAGAAAGCCGTGGCGCAATCGTAGCACACTTGCCTCAGAAACGTAAGATCCGTGGTTCAAACCCCGCCTCTGGGCAAGTTTTGCGACATCGGTTGGGAAGGAGGCGTGAACTTCCTATTAAATGCTCTTCCGCGGTGCTCTGTGATAAGACCGTAAGGACTTCTTGGGGCACCTAAAATCAACATTAAAAAAAAAAAAATTGTTTGGGTAGAATATTCGGAAAAAATCCGAAATATATTTTCCTGATAAATTTGCTTTTAGCAGAGTTGTTTCTATTTTTTTCCAAACCTTTTACAAAATTTGAATGAGAGTGATGAAGAAAAAGCTTAAAAAACAAAAATATACACCTAAACTTGTATGCATGGAAAACGTTTTAAGTATCCGGAAAAACTAAAAGTTAGGAAAAAAATCTGAAATTATCGGGAAAAAGGTAATCCCTGTTAAACGCAATTTATTTTGCCAACTTAAGTTTCGTTACTAAATGAAAAATTAAAAGGTATTTACTAAATTAAAAGACATCTAGAGTCCTTTTACTTTCATTTTTTTTAAATCATCAACAAAGTTGTTTCATTACGGTTGTTTGATAGGCTTTGATTGTCTAACCTAATTTTTATTAACATGTAATGAACCTGTAATAACGATGTTTTTATCATAATTCTTGACATTTTTGGAAGTAACGATATAGTTACTTTGGCCGAAGCTAGCTTGAAATTAATAAACTATTATGTCTTCTCTTTAAAAAAAAAAAACCTTTTTATTATTTGATCAAGATTCACTAAAGCAAAACACCGTGGCATCCGACAAAAACTGCCTCACACCCACCTCAAAGTTACGGGGGGTATCAATGTGAAAGAAATAAATTACTTATTTTTTTTACTAAATTTATTCATCGAGAGATTTCCGATTTTAACTTAGCGATCAAAAGTTAAAGTTGTAAGTAAAGTTTATAAGCCATAATTTAAGGGAGAGACAAGCTTTGGAGCATTTGTTTGCAGGCTCCGACTACTTCAATTTTTTAAAAAACATTTTAATTTAACACAAGTACAAACATACCCAGGCTATCACGATTAAAAAAAACTGCCCTGCTCGCTGTCTATCCTGCTCGCTGTCTGGCCCACCCTAATATGCAATTACAGAAATACGATAAACCAGCAACAGTAAACGTTGCATGTAAATGTTCATGTATTATCATGTTTATTAAAGTCTTTTATGGTAAACATGTTTCATGATAGACAACTTTTGTATACTTTAACACAGAAATAAATAAAAGTAATTATTATTATATGCTGCCACAAAAGCATTTTTTTAGTTGTAAAATGAGAAAAATATGTAAACAGTCTAAACCTATTATAATAAATCAAACTATTATAATAAATTATTGTATAAAATGAATTAAAAGTTATAAAGTAAAAATTTGCCAATTTGTTTTTTAAAGTTAAAAGCAAATATAATTGCATTATTAAATTTTTAAAATCATTTTTACAAAGGAAGAGGCATTTCTTTGATTCTGTCACGTAGCTCTGTAAAGGAGCTATCATAAGCGTCATCTTTTTTAACCAAAACAACACAAGTTGCTCTTTTCGTTTGACTTGCTAAACCCAAGTCTATTCTTGCTGGCACAAAGCAGTATGGTAGTTTGTTTTCTTCACACATAACAGGCATGTGTGAATAAACATCTAATGGTGATACGTCGCCTGCAAAAATAACAATACCTTTTTCTTTTTTGCGTATTGCCTTTAATACTTCTTTTACTCCTCTGCGAAGCTGTTTTGCTTTTGCCGCCTTTTTTACAATCTTGTAAATTTTTTTTGTCATTTTTTTACTAGCAAGAGGTTTTGCTATAATATTCATTTGTGTAATAAGCTCTTCATAGTTCGGCCTTTCCAACTTTGAATCATCAATTGCAACATCACCATTTTCAACTGTGGTTTCTTCCTCTTTTTTTGCTTTAACCATGTTTTCAAAGTCACTAAATAAAAAATTAATATTTTTTAAGATGCATAAGAATATATAATTGAAAACAAATAAATGCATCAGTCACAATACAAATATTAAAACTATTTAAATAGTTAAATAAATATCATCCAGACGCAAAAAGTGACCTGGGAATTAAAAAAAAAAAAGATGCTGAAATGAATTGACTGAAAAAAAAATATATATATATATATATATATATATATATATATACACATACATACATATACACTATAGCTTATATAGATATACATTTGCCGACATTTTTTTTGACTTCTAAGGTTATAAGGTGGGCAGACTTTAAAACCATAAAACCTTTATTATTTTTTAATTAAAAAATGTATGATACAAATACTTAAAGTAGTTTTATAAAAGTACTATAAAACTAATATACAAAAAGCTTGGGCATTAACTATACAGATTTGAAAGTCACAAAAAGATTACTTTATCCTAGTTTTTGGTTTCCACGAGCTCTAAAAATATAAATAAGTTTATGGACTACTAATAGGAAAACAATTAGAACTTTTAGGTTAGAGGAACAATCATTTTTTGAACCCGGAGTCCTTAGGTATAATGGCGGCAAGGACACTGGGCTTAAAAAAAAAAAGTTCGAAGTCATTAAATCTCATGAATTTTTTTCTTATAGCATATCAAGTCAACAAACATGTTTAGAGCTTCTGGACACTACCAGGGTTGCCACTATAATTTTAAAAGTTTTTTCCCAAGTTTTCCCTGAGTATTCCCTGAGTAAAGAACATTTTTCCTTGAGTTGAACTCTTTAAGTTCCTTGAGTTTTCCCTGATTTTTTTTATATTCTTTCCTGTTCATCAACAAGATTATTATTTTCCTTAATTAAACACAATCTTTGTATTTGACAAACTAAAACTTTTAAAAAAACACCCACATCTTGCAAACTTATTATTATATGTATTAGCAAAATATTTTTGAAAAAAAAAATTATTGTACAAAATTTCAAAAAGAAAAAAAAATTTCCCTGAGTTTTCCCTGAATTTTATGAAAATTTTAAAAAATCCCTAAGTTTTCCAGGTTTTTCCTGGGATTCATGGTATTTCCAGGTATTCCAGGTTGAGTGGCAACCCTGACTATAGACTTGGAAAAAGAGATATAAAGCCAGAGTCCTTTTGGGACTCTGCATCCCTGATATATATATATATATATATATATATATATATATATATATATATATATATATATATATATATATATATTTATATATATATATATATATATCAACTTGTTTCTCCGCGCAGCGGCCTTGTTCATCAAGGTTTGTGTTTCGGAGTTATAGAGTTGAGAAAGGGTTATAACCACTATTAAGAAGCCTCCTCGTCTGTAGTGGCCTTCTCGGCCTTGAGGAGGTGAATAACAAATATATATATATATATATATATATATATATATATATATATATATATATATATATATATATATATATATATATATATATATATATATATATTAGCAGCCAAAAATAATAATTCTATTTTTTGTTTTAAAACAAAAAAGAGTGGTAAAAATGCAAATCAATAAAATAATAAGTTATATTAGTTATTATCTTTAATGATTTTTTGTGTTTATACTAATTGTTACTATTAATCACAAAAAAGTATTTACAATAATAATTTTAATATTTAAAATGAATATATATATATATATATATATTATATATACATATATGTATATATAATATATGTTTATATATATATACATATATGTATATATAATATATATGTATATATATATACATATATGTATATATAATATATATATATACATATATATATATATATATATATATATATATATATATATATATATATATATATATATATATATATATATATATATATATATATATATATATATATAATATTATTATTATATATATATACACATATATATATATATGTGTATATATATATATATATATATATATATATATATATATATAATATATATATATATATATATATATATATATATATATATATATATATATATATATATATATATATATATATATGCTCACAAAAACAATTTCCAAATAAGGTTAGTGAAAAAGCTTAGAAAATAAGCATAGCTTTTTTTAGTTAGTTGACTCTAATATATGTATATATATTCTTAGCATTTTAAAAAGGTCTATATGCCTACAATATGAACAAAGTTTAATATAATAAAAATATACTTATAATTTAAACATTGGTATTTTGGGAAAGCCTTTTAAGTACACGTTTGCTTAAATAATTTAGAAGGTCCACTGTAAGAAACGCCAGACTTTATTTGCTGTGCGTTTTGAAACACTCAAAAATAAACTTTAAAAATATATAATATATTTTAATATATCAACCACAAAATTTTAATAACGTATCGCATAAAGTATTAAAACATAACATGCTTTCCGAAATGTCTGATTTAAGTGGTTAAACGAGTCAAACATGTGCCAAGTTTTACTTTAGACAATTCGTTAGATAAACGAATAAAAAAGAATAGATTATAGAATCAGTTATTAATTAAACTAACATATGAATTAGGGATTATTCATTAATTGAATCGGTGAAAAGAAAAACAGTACAAGTTCAATATTTTCATTTCGAGATAATCAATGTTTAGGTATTGTTCTTCGACTAGTTTAAATCTACTTTATGGCAAAAAATAATGAAAGAAAGATGGACTAATATTATTTTTATATTACATAGAGAAATCAACATAAGTTGAATGAAATCATGAAAAAAAGTGCAAATAACAAAAATTGACTTGTACTGTTCTTCTTCTCACGGATTCAATTATATTAGCAAAATAGGGGGAAAGGGAGGGGTCTGAAAATTTTTGACAATAGTTGACAAAATAGTTGACAAAACCAAGGAAGGGGGGGGGGAGGCAGTGGCGAATGGACGTTGTGAGGCGACCAGGGAAATGAGTGAGGGCAACAGGGGTTTGGGTAAAACATAAAGCCCTAAAAACATTTTTTTTTTTTCACACTTGTGATAAATATATTTTTTTGATAATTATGATATTATATGTGTTTATCATGACTGTTAACTACATCTAAAACACTAAACTATCTGATGATTGAGTTTGGTAAGTTTACTTTGGTTAATAATTAATTGTATAGACGTCACAAGTCCGTATGATGTTCTTAAGACGTACAACAAACGTTCTGTGCCATCTGGCAACAAAATCTTTCAGGAAAAAAATTGTATAAAATCAGGAAAGCAAATTTCTCTTTTAATGCTTGTTTTCAGTAATATATATATAGTGTAAACTTATTTTTAAATAACCAAGTCTTCGCAATAATATTTATGTATCTTTTTTTTTTTAACGATTAAAAAAAACGTTAAAAAAAAAAAAAAAGTTAAAAAAAATTGATTATCGTTAAAAAAAAAAAAATACACTTAATATTATTGCGAAGACTTGGTTATTTAAAAATAAGTTTACACTATATATATATATATATATATATATATATATATATATATATATATATATATATATATATATATATATATATATATATATATATATATATATATATATATTACTGAAAACAATCATCATAAGAGAAATTTTCTTTCCAGATAGTTTATACAATTTTTTTTCTGCGAAATTTTGTTGCCAGATGGCACAGAACGTTTGTTGTACGTCTTAAGAACATCATACGGACTTGTGACGTCTATAAGGCATTGTATAAACGTCTGTGTCTGCCTTATGTCTGTGTTTGCCTTCAAACTTAATGCTCCAAGCAAGCATAATGAACAGCCATTTTGTACAGCATAGGTTCATATTGCATTATATGAGCCTTTTTGCAAATTCAAATTAATTTTTTTTGTAACTTCAAATAACGGAGCGTTTTTTGAAATTTTTGGGCCCTAATGGCAAGTTGTTGTTTTTTAAAGAAGGAAGGGGGTTCCGACCTAAATTAACTACACATATAATCAGCGCCGTGACTAGTGGCTACGACACTGATTATATATGTGGTTAATTAGGATATAAAAGAGATCCCAGCAGCTGTTTTTATGATTTAGAAAGATAAACTTCAGACAGAGAAAACTTACAATTTGGGTGAGTTTATGCTTATATTAAATGAGTGACTGAAGCCTGGAATAATAAAAACCTTGAAACTAGTTTCCCCATGACTACGTAAAGTTTATAACTTCAGAAACTTTACATGGTCTTTACATTAGTGAATATAAATTTAGTTGAGAATAGTATAAAACTCAGTAAACTATTGGTTTCACTTGTGAGGTCCGATTTTGTTGGGTCTAATTTTTAATAAAGTTAAATATATAGAGACATTTTACACTAATTGGACACAAATAGTATAACCATTTTATTAATATTAAATTTGAGTGATACTGCGTTTATACTGTAGGGGATCATCCATCAAGGACGTCACTTTAAGTTTAACTAATTAAAAAAAGTAGAAGAATGTTGGCTCTTGTACGCAGAGATTTTAAGAGTAATATAGCGCCTTATGTTCAATGAAAATCTCCGCGGAAGAGAACTAATAAACTTCTACTTCTGGTTAATAATTAAATTCTGACTGACGTCTTTTATGGACGACCCCTAGATGAAAAATTTTTTTCAACGCGTTTAAAATGTTATAAACTTCAGAAACAGCAATAAAACAACATAGAAAAGTTGTTTTATATAACACAAGCTTTTCAACATAGAAAAGTTGTTTTACATTAACACAATTTGTGTTAATGTAAAACTTGTGTCACAAGCTTTTTCTATTGACAAAGCTTCGCAGTTTTGTTTTGTTGTTGTTTTATATAACTTTTTATAATAAGAAATTAAAACTCTTTTAAAATAAAACGTTTTTTTTTTTCTGTTTAAACGGGGTATTAAATCTTAATAAGTTTCGTCGTTTCAAGTTTTATATTATTAAGAAGAATTTGTTAATTATGCATCATTAATTAATCATTAATTAATTATTAATTATGGATTGCATGTCAACATGTGATTAAGAAAAGAATCTTAGATTCTTGTATTCTTGTAACAAACCACTACAAAATCATCATAACTGGAAGTTGCTTTCCGAGAATTAAAGTTCTGCTACTTCTAGTTCTAGTGATCTTTTGATATGAAAGATCTTTTGATATGATTTGATAGTTCTTGCGATCTTTTGATATATTCTAGTTATACAATGGTCTGGTAATAAAATATTTTTTAACAAACCACTGTCATTTTACTGCAACTAGATTTATTTCAAAATGCAGATGAAGTATCAAAGTCCTTTTATTATTACGCAGAGGTTAATACCCTAATAACAAAATAGTTATTTCTGTCTTATGCGTAATCCAAGAGGGCACGGACGTAAAAAAGACGTGTTTTAAACGTTTTAAACACGTTTTGAACGTCTTTTAAACTTCTTTTTAACGTTTTGGACGTCCTTTGAACGTTCAAAAGACGTTTTTTTTAGATCCGGTGCCCACTGGGTTGTGCTCATGATTGGGTTGTTTGTGCTGTTATACTTGAGTCGCAAATAGATAAATTTCAGGAAAAAATGTATTTCAATAATGGAACAATTAATTAACCAATTATACCGTTATGCACCAAGTTATACCAAACGTTATGTACCCAATATTACCATACGTTATATTCCAAATACTTAGTCTATGATTTCGAAAAAATTATAAAACGTCTCTCTCCAGGAAGCGATGCACCAAAAATAAGTAATGATAATGGAGAATTTAAGAGATCTTTTTTATGCATTATATTTTAACAAAAATTCTGAAAATTTGTTATTTTTGAAGTTTGTACGACGCATTTCCATGCAATTATTTTTCTCTTTTCTGTAGAAAATCGGACAAGTAGAAAGTCACCTTAAACCCTTATAGTGTAATTTTTAGTGACGTACATTTTTTAACGTGGTGGTAGTCAAAAAAACATGTGCATTTATTTGTAAGTAAAAATGTTAAAACTTTTAGTTTTTAAAAATAAAACTATTTTTAATTTTATCACAAACTTTATTGTATCTTTTCTTAATAAATTTTAATACAATTATTTAGTAACATTATTATCTAATTTATATATAATCATATAATAATTTTAATATAATTAATCAAATAATTGATAAGCATTGTGTATTGACTGCGGAATAGCTATAATTGAAAAGTATCTTTGGATTATTGCACTATAAGACGAGGTCTTACAAAGTTTTTTGAATAGATTCGGCTCAGGCGTACACGCTCATTGAAGCGTGAGTTTTAAACGAGTTTGTTAGAAAACAAAATGCCGAACAAACATTAAAAATGCTGAAGAAGATTAAATGTTTGTTTTAAGATTTTTGCTTATGCTTTGGGGTCCGGATTGTGCACCCAAAAAGAATGAGTGAAACTAGAGGTAAAAATAAAGTTTAAAAAGAAGCCATGAGGCTGCGACTAACACTCAACCAGAATTTTGGTTCAAAATTGTTTGTTGCCTTCATATTTTGCTTTTACGTCCTGATTCGATACAATCATTTTCTCACCGAAAATGGCGAAGGAAATAGTGTTCTTACTAGAAAACTTTCTATGTTTGATTCCGATATAAGAGAAAAATGTAAACCTGCTAAAGGAGCAGTAGATGAGTTTCCTCCAGATTTTATGACTCAGGAGCAACGATACAAAGGCGGTATTATTTTTCATGTTACTGTGACATTTTATATGTTTGGCCTTTTAGCAGTGGTATGCGATGACTATTTTGTACTTTCGTTGTATCATATTTGCTTGCGACTTAAAATGGATAAAGATGTTGCTGGTGCAACTTTTATGGCAATTGGATCGTCTGCCCCAACGTTGTTTATCTCTATTGTCTCCATTTTTTTTACTGATAGTGCTGGTGATGTTGGACTAGGTACTGTCGTAGGTTCAACAATATTTAACACCTTGTTCATTGTATCAATATGTGCTATGGTTACAACAATACCAGCACGTGTTTCTCAATGGCCACTTATGAGAGATTCGTTTGTATATGTTCTTGGGACAATTTCACTTGCAATAACAATTCGAGATAGACGTGTTTATTGGTACGAAGCATGCTTGTTTGTAATAGTGTACATGTTTTATATAGTCATTATATATTTCAACAAAGAACTTGGTGCGGTGTTTAACAATAATGTCAAGCAAGTATGTGGTGAGTTAGAAGATGAAGACTCAGATATGTTGACAATAAATTCGAAAACAACAATGGATGATTTACTGAAACCTTCAGGAAACGAAGAAGTACCAAAAAATCATGATGCGTCAAGTAACAATTCAATGATGGATGATCTTGAACAGTTTGAACACAAACAAGAATCTCCCCTACAAATTCCAGAGGGATGCATTGCAAAAATTGTTTGGATATTAGGTTTTCCTGTTATGATATTGTTCTATATCACTATACCACCGTGCTGCAAAAAACGTTGGTCTGAATGGTTTTTAGTAACTTTTGCAATGTCCGTTATGTGGATGGGATTTCTCTCTTATATTCTTGTTTGGATGGTTGTTATAATTGGAGACACATTTGATATACCTGATTGTATTATGGGAATGACGTTTTTAGCTGCTGGTTCAAGTATACCCGATGTAATGGCATCAGTAATTGTTGCACGTCAAGGAATGGCTGATATGGCATTATCAAATGCTATTGGATCAAACGTATTTGATATGCTGTGTTTAGGATTACCGTGGTTGCTAAAAACAACAATCATGGATCCAGGCAGTTTTATTACAATCCAGTCTCAAAGCATAATGATTTCCACTCTTCTCTTAATCGGTTCTATTGTGTTCACAATTGTAGCAGTTCATTTGAATAATTGGAGATTAGATTTTAAATTAGGGATTATTTTTCTTATTATATACATAGTATTTATAGCACTTGCAACTTTAATTGAATTTTTAGCTTGTCCGTGTCAGATTGAAGATTTTCTTCCAGTCTAAGTAACTTAAGAATATTCTATGAATAAAAAATTTCAATAACTTTTTAGCCCTAAAACAAACTAAAATGAAATAAAAAGCATCGCAAAATTCTTTAATACAAATAAGGGCATTGGGAAAATAATGGCATTGGAAAAAACGAATTTACAGTGGCATCTACTTACTCCAAAAGATTCAAGATAGATGCATCTTAATAGCTTCAACAGATCACACAATGATCACAAAGATCACACAAACTGTAAATAATCAAGAATCAGGGATCTTGAATTAGATACTCGAAACTTGATTACTTTAGACTCAAGAACTTGATTACTTTAGACTCTCAATTACTTTTACCTCAAATGATACGTTTGACTCAAATGTTTGACTGTTTTTAAAATCACAAGCTAGACTTCAAATTTGGCTAAGCAGGACATTGCGTGCTTATGGTATTGTAAAGCATTATTTATATTGTCAAAATTAGTTTTCAGAACAATATTTGTTTTAAAAATATTATGTTTAAAACTTTTGTAATTTTTGCTTACTAATGATTTATGTATTTCACAACGCAGCTTTTTTTTTATTATGTTTATAATTAAACATAATTACGCATTTTTAAGTTATGTTGGCGAGAACATAGAAGCAAGGGGAGTGATTATGCATTGTTAATATGTCCGTTTGCATTATTGCATCTCATAAACTTAAATTTTAAATTTTTTATTTGTTATATTATGAAAAATAATAACATATTCTATAGATAAAAAACAATTTGATTTAGTTAAGAAGATCAAACGCAGTTATGAATTAAAACTTTAAATACATTTTTCTTAGAACAGCAAAAATGGACTTAAGTTTTGTTTTGCAGCGACGATAGATACTTAAAGTTCTGGAGTTATTATTTGTTGTTAAATAAGTCCTTATCAACTTTCCAGAACGACTTTAAAATAATTTGGCAGTTTTTTTTTATAATTTTGTTTACATTGTTTCAGTGTTTTTTATAATTATTTTCGTATAACAACAGAATTGGTTGCTATTTTATTACAATTTAACTTTTAAAAGGTAATATGTAGCTCAAAATAATAGTGCCAAATAAAAAAAAGCCGGGCTTTGTCTTATTTTATTGCTTATATTTTCAGACATGGTGATCACAAAACTGGATGTTCATATATTTTTACGAGAATTTAACTCTAAAGCTCAAGCTTAAAATTAAAACAATTTTAAGTTCCAAACGAAAAAAAAGTTCCAAACGAAAAATAGATATGTTTTGTATCAGCAGTGGGAAATTATACTAATTCTTCAATTGTAATAAAAATAATGGAGGATTGCCACCATATTTTTTAATAACAATTTTTTATTACAAAAAAAACCGAACATTAAAGAAATCTAGAGCTAGCAGAATCAATACTATCAGAAAAGCTAATCTTATCTGTTACTCATCTTTTAAAGCAAAAAATCAGGCTAAATAATGCACAACTTCTAGGTCAAATGAGACTAGAGACAGCTGGATATTCAGAGCTTACCCAAAGAAATATAAAAGGAGGATGGGAGAAGACGTATCTTGTTTTCGCCGGCTAAGGCCTAGAAAAAGTATTTTACCAACTAAGATCTTAAAAAAGAAAAAAAATGGTCCTCGTTGGCTAATACTTGCCGACTGCTAACAGCAGATCTAACTTTTGAATTTAATTTTTGTTGAGGGGTTAGATACCACTACGCCCCCCTCCTCGGGACGGTCCTGGGGATATTGCTAAGTTGCAACACCATATTCTTCATCAAAAGCTTCAGTTATTTTACTGAATTGTCTGTTAACTAAGCAAGACTACCCAACACTTAGAAATAAAGCCATTGACAACATTGAATTCTCTAAGAGATGAAAAAACTGCATGTCACCAGAAATTGTATTGACAGGATATTCAGCTAAAGTAAGTTTTCAAACGCTTTTAGATCATACAGCATCTTGTTTGTGCCTAATGCATAAAGAGGTGATACATTTGATCTAGCATCTCTTATACGGCTTACATTGCAACACAAAACGGCAGTCCATATACAAGCAGACTACAACTGATAGTGAAAGACATGTTAAAAATGAACAAAGACCTCTCACATGTCTAATTCCACTTGAACAGGGTCGTCCCGAGGGATGGCGTAGAGGATGTCTAACTTCCCTACAAAAAAAATTTTTTTTTCCGGATAAGTTTGTTGGCAAAAATTTTTTTTTTGGCTTTAGTCGACAAAAAAGATACGTCACCCTTATTAAAATCTCATCGGGACGTTGTTTACATCTATCAATTAAACAATCTTGTTTAATTGATAGATGTAAACAAATAACTTGGTACAACCATAAGCCATCTTCAACAATGAACTATCGTCCACGACAATTTAAATTTTTTAAAAAAAGCATCTGTATCAATAGGAAAAGTGTCTTCTATTAGAAATGTAAATCTAGAACTAACTCAATAGAATAACATAAGTATACTAGTATTCTAGATATCCTTGAAGTAACCATGGTTCGTGGCAAAGTGGCAACTTATTGTTGTTATATAAGTATCAGTTATATTGTTACTATACTGAGTTGTACAGCTAACTTGGTTTTTTAATTATATGATTGATTGACTTTTTTAGGTAGCTAAAGCTACCCATGCTATTACATGCCACAAATTTTGCACAAAATGTTACTACACGAGCATGAGGTTGTAAGAGAATGGTCTTGCTTATTGGCCTGCCCTCTGAAAAGGCACAGGAAGCACGAAACAAAGATTTCAAATAATTTCCATAAAAACTGCTTACACAAATGAAATCGTTCAAAAATAAACAATGACGTGTTAACTATGACGTATTATGCCGACTTTCGTGCACATCAGATCCAATAATCAGCAGCATGAAGCGGTCAATTCAAAGTTCAAAACTTCAAATTTTTCTGGATCCATTCATTAGCAAATATTGATCTTTTTTTCCCCAAAGCTTAACCACTCATGGTAAAAAAAGGAAACGAAATCACTTTTATTTAAAACATTTGTGAAAAAATTCATTCACCTAAGTCCATATCTCCTTAAGTGCATATCTCCTTAAGTGCATATCAATTCATTACAAATAACTACCAAAGTTTGTAAAGTTTATAAGGAATCCCCAAAACAAAATATAATAGTTATAGTATACATTTTTTATTTACTTTAAACTTTTAGATTTTTAGTTTGCGAAATCAAATTTGCAAAATAATTCTAAATCACTGTTGATTCTACTCCCAAAACGTTGCAAATTGACCAACTCTAACTTGTTCACTACTGCTTTTTACCATACAAAGAACTAGTTGAACGGTTCTTATCCTTCGTTCTCAGGCATAATTATTTTGAGTTTTCATGATTAAAATTGTTTTAGCCAGTCATACGAAAACGCCAGTAATATACCTAAAATCTATTCTGGTTTATATATCTATTCTGGTTTACATTGTTAAAGAGATCAGTATTTTTGCAGATACATTACATATATGCCCATATTTTATTGAAGAGCTACTAAATTTTTTAATTTCAAGTTAACATAAGTAAAAAAGTTGTCACTAAATATCACAAAAAAATTGCAATATAAAAACATGCGCGCCCAATAGGAAGTAATTTTAAGCCAAAAAAATATCCCAGAGTCTATCATTCTTTTTTTTTGGAACTGTATTGGTTTCCACTTTCAGAAAATAAGACCTAGGAAATATTTTATCGGGATTCGAGGAAAAAAATGCTTTTTTCAAGAAATTTATAACATTTTCTACAGCAACTCATCAACCCTATCAAAAAGTTTTTAAACCCAAAACACAAAAGACTAGTTAACATTTTATTTAATCATGAGTTATTCTACGATTAAAAACTTTTGAAGTGGACAAAATATAAAAATAAATTTTAAAACAAACATTTTAAAGTAACTTTATTTTGTAATGTTAAAAAATTTATACTGATGCCTTGTGTAAGGTTTATGACTTTATAAGGTTGTTTAAAATTATAGTTTAATTTTATTTTATATAACTGCTTAATTATTTTCTAAAACACGTGAAATCATATTGAGGCTTGATATTTAAATTATATTATATTTATATATGTGAGTGTTCTAAAAACATAAATGTCTCCATTTAAACTTTGAAATGTGCATGCTTACTGATATAAAGAATAACTGACCAAAGCAGCTTCGATAGATAAAGTTTGCAACAACATGACATTTTGTATATTTGGTCATAGAACCGTTTAAAGTCATAATGAATAGTTTTATAAACCACTCTGACCAAAAGCCAAGACCTTTTTCAGGGTATTATCTAGCAATTGATTTCATAAAAGTAGGCATATGGACAAATAAAACACTTAAGGAGATATATTTTCTTTCAACGCAATATATGCTTCCTTGTAAGCATTGATGTGGTTCTTGTACAATATGTCCGAGTTTAAAATAAAACAAGTTTTCTTCACATTGTTTAATGATGTCATTACACACATAAGCATACCTTATTTATCAGGTGCAACATCAAACTCAGATTTAAGAATATTGTCTAATGCTTCTATGTTCTCCAATAGCTTTGAACACTGTCCTCCCTTGTCCAAACTTGTCACTGTGCAACTTTGCTTATTAAGCCTTATTGCTTTATTTCAAACATTGTTATTAAATAAAATGTTTTTGTTTTAAACAGCATTTGATTACCTATTTTATACAAACGGTTTGTATTTCCAGGAAATAGGTGACTGAAGCATCACCTCTTTACACAAACTTCAAGGGTAAGTAGAGGAAGCTGCCAAAATAAATTTTAGTTAGCTTTAACTTAAATGCTAAGTTATGCTTCTCTGTCGCAATCTCTGATAGATCTATCACTTACTTTATGTTGTGGTATTTTCTTTGACATCTTGAACAATACCTATAATGATAAATTTTTTTCTTGTCATACTTAAAGCCCTCTTTGAATGAGAACTTGGTCTTTGTTTCATTTACTACAAAACAAGAATACTTAAACAAACAGATTGAAAATCCTCCTCTATCTATCCCAATCTTTACAATATAATCTAGGGATATTTCTCTCTTTTCCACAAGTTGATTGATTAGCTCAGTCAGCTTTGTTTGCTTATCGATTTGAAGCTCTGCAACGTCAACAAAAAAACTTAGACCACTGTCTTTAATCACAAATTTTTTTCTTAGGTTGGGTTCAAAAATCTCCTTCCTTTTTTTAGTTTCTTTAACACTACAAGCAGTTTCTTTTTGGAAATCACTTAACCCTAATATATTTTTAGATTTCACGAGCTGGCACCTTGCTCTCAGGGGAAAGGGCTTTAGAACCTTTTTTTTCTCTGGAACTTCAACATTAAAAAGATTAGGGCCTTTGTTAGCTAGCCGTATTAAAAAACCTGCTTCCACTTCAGATGGTTCCCGCTTTAGTATTAGAGTATAGAAAAGTTCTGTATCTCTCCCACCTGAAATGTAATATTGTATAATTAATATTGACAATTGTCTAAACCTATATTATAATTTTATATTTCTAGATCTTAGGTTAAAGTATTATTGTACTTGTAGCTTACCTCTAGACCTTGCTGTCTCAAGATTGTGTCTGCAAACCGATATATTTAAGGGATGTGGTAAACCTTGTCCCACTGTACATAGACGTCTCTGGCATACAGATGCGGGTAGGGGATGAGGCAGAATTGTTTCAATGTATACTGGTCTTTTTTTTCAATTTTTGACTAATCCTTGGGAGATTCGTTATGTTCAAAAATCTCCTTTCTAAATTTCCTTTGCATCATCACAAACTGCGCATTCACATGTAGATTGACTTCTAGATTGGGAATTCGTACTATAAAAAACTCATATGGTGTCCCTAAGACTTTTTTTTTTGTGTGAACCTACTTTAATTGGACCTACTTCCTCTAGGATGTGCGTGTTTTGTTTTCTAAATTCCACGAAAATTTACATTTTATTTTTGAGTCTTCATACTTTTGGTAACTTACATATATAATGGTCGTGAAAAGGAAACTCTGTTTTAACTTCTAATATTTTAAGCATTTATCATCTAAAACCAGTGGATAGTCAGAGGGTAATCTAAAAAAATACAGCAATTAAAGCCTTAATTAAGTATTGTTAATTTTTCTCTATCCTTTTTTGTTGTTTATTTATCAGACATGGGTACAATGGTTGCGGATTTGATAGACCCAACTTTGCCAAAGTTTTAGGATCTTTGAACAAAATGACATTTCTTTCTCTAATTGAATATCCGAAATGTATTATAGCCCTCATAAGGTTGAAAAAACGTTTTTATCTTTTTTTAATTTGTCTTTTAACACTTTAAACGTTTTCAATTCAATTTATGTACTTATACAACTCATTAAATTTATGTACTTATACATACTCATTAAATACTTATTAAAAATCTCTTTAACAATAATTTTATAATTTTAATCAATTATGTATATATTTTTAAACTTTATAAGATATAATCTTTGTTTCATTTATTTTATAAGACAATAGGAAGATCTTTCATATCTTTCTGTTGTGATGGTACCCCAAGAAATATAAATAAATTTCTTTTTTCGAAAAATATTTTCTCGCTTGAAAATCTCTTGCCTCGATTACTCGATTAAAATTTAAAAAAACAAACAATTTTTTTGAAATAATTAGTCAAAAAATACTAGTCATTTTAACATGAAATTTAGAACATATTTTGAATATAGTAACAAAATATCAAGCATCTATTACTCAAGGATTAATCGCAGGTGGTTTGGAAATAGCAAAAATAACTCCAATCTTTAAAACAGTAGATACTTTGCGATAATTTGTTACGTTTGTAGTGACCCTACAAACGTAATAAATGATGGTCCAATCTTAGTTCTACCAGTCTTTTCAAAATTATTAGTAAGAATAATGTATAACAAAATGTACACTTTATGATAAGCTCCTGTAATTTTCTAGAAGTCCTGCCTGTAATATATTCAATGTAAAGTTGTACATATTCTGGTAATTAAAAAACTAAAAAAAAATTCTTTTGAGAGAAAATAATTAAGAATCAAAGAATATTTTAGAAATTGCGCATAAAAAACCTTTTTTTTCAACATCTTTACTTACAACAAAACTGCAAGCAACCGCTATAAGAGTTGGAAGTTACTGGTCAAAAAATATGCGGCCGTGGCGCAGTGGTTGGAGCACATGTTTTAGAAACAGGCGAGCCAGGCTCAAAACAAGCTCTAAACATATTTTTGCGTCACGATAAGGAAGGAGGCGTGAACTTCCTGGTTAAATGCACTTCCGCGGTGCTCTGTGACAAAACCGTTACGTCTTCTTGGGGCACCTAAATAACAACAACAACAAACAAAAAAGATGAAATTTATAGAGAAAGATAACGATTAACAGACAACCTAAAAGATTGCAAATTATATAAATTAGGAAAACGAGATGAAGGAAGCAAATTACAATAGACTTCACTTCCTTCATCTTGTTCAAGGAAAGGAACTAGGCGAATAAGATTTTTTGAAGTACTTAGGGACAGTCCCAGTAAAAGGACGAGACTTAATTGAATGACGAGTAAAATGAGAAAGAATTTTAGTAGATGGTATAAGAGACGCTAGCTATTTAGAGCAGTGCCCATTATAGTATTTGTAGAAACAAAAAAGAGAAGCAACATTACGACGATGTGATAATGGTTGGAGGTTGGCTGCAAGAGCAGATCCAACTATGTTTACAATGAGTTTTTGCATCTTGTCTAAAAGAGAAAGGGCATCATTGGAAGATCCGCCCCAGATATGGCAACAGTATTTTATACAAGGACGTGCAAGTTTAAAATGATGCAACTTTAGCAGGTTCTAATTTTGTAATTTATTTGGTATATGGTTTCCAAGAAAGATCAGAAATAAGAGTTAATCCTAGAAGATGAAGGGTAGATGACTCATTGAGTACATTGCCATTAATAAATATAGAAAGATCTAAATTATCGCAATAACTGAATAACTGAAAGAAATTGAGTTTTATCTGAGTTAAAGTACATCCATTGTGAGCCCCACCCACTGTGAGCTGTAGCAGGAGTGGGATTCATTTCAAGCTCAAAAGCCCCCTCTAAGCAATCAGAGAGTGTTGGCTACTTATCAAGACAAGAATAAACGGTAGTACCATCAGTGAATAATGCTACATTAGATGTGACAATTTCTGGGAGATCGTTAAAGTAAATTACAAAGAGTACAGAGCCAAGAGTAGAACCTTAAAAAACCCTTGAAATTGCAGGATATGAAGAAAAGCACTTTCCAACGAGAACAATTTTTATTCTACAATTGGTAAAAAAAGATTCAATAATCTTAAAGATGTTACCTGATACATCGTAAGAAGAGAGCTTATGGAGAAAACCAGCATGCCAAAGTTTATCAAAAGCTTTAGAAATGTCCAGATCATTAACCTTAACATATCTACATTTATCTAATGAACGATAAACCTATTAGTATTTACTGTTAACAAATCAGCAGTAGAACGAGACGGTCAAAATCCCCATTGATAATCAGAAAATATGTTATTAGATTCAATATAAGAGATTAAATGTTTGTTAGTTAAAGATTCAAAAACGTTGCTTATGATAGTAAAAAGACTAATAGGACGGTAGTTAGACGAGTCAAATCGCTCTCCAAAATTTTTGAAAAAATGAATGATGTCGCTTTCCAGCAGGCTGGAAAACAAGATTCTGATAAGCATTTATTAAATAATTTTGAAAGTATAAACAACAGCTCCGGAGAACACTTCTGCAAGACTATGATAGGTTTGTTTTTTTCTGACCACAAGCTGTAGAAGAGTCAGCAGGAAATCACTTTAGATACAGAAGCTGGAGTAATACAAAGGTCAGACAATGGATTAATCTATTTGTCAGGAAATTCAGCAAAAGAATAGTCGGTGCATAATATAATAGTTTTGAATCCATAAGCTATTCTTTTATGTGTTTTCCATCTACGGAATGTAAATGCCCAGAGCAAGCATGTTATTGGAGTCTTTACAATTTAAAGGAAGATAACCATCAACACTAAGATCACAAGATAAGACAGCTGTAAAAAATAACTAAAATCAGTCTCACAAAGAGCAAGTAGATCTGGTGAACTTTCCAAGAGATAAGACTCAACAGAAGAAAAGTTGCTTCGAAAACCAAGAATATTAGTGAATGATAGATTAAGAGAACTTGGTGATGACGATGGTTTTTTGTGTTTTATATTTTTGGTACTTTAGAAATTTTTAAATTTGTTAAAGAGCTTGACTCAAAGCACAAATAGTACTCAATGCACTATTTATTATTTCAAGCAATTGCCTTATTACTATTAATAATCCCTTAACCGTAACAAAGGGTTCCAAATATGGCCTCGACAATGCACATTAGTACAAACATGTACACCATCTATACGCAACATGACACTGTTAGTGCTCTAATATTTTACAGCTATTGATGGAAGCAGCCTTTCTGAGAGGTATCACAGAAATTGGGAAACTTGACTACCAGCGGTATCAGAACCATAAAACTGAGTTTAGAGTTTTTATTAAACCTTAATCACCAAAAAAAACAAAACAAAAAAAAAACATACATTTAAAAACTAAAGTTGGCGCAATGATCAAAACATTTATGTTATTTTAAACTGCTGTTAAAGCTGAACTCTATGAAACCAAAAGGGTCAGAAGGCCTAAAATACCGGGAGGCCAAGAAATACTTTAACCATTCCTGAACACTCTGCGTTAAAAAAAATAGGATTGCGTTTTTTTTGGTTTTTATAAAACCATTAAGTTTAATTATTTTTTAATTATTTTAATGTTTATTATTTTTAATGCAATTATTTTAATGTTTTTGTCAAATTTAAACACTTTTTACATGGTATCATATTATTATCATATTTAGTTAAGGAGACCTCGGAAACCTCCCGTTCCCGATGAGTTTCCACGGGATAAATAATCACGTGAGCATGCGTAGTTTTCCTTCGGACATATTAAAACTTATACTACGCATGCCCACGTGATTATTTTTCCCGTCCCTTTCCCGTTCCCGTAAAAAAACGGATGAGTGGAAACAGTCATAAGAATAAATATATTTATTATGCCTATGGTGGAAACTCGCCTTTAGCTGTAACCGTATTTTAAACTGAATGCTACCCGAATGTTATACTTTAAATAAGACCGCTGAATTCAACAAAAATTTTATAAAAAACAAAATAATTTGCTTCACGTTCATTAATTTTTTTAAAAAAGCTTTGAAATGCTAGAAAATGTTTTTAAAATGTCGCATCAAAAGTTGTTTAAAAGATTATTAAAATAAATTCTAAATATCTAAAAAATATATTTTGGTGGACGTTTATATTTTACTAATTGAAATATAAATTTGCAGCTTCAATCTTACCTCTATGCTTTTTAATTTATGTTCAATTGATATCTTTTTATGAAAAAAATTTAAAGTAATATTGAAATGTCTACTATTGATCAAAAATTCTTAACTGATATATGTTCGGATGAAAGAATTTTAACCAAGAACAATCCTTGTGTTAAAGAAAATTTATTTTTAGAGCATGTATGTTCTGCTGAAAGTAATGTAAACAAGAACGAGTTGCTTACTGAAGGATTAAATTCTTTAGAGGATATACGTTCTGCTAAAAGTATTTTAAACAAAGGTGAATCATATGCCGAAATATTAAGTTCCCTAGATAAAAAATATAAATCATTAATAGATAGTTGGATTTCAGAGCAAGAAGATCTAAAAAAGAAACTGAAGTTAACTGAATCAAAGAATTTTTTAAGTAATCTTAAATATGTTGCAGGTGTAGATTTATCATTCCCATCAGATAAAAATGATTTAATTCATGCTTCTGCATCGATTGTTGTATTAAGTTATCCAGACCTAAAAACTGTATATAAAAAAACAGAAATAGTTCATCTGACTTCAATCTATATTCCTCAGTTTTTAGCTTTTAGAGAGTTTGATTCTGTAAAAAAACTTTTTTCTGAATTAAACAATACACACCCTCAGTATTTTCCAGATTTAGTTTTGGTTGACGGAAATGGGTTGCTTCATCCCCGGAAGTTTGGTTTTGCCTGCCACCTTGGAGTTTCAATGAATATACCATCAATTGGTGTTGCAAAAAAGCTTTTTCATGTTGATGATATAAAAAACATTGATGAGTTTAAAAATAAAAAAAAATTACTCAAAAAAAAAGGTGAATTATTTGAACTAGTTGGTAAAGATGATTTTGTTTATGGCTGTGTTCTTCGAAGCACTTCAAACAGCCCAAATCCAATTATTTTATCAGTTGGTCACAATATTTTGTTAACAACTGCAATAGAAATTGTTAATCACTGTTGCAAGTTTCGTATTCCTGAACCTGTAAGGCTTGCTGATCAGTTCTCAAGGGAGTATTTAAGGTTGCATTATGCTAAGCATATTGAAAATTGCAACAACTACGATGAATTAAACAAGTATTTTAATGAAATCAGTCTAAAAGTAAATGAACACTGCTAGTTTTTTTAATTTGATTATATCATTACCCAGCCAGCACAAACATGTCTTTTAGGCGTTTTAGATAAATATATAACATATATTAGTAGTCATCTTTTAGACGACTTGAGACAGCTATTATTCGTTATCTCAAAGATAAATACAATTAGATGTTTTATAGTTATCTGAATTGAGACGTCTAAAGGTTTTAACATTTTAGATTTTAAAAATACATGTTTGTGCTGGCTGGGTAGTTAGCATGTATCCATTAAATTTACTATACCACTTTAACTTTACTTTAGCATTTTTTACACTTAAAAATGTTTTTTATAAACAAAATGTAAATGATATGTTTCTTTTTTTTTTTCTTGCATAAACTTTAGTTGGTAGATTTTTGTGAATATATTATAATATAGTATACCTTTACAACATCAAAGATTTTATGTAAAAGTTATAATAATTAAAATATAATTTATATATATATAATATATATATATATATATATATATATATATATATATATATATACATACATGCATGCTAATATTAATATAATTTTTTTTTCACTTTGGTATTAAATAAATGTAAAGTTTACTAAATATCAACTTTTTTTTCCTTGTCTACCTTTTTTATCATCATAGAGCGAATTTTCAGTAATTTTGAATAAATATTAAAAAAAAAATTAATTCTGGCCTAATTTTAAGTTATTTTTGATCACTGTGCTAAGGTGAGAGAAATAAATGAAAACCTAATATTTGACAAATTGAAGTTCGCTAGTATATATATATATATATATATATATATATATATATATATATATATATATATATATATATATATATATATATATATATATATATATATATATATATATATATATATATATATATATATATATATATATTGATTTTTTATTTAGTTTTGAGATAATATTTTAGCTGAGGTGTATTTGATTCACAGGTTTGGGGAGGGTGGCATATCTTAGTTTAATCAAGGAGGTATAATAGATATAGGCATAATATAATAGTCTATTATACCTTCTTGGTTAAATTAATTCAATTGACAGATAAAATAATTTATCATTTTAATCACACGTGAAGTACACCTCCACCATTATTTTTGTTAATAAAAAATAAAAATTAATAAACAGGGGAGGGTGAGGGGTCTTAATAATCTTGGGTGGGTGGGAAAAATTTACAAAAATTAATCGAAGTCCCCTCAGTCCCCAGCTGACCCAAGAACGTCACATATGGGTTGGTAGTGTACACATTAAGGTACCCTGTGGATGCAAATTTTGAAATCTTTAAATTTTTAAGGATTATTTCCTTGTAATTTAAGTAATTATTTTCTTGCTTTTAGTTGTTTGTAATTAATAATATTTGTAGGTATGATTATGGATTGTTATCCAATATAAATTCAGATTAAATACAAACAAGAACTCAAGGAGTTGTTGTTTTTATTTAACAATTTTTGTAGTTTTTTTATTAGTTGTTGGTTTTTTTTTTTTTTAATTATTGTTATTATAATTTTTTTGTATTTTTGTTATTATGTATTTCTCTCTTAGTAACTAAGTTAGTTTGATCTGAACTAAAATTCTGCTTGAACTTCTACTTATTCCGCAACCAATATAACTGCTTATAGTTTCATATAAAAAACAATCGTTGTCCATTGTGCATATAATGTTGATCTTCCTTAGTTAAATTTAACATAAATTACATTCAAACTAAATTTCCAAGATAATTAAAGTTATGTTTATTACAATATTTATTTTATTCAAAAAGCCTTTATAATTATCAATCAGGCCACCACCACACATGCATAGTGTTGGAGTTGGGTGGTTATAGTAGTTGTGGTTGTTTTATAGCAGAGTTTTTAGTCCTTGGCCTTGACCTTAGCCTGGCCTTATGGCCAAAAATTGAGGCTTTGGCCTTGGTTTTGGCCTTGAAACTGTTGGCCTTGGCCTTGATTGTTTTGGCCTTGGCTTTAAAAAAAACAAACATATTTTCTTATTGATTTTGTTGAATTCTGCGCATAATCTTAGTCTATTTTTACAAAATGTGGTTTTATTGTCACAGCACTTAATACTTACAGTTTTGTTAATAATTGGCCTTAATGTATGGCAAAAAATGAAGTGTTGAAATTGTTTTTGGTCTTGAAATTGTTTGCATAGGCCTTGGTCTTGAAACTCTTAATCTTGGCCTTGAACTTTCTTGGTCTTGGCCTTGCTACTTTTGGCAAACAGCTTTTTCACTGTCACTCTAACTTGTCTAACACTGTCGGTTAACTTTAGCTAGTATTAGCTAAAGTTAACCGTCTAGTCAAAATGATTTTATTTTTGTTTGTTTTTTATATTTTGTTGTTGTTTAACATTTTTTGTGTAAAAGATAAATAAATTTTGTGACATTAAATATTAAATGCAAAAAATTCAGTCAATTTCTCTGAATTTAGTTTTGTTTTTTTTTTCAATTGAGGAAGTAATTTACTCTTTTCACTACAATAACAGTTGTCAAAATTTTTCCATTAAACTTCGAATAAAAAATGTTGCCCATTAAATTAATGATTAATTTAATGGGCGTTACTTTTTTACTCAAAGTCTCCGGTGACTAAGTGATTTTAAGGTATTATTCTAGATCCTATGAATCTTTTTGACTTTTTGATCATGTATCAGATTCTGTATTTGTTATGTATTTTGGAATCATATCATTTGCTACTTTTTTTTTTTAAATCTTTTTCTTTCCTTTAAATTCTTTTCCTTATTTTAACTTCTAATTTTAGTACATTTATATCAAGTTTTTCTTACAAAATAGAAATGAGTTACAAACAAAAATACACTGTAAATGATGTTGAAACCAGTGAATTTGATAAAGGTGCAGTGTTTAAAAGATACAAAAAAGATACAAAAGAATGCAGTCAGAATACTTTACATACAGGGGATCAAAATAGTTCTGGCTCGTCTGAAAAAATTAAAAATGCAACAGTAATAGATAAGAAGGAAAACCCTGGTGTAGTTGGAAAATCTTTTGCAGACACATTTTCGTTTTTGAAAAAGACAGATTTATACGAGCTGCCTCCACAGCCAAAGCTGACTGAGTAAGTCAATTTTTTTTTCCTGGTTTTATGTTTTTGGTTGAAAATCTTAATAAACTCTAAAGTTTAAAAAAAAAAAAAAATTAAAAAAAATTTAAAGAAATTATTAAAATTAAAATAATTTGATCCACCAAAAACTAAAAAACTTTGTGTTGATTTGTATGTACATTATTGACATAATAGAGTATTTAGTGCATGAATTGCACATATTTGTTCAATTTAAATATTTATACTAATATTTAAAAAAGAAAATTTTTTAAAATCAATAACATGTTATCTAGTTATATGCTACATTTTCAAAAAATTTAACAAACAAGACAAAAAATAATCAAGACAAATAAATTTCAGTTACAATTAAAAATTTAAACAAAAGGCATAATCAGACAAATTAATTTATTACATATTAATAAAAGTTAAAAATAAAAAAAATATTTAAATTATGACAAAAAAAAAGACATTAAGAACCAAAAAAAGAAAAAACAATAAAAAAGAAAATAGATTAATGAATTTTTAATACAATGAAATATTTACTTAAAAAAAAATTTTCTCATTAAGTCTAAAAAAAAGGAATTAAGTTTACTAATGCATCAGCAGTTACTTTAGCTATTACTAAAGCATGTGTAACGCTGATTGCTTTAAAAAGTTCTCAACACTGATAGGTAAATTATTTCTGTAATGCTAAAGAGTTTATAGTTTAAGCCACATACAAAATATAATTGGTTGAGATCAATGAATGATAATTGACTTCAATAATTGTTTGGTAATTGAGTTAAATAATAATTGTTGATTATGTATTACTCTATGTTATATGTTGAGTTATTGTTTTTAAAAAAATTTTAAACTGCAAAGTTTTTTAATGGAAAGTTAAATTTTCATTATTATATACATTTTATAAATTTTCATTTATATGTATTAACCCTTTATTGTATATATTTGCACTGTTATACTTTGCAATAATGAAAATTTAAAATTAAAATTAGACTTAAATTCTTAACACTGGCTTTATGTTTGATAACATATTTTATTTATCTCAAATTTGACAATAATTACACCACTACTTTTATTGTCTTTCGGAATTAATATTAATTTCAAGTTAGTGTTCAATTTTTTCATTTGCTTTTTCAATGTGCAAATCTGGCATTACTAGCAACATATGATATTGAGTGGACCTGTGAATTTTCAGTAATTATAAAGCAGGCTTGAAGTTGCTCAATTATAGTAGGCAGATGAATCTCCAGTAGTTCATTCTGAGCAAGGTAAAGAAAATGACCGTTGCAGCACAAAGCCCAAAGTTTGATAAAAGTTGTGATCAAATTCTTATTAGATTTTTAAAACATTTTTTTTTTAATTTCACTAAGTTTGAATTTTAAAATGGTTTTCAGAATCACAGTAATCAAGTATTGACTGCATAATATTTGTATTTAATATACCTGCATTTTAACCTAACCCCTACATAAATTGGTTGTATAATACAGTAGGTAATTTACATGAAAAAGTCATATTCTTTCGCAAAAAATTATGAAGAAAAAACATGGTTAAATAATGTTTGTGGGAACTCTATATTTTTCAAAAAAAACAGAGCAACTTGTGACTATAATTGAAATATGTTCTTTTGTTATAAATATTTATTGAATATATTAAATATGGACTCAATTTTATTTTACAAACAAATTAAAGACTTGTTTGTAATATAAAAAGTAAAATAAAGACTAAAAGTTAATTGTATATTAATATAATTATATAATTAGAACCAAAATAAGTAAATATTACTGACTTAATGTAATTACTACTGGTTCAAGGACTATAATTGAAAAATTTATTATGGGGTTTAATTAATTCTTGGTATTATTGAGCAAGTGTGGTGAATTAATTGTTACTTTATTTTTTAGTACATTAATAAGACCAAAATTAAGAAGTTTTTCTGGTCTTAATGAATAATTTTTCATTATCGCAAAAGTGACGAGCCTAAAAAAATACATTTTTAGATGTGATTTAAACACAAATTACTTTTTTTTTAATAATAAATTGAATAAAATAAATTAAGATTTCAGAAATCCCTCAATGTGCATGTTTCAAAAAATAAATTAAAAAAAAAAATACTAATAAAGTTTCTTGATTTTTTTAGGGTGCATACAGCTAAAAACAGCAATGCTATCATTGTAAATTCAAAGCAGGTTTTTAAACATTTTTACCTCTGAAAAATTCTTAGATTCATTTTGAATTAAATTTATCTTAAATTTATTTTGATGATATGAAGTTTTTATTATATATTTTGAATGTTTTTATTTTTTATTTATTTCAAATTCAATATATATTTTTTAGCGAGGAAATCCAATTTTGAAGTTTGTACATAATATCCCATGGGAATATGGTGATATTGTAGCTGATTATGAAATTGGACAGACAGCTTGTGCTATGTTTTTAAGGTGCTAGATTTATTAATATAATTCAATTTTTTTTATTTTTAATGTTTTTTTTTTTTTTTTTAAATACATACCTAGAACTTAGTGTTTAGTGCAGTCATTTAAATGTCCAGTTTTTTAAAATACAATCCTACAAAATAAGTTATACATAGTAATTAGTTTAAAAAAAATCAACAAACTAGTAATTAATTTTAAACAAGACAACAAACAATAAATTTAATTTATTAATTTAAAAAAAAATTAATAAAAAAAAAAAAAAATTAAAACTAATAAAAAATTAAAACATTAATTTAAAAAAAAAAAAAAAAATCTTGAATCACAGTTATGTAAAAATATTTGTTACTAAAGTTTGAATGACAATTATGTTAGATATAAGCGCTATTTACTTATGAAAAAAACTCAAATAAAATTAATTAAATATTAAAAATAAAAATATTAAACTCAAATAAAATTTATTTTTATTTTGTTTTTATTTTATTGTAATGATTGTTTGGAAAATGGTAATACTTTAAGCTTTAAATAAACATCATTATTTATATTCTGAAAAAAAAAAAAGATTTAATTTAAACTAATTTAATAAAAATATATAGTTTTATTCTGATAAAAAATATATATAATTTAATTTAGATTTAAAAAATATAAAATTTAATTTTGATTTTAAAAATATATTTAAGTTTATTCAAATTAAAGTTAATGCTTGGGTTTAACTTAACTGTCAAATTTGTTTAAAAATGTTACTAAATATTGTTAAATATTTAAATTTTATTTATTCTTAAAAAAAAAAATTAGTTCTTTTTTATTGTAATTGTTTTTTCGGTTTTCGTTCCTAAACATTTTTTTATTACTCAAAACTAAATTTTGAATAAACAACTACATCAAAAATTTGCTCAAAACGTAAGTTTTTTTTAATGTAATGCAAGTTAAATTGCAGTGAATTTTTTTTAATAAATGACAGCATAAAAAGCATGATAAACTAAAATTATAGAGCAACATAAATTGAATTAATGATTGTAAATCACAACAAAATCATTAATAAACTAATAAATAAAGTAAGTAAAGTAACATAATTTTTTTATTTGTTACTTGCTATTTTTTTTTTAAAAGATCATTTGTAGTTGCAAAAAAAAAATTAGAAATTTAAGAAATAATCTTTTAAAAATTTAAATTAGAAATTTAAAAAATCATTTAAAAATTTAAATTTTTAAATGACTTTTTAAATTTTTTTTAATATTTTATAGATTTTTTTAAGAAATTTAAGAAATAATCATTTAAAAATTCAAAAATTTAACATATTTTAATTCATTTTTGCAAATGTTGAGAAAAGAAAAAAAATTGTTAATATCAAACATTTTTAAAAATGTGATATTAAATTTAATTATTTAATATTAAAAAAAAAAATAAATAAATAAACATTCTCTTTTACAAGGTGGCCCATAAGTCACTTTACATTTTATAAATTAAATAACTTTTTTCTATTAATATATTTCTATTTCTCTTTTCAGAATTAAAAAATATAATCTTTAGAAATTTTTGATATGGATAAGTTTACAACAGAACAACGAATGAAGATAATTGAATTTTACTTTGAAAATGGACGGTCAACTGTTGCAATTCAAAGATCGTATATGCGCCATTTTAATGTTCGACATCAACCTAGTAGGCCTGCAATAATGAACTTAGTGACGCGTTTTCAAGAGCCTGGCTCTGTAAGTAATAGGACTAAAAGTCCACGCCAAGTTCATGAGAGTCCATTGCACCCAGGTAAAGTTACAACATGGTGTGGAGTATCATCAGAAAGGATTATTGGGTCCTTCTTTTTTGAAGATGTAAATGAAAATGCTGTGACTGTATGCTGAGACAAAGTTTCCAAACCTCAGATTTTGAATGGCCTCCACATTCTCCCGATTTGACAGCACCAGACTCCTGAGCACCAGACTCCTGAGCATCAGACTTTTGGCTTTAGAGATATCTTAAAGACAAAGTATATGTAAATAAAACCAAGAACTTAAGGCAAACTTAGAACAGGAAATTCTTTCCCTACAACCTCAGATGTTAAGAAGTGTCATGGAGAATAGCTTAGAAAGAGCTCGACTTTGTGAGGCTGAGAATGGAGGCTATTTAAGAGACATTATCTTTCGTAACTAAGTCAGAACCAACTTACAGACACTTAAACTTTGCAATAAAAAAAGAATTAATTAAATATAGACATTTAAGAAAAAGTTATTTAATTTCTAAAATGTAAAGTGATTTATGGGCCACCCTGTGGTTATAAAAGTAATTTATGGGCCACCCTGTAGTAATAAAAGGGATTTATGGTCCACCCTGTTGTAATAAAAGTGATTTATGGGCCACCCTGTAGTAATAATATAAAAGAAGTTAAATAATATTTAACTCGTTTTGCAGTAATTAATATTATTGCAGTAATTAAAAAAAGTTAATTTTTAAATAAAGTTAAATCTTTAAAAAATAAAAAATAAAGAGAATTTTATGAAGTCAAATTCACATTAGGTTCTATTTTATTAGGCATTTTTTATTTAAAACAAGGCCTGAGTGTGGAAAATAATAGCAGGTCATTGAAAAATGTTTGACAATTCATCAATATGTAATTTGGAAAAACCATACACTAAAATTTCATAAAATCATTTAAATTTTGAAAATGGGTTTAAAATAGATTTATTGTTTACGATATGCTTTCATGAATATTATATGTGATGTTAACTATATCTATAAATTTCTTCATTTTACTGTTGGTAAAAATCGTTTTTTCATGAATGATAAAAATTCTTATTTTGTCATTTTAATATTCAATACATTATTTTCATAATAATATAAATAATATAATAATTGCTGCATATTTACTAAAAACATTTTTTTTTTTTAACTGTACTCAGGGGCTGGTCATATGAAGAAAAAACATCCAGTCTAAAACACCCCAGCTGAGTACCTCGGGTAAATTTCAGCTTGTGTTCATATGGAAAAAAACTCACTCAAGCGGGACGTTTTAAAGGTCACATGATGTTATGAATAACCATTTATGTCAATTTTTAAATTAAAAACTAAATATAAAAGTTTAATAAAAACTATTTTGATTTACCAAAATTTTTTTGATAATTTTTAACTTTTATTATATGCATATTAAAAGTTTGATAATACTGTGTGTTTTACGAAATAAATATTGTTTATTAAAATTTCTCTATATGATCAGCCCCTGAGTACGGTTAAAAAAAAAAATGTTCTTAGTAAATATGCTGCAATTATTATATCATAAATGATTTATAATTAAAATTAGAAAAAAATCACTTTCGTCTTAAAAAACTTTGACAAATGAAAAATGCTAAAGTTTTATAAACATACATGGTCAAACAACTTAAATTTAAAAATCAAGCATATGTTATTTTAATTTTGTAACAAGCTGTCCAGTCTATTCTCCCAAGTTTTCAGCTAATGTTAATGTTAATTCACCTCCCCAAGGCCGAGAAGACCACTACAGACAAGGAGGCTACTTAATTGTTGTTATAACCCTCTCTCAACTCAATGACTCTTTAACAATCGTTGTTATAACCCTCTCTCAACTCAATATATATATATATATATATATATATATATATATATATATATATATATATATATATATATATATATATATATATATATATATATATATATATATATGTATATATATATATATATATATATATATATATATATATACATATATATATATATATATATATATATATATATATATATATATATATATATATATATATATATATATAATATATATGTATATATATAATATATATGTATATATATAATATATATGTATATATATGAATAATATATGTATATATATATATATATATATATACACACATATATATGTATATGTATGTGTATATATATGTATACATATATATTATACATATATATACACACACACACATATATATATACATATATATATATATATATATATATATATATATATATATATATATATATATGTATATATAAATTTATAAAAAGGTGACAGGATGGCATCCCGCTGCATTCCGCCTCACTTTGAGCACTGTATATATATATATATATATATATATATATATATATATATATATATATATATATATATATATATATATATATATATATAAATTTTATTATATATATATACACATATATACTAGAGCGCGATTAGACGCACTTTTTCGACTTTAGCGTCTTTTTCTTCAACCTAAAACAGCAGTTTTATATATTTTGAGTGCGTATTTATAGCGCTTTCGTTATAATAAATGTATATGTGTGTGTATATATATATTATATATATATATATATATATATATATATATATATATATATATATATATTTATATTTATATATATGTATGTATATACATATATATATGTATATATATATATATATATATATATGTATATATATACAGGCTTGGTCGGGAAGCGGGTGCAATCGCACTCGATAATTGACCACGGAAATAATATTTAGTTGCGAAAAACCAGCCAGATTTTTTAGTCGTTTTGAGAACATTTCAAAAACACACAAAAAAGCGCAATAAGATTAACTGGACCATTGAGAAACAGTTAAAAAAAAAAAAAAGCTTTTAACGTGAAAAAACTTTAAGCAAAATAAATACGATTAGAATGAATATTTTTAAAACGTCGCTCTTTTATAATTTTTTTTATAAAATTAAGTGACATTTTTTATATAAAGTAACAACTTACTGATAATGATTGTTTAATAAGGAAACAAATGTTCTCCGATTTATCAAAGTGTATATATAATTTTTATTTATATACTTGTCTTATTTCCAGTGCTGGATTGAGGAGGGGGGAGGGGTTTAGTAGAAGGGTTATAGCCTTGGGACTCACAATGTTAGGGGCCACGAAATAGTCAAGAGGACCATTCAGAATTTTTTTCAGTCATTTTTACACTGCAGCACCTAATAAAGGCTGCAATAATAATGCAGTCCCCGGCCCTGAAAAATCTAACAAGATTCAACTAATAAAAACTAACGCTTGATGATTTATTTATAAATAAAAAAGTTTTTTTAATAACTGTTTTATGCTTCGCGTAGTTTGAAAAGTTTAACACATTTGAAACAATTTTTTTTAGTATACTAAGAAAAATTGTTTCAAATGTGTTAAATATCTTATAGAACGAAATAATTAAATAATTGAGTTTTTGTAGAAATTCAATTAGCTAAATAGAAATTAACTAAAAACGTTAAATTACTATGTGAGGAGGAAGCGGAACTGCTTCACAATAACAATGATGATGTTTAGTTAGTGGGCTTTATAATTTTAATTAGTATTTAAAATAGAAAAAATTAACTTTAAGTTTATGTATAACAAGCTTGTAAGAATGGCTGAAGCAAAAATAATTAAATTTAGTAAATTAAAAACATTTATTTTTGTTTTTAATTATATATATATTAAATTTATATATATATATATATATATATATATATATTAAATTTATATATATATATATATATATATATATATATATATATATATATATATATATATATATATGTATATATATATATATATATATATATATACACAAATATATAATCAAATATATATACAAATATTTATATATATATATATATATATATATATATATATATATATATATATATATATATATATATATATATATATATATATATATATATATATATGAAATTGATATTTTTTTAATAGTTTAAAAAAATGTTTTTATTGTTGCAGTTTGAGATATCATAGTCTGAACCCAGACTACATTCATGACAGATTACAGTTGCTTGGTAACAGATATACGCTACGAATCTTGCTTGTTCTGGTTGATATAGTATGTTAAATCAGATAAAGTAGAGTGCAAAAGTTTGGTAACAATTTTTTTGTTTGTTTTTTATTTAAGTTTTTGGTACGCAACATTTTTTTTTTTCTTATTGGGTAAAGTTAAAAGTTTTACAGTAGTCTGTCTGCATTATAGCAAAAATTTCCTACTAAAAAAACTCTGAAATAAATATTTTTTTGAAATATTTTTAACAAAATATAATTGTAAATATTGTTTTAACTGTAAAAGTTTGTAAAAAATTTATGTTTGTAAAAAATTTAAATAAAAATTATGATCTTGAATTATTACAAAACATTTGAAGTTTAACATTTACAAATTTATTTGAATTATTTTAAAACAAATATTTTAATTTTTTTTTTTTTTTTTGTGCAGGAAATATTATGTGCAAGCAGACATCTTTCAAGCAACTTTTGTAAAACTTTTAATCTGAAAATTTTTTTGCGTAAGAAAAACTAAAAAACAAATCATTTTTTTCTAAACTTTTGCACTTTTTATAATTAATTCCTATAATTTTAGCTTTAACAATATATATTGTTTAAACTAGATTAGTAATAATAAATATTTCTAACAATCCTTAAAATGTTCACAATTAACATAAATTAACAATTATTCATAAGTAATTGCTCCTTTTTTATTCCCATGTCTCTCATAACCTTTTATATTTTATCAATCTTCAATTATTATAGGAAAAAACTAATGCAAGTTTGAAGAAACTTGCTAAGATATCATTATTAGCTAATTGTACTTTGATTCTTGCATGGAGGTATGACCATTTTTATTTAGGTTAAGAGGTATGGGTTCGATTTTATTTAAATTTATAATAATTTATATCTCATTTATATTAAAATATTTTACTTTTTATTTTCTTGTTGTTTATGCTTTGATTCTAATCTATGGTTTGTTTAGTAATTCAAATACAGGGTAAATAAAATGCCTGCTGTTTGTCACTTTGGGTCCACTTGCAATTAGAATAAAATATTTTATTGTAATGTATAAAAAAGGTTGTGATTAACCTTTTGCAATTAAGTATCTAGGAATTCTAGTTGATTGTCACCTTGATATATATATATCATTATACATATCATATAGGTACCTACATACATATTAAAAACATATATATCATATACATACAAGTTTGTATCATGTTTGTATCATTATATATGCATTCTATACATACTCAGGCTTGGACAGGTTGTCAAGAAATAAAATCATTTGCGTGGTCAGCAATTCCTGTCCAAACCTTTAAGCCTATATAGATATCTATAAGTATAAACTAAAGTTAAATTTTAAGTTACGAGTAAAGCGAATTAATTTAATATTAAGACGAGAGTATTAAACAGATAAAAAACTAAAACACTGTTTTAGCTCTTATTTTTAACTGCTCCTGTGGGGTTTATTTTATATATTGTTATTTATATATTTTTTCATTTAATCTTTTTAACAAGATTGGCTCTTAGATGATTTGAACCCAAATATAAACTTACTATAAATTTACCTTTCAGACTAGCTACAACTCTGAAACTTTCAATGGTTGTGTAGTCCTGGTGAGGGACAAAGATTTGGGGTAAGGGTTAAACTGTATGTGCCCACTTTTTTTGCTGCAAATTCTTGCAATTGATCTGGCTAGAGCATTGAAACTTTCAGCAGTTGTATAGTTCCAATGATGTTAGGGCATTGAATATTAAAACATTTTCCAGGGCTGACGTCACAAAGAGGGAACAAGTAGATTTCCCACCCTAACTTTTTTTATAAAAGAAAACATTTTGTAAAAAATTCTTTGAAAAGATTGTCTTTTAAATTTTCTTAATTTACTTATTATAATTAAGGTAATAAAAATCAAAGCTCAACAATATAACACAGCTCATGTAACAATATAACACAGCTCATGTAACAATATAACACAGCTCATGTAACAATATAACACAGCTCATGTAACAATATAACACAGCTCATGTAACAATATAACACAGCTCATGTAACAATATAACACAGCTCATATAACAGAGCACCTCAAAAATAAAAAAGTGAACCTGACTCAACATAAAATCATTCTATTTAAAAATATGTGAGAGCTATTTTTAAGCATTTTAATATATAATTAAGTTTTAGCATTGATTACTTAAATTATGCTTTTTTTGATTTTAACAAAAATAAACTGATGTTGATGAAAACTTGGTACATTGTTATGAGTTTTTTCACTTGAGGTTTTATGTAATGATCAAGTTTAATCAAGTAAACCATTGAGTATAAGCAATAAGACATTTCTTATTTTTAACAGATAATACTTGCAAAAGTAATTTTTAGCCTGAATTTTCCTATTTTTGTGGCTAGGTTTTGGAAAAAAAATATGAAAAAAAATCATGTTTTTAAGCTGAAACTATAAGATGTGATACATAAGTCGGTATTTTTTTTCAATACACGAGTTTGTTATAATTTGTCTGTTTTAATAATAAAGATTTTTCTATTTCTCTGTTTTGAGATTCTTTCTACTTTATTGCTTTTTTACTTTGTTTTTAAAAAATTGTTTATATGTTTATTTAAATTTTAGTTTTTGCAGCAAAATAACAATAACTATTCTTTTTTTTATGTTTGATTAACATTGTTGTACATTTTTTTAAATTACAGTTTTAAATTAGTTTTTTCTGTTATTTACAAGATTCTTAATCAGTATAAATTGGTATTTCTTTATAATGATTAGTCACATTAATGAGGGGGAAGAATTATAAAAAGTAATGAAGTGAAAGGGGTATAAAAACTAATGAGGGGGAAGGATATAAAATGTAAGTTTGCGTTATGCAAAGTATGTAACCTATATTGAAATCCTAAAATATTTAAAGTAGTTGCAGCTTCAAAATTTTATACGAAAAGTAATGACTTTAACTTCCAAAAAAAATTTCCAAATTGATTGAGAAAAAAATTATTAGATTTAAAATTAGAACTATAACTTTTTAGTTTGGAGTCCTGGAATGCTTTGTGCTGCCATTATGCATATTGACTCTAGGTTCAAAGTTGACTGTTCTCTATCATAAATCTTCTTCGACATATATGACATTCCTGTAAAACAGCAATTCTATGACTTTCAAAATCAAAGTTGATTTTGGGAATTTTTATCTCTGGTTGTGTTACAAAAATTTTTCATTTTATTATATTTTTGTTAGTTTGAATATTAGAAATAATATTTTTAGTAATGAAGAAGCAGGTCGCTACTTGGAGACATTCAAGACTTATGAAAACAAACCACCTGATATTCTGCAAGAAAGAATTGATCAAGACTACGTGTCTAAGGTACTTTTATTATAATAAAAATTTTGATCTGTATTTGAAAGATAAAGTCAATACGGATCAGATAAATTATTAGTTTGTTTTTATATAAGAAGTGTAGAATACTGTAAAGAAAGTGTAAAATACTGTAGAAAAAGTGTAAAATACTGTAGAGAAAGTGTAAAATACTGTAAAGAAAGTGTAAAATACTGTAGAGAAAGTGTAAAATACTGTAGAGAAAGTGTAAAATACTGTAAAGAAAGTGTAAAATACTATAGAGAAAGTGTAAAATACTGTAGAGAAAGTGTAAAATACTGTAGAGAAAGTGTAGAATACTGTAGAGAAATTGTAAAATACTGTACAGAGTATTTCAATATAACTGTAATTAAAGTTTAAAAAAAATGTTTTATTTGTTTATGATATAAACTCAATACTTGTTAAACTGTTTAATTTTTGAATTTGATAAAAGTTTTAATTTTCAAATACATATATAAGATTTTTTAAATGTATAAAATAAAATAAACTTTGTCAAAATATTCTTTTGAAATGATTAAATTGATGAAAAAAAAAAATGAAAAAAATTAGAAAGACTTTTTAAAAATATTTAAAATAGCTTTTTTTTTTTTTACAAATTTTTACAAATTTCTTTACTTTTTGTTTAAAGTCAAGAATTTTTTTTTAATTCTGATTCACTCCCAACAAGGCTGCAAGCACCCACTATTAAGTTAAGAGTTACTAGAAAAAAAAAATAGAGCAAGGAAATGGTTGACAGAAGATTTAAAAAGTTAAAGGTTGTACGAGTCAGGAAAACATAAAGAAGGGAGAGAGTTCTGTAGGGTTGAAGTGTGGGGACAAAAACTAGATGAATAAAAGTTTTTAGAGCATGCAGGGAAAAAGATACAGTAAAAGAATGAGACTTTGCTGAATGACAAGAGAGAATAAGTTTTAGTTGATGGAACTAGAGATAATAGCTCCTTTGAGCAGCAACCATGATAGTATTTGTAGAAAAGAGAAAAAGATGCAACTTTGCACAGCCCAAATATGACAACAGTATTCCATACAGGGACGAATAAGAGGTTTGTAGAAATAGAAAATGGAATCAGAAGAGAGAAAATGGCAAGCAGATAAAGAGAGGCATTCTTAGCAGATGCCAATTTATCAATTGATTATATATATGGTTTTCATGAAAGGTCTGTAGTAAACCATAATCAAAGAAGACGTAAAGAAAAGGACTCAGTGAGAGGGTTGCCATTCATTAATATAGGAATGTCGAAATTACTGCAATAGCTGTTTGCAGTAAATAACTGTGTTTTGTTAGAGTTAAAATTTAAAAGTCACTTTGACCACAAATCAATTTGATAACCTCAAAAACTTTTCCAGATAACAAGCTTATTGAGAAGACCAGCAAGCAAAACTTTGTCAAAAGCCTTAGATATGTCAAGAGCAATAACCCTGGCCTCTTTGCCTCTGTCTAATGCACAATAAAATCTTTAAATCAGAGCAGTTAGCAAGTCAGTCATATAGCGAGTTGATAGAAAATCATATTATCTGACAGTAAATTATTTGAATCAAGGTGGGATGTGAAAATTTTGTTGAAATTTTTTTGACTGATCGGACAATAATTGGAGAGGTAAGAATGTTCCCCTGAGTTTTGGAAAATTTGAACAACAGATGTCATTTTCCAGCAGACAGTAAAACAAGATTCAGTCAAGCAATTATTAAATTTAGAGAGATTTGAAGAGAGTTTTTGAGAACAATTTTGTAAGACTATGACAGGAATGTTGTCTGGACCACAAACCATAGAAAAGTTTAATCAAGATATGACTTTAGCAACAGAAACTGATTTGAATGTCTAACAATGGGTTAACCTGTTTAATTGGAATGAAAGGAAGAGAATGGCCATAAGATTCAAGAGTGAAATTAGAAGAAAAGTTCTTTGCAAATAATTCTGCCTTAGGAGACTTAATAAGATCATTCCCATGAATGAGAGATGGAATGTTAGACCTACCCTTGTTAATGATGCTGTTGAAGATTTTCCAAAAGTCTTTAGAGCCTAACTTCTGTGAGAAGATGCGAGATTTAGTGAACTGAGAATAATAGAGCTTAGCATCAGACATCACTTTTTTATATTGATTACTTGCAATAGTAAGTAGTCATTTGTTCTCAAAAAAAGTTGTTTTTTTGAAAAAGATAAAAAAAATGATTAGGATTAGACATAGCAGCTGCACGAAAGTGTGAAAACCATGAGATAGAATGAGGCCTGACTTGGAACCAACAAGAAGGTATAAAAGCTACCATTCGGGAGATTACGTAGGAGGCACATTTATCATCTGAGAGAGAAAAGATATAAAGCCCAAGATATCAGCCCAAGGACCGTCACAAAGAAAATCATGAAAAGAATCCTATCAGCTTTAGATTTATTTTAAGGGTGAGTCCGAAAAAGTTTTAAGATGATAGGGTGAGTCCAAAAAAGAAAGACAATATGAAAGATTTATAGAGATGGTCACCTAAGAGAGAAAAAGGAGAAACTGAACAAAAGCTAAGATCAGAGACAAGATATAAATCAAGGAGTGAAGGTAAATATTTTGGGTTGTCAGGAAATGAGTCACAAAGTTAATTATCTGAGTAAGAGATTAAGAAATGCAGAATTTATAGGCTTTAGTGCTATAACTATAATTTAGTGCTATTAGGCTATAGTGCTAGCAGGGTCAGCGGATAGAGCCAAGCCATTCATTGTGCTGAGCATTAAAATCACCATTAAGAACAATATTGGCAGAGGAGTAAAGAGAGAGGGCATGGTCAATTTGATCAGAAATTACATCTAAAAGAATGCAGTCTTGGAAAGAAGGAGAACGATAAACAACAAAGTGAAAGGTGATAGAGTAAAGAGGTGCTAAGCAGAAGCGCATAAAAGAATGGTCAAAGGATTCCAATCTGATTTCACAGCGAGAGGAGTGTGACAAGAGTCTCTGTGAATCAATGGATAGTACCTATCAACACTGAGATTAGAAGAAGGAATAACAGAATTTAAATTAGTCTCACTAAGAACAAGCAAGTCTGGTGACTTTTTTGCAAGAGGTAAGATTCAACTGATGGAAGGTTGCTTCGCAGACCACAAATATATGTAAAAGATTTATTAAAACAGTTAGGTGATGGAAGAGATTTTTACAACATTTATGTTGGTTTTCAAAACAAATACGAGGTCAGCCGTAATAATAAAAGAAATCGTTCCTATTGACACCCAATATTTTCAGTCATTGACTTTAATGATATTTCAGGTTATGTACGTACACAAAGTCCTTGGGTCTAGTTTATTTTTTACTTTTTAGTCCATTTTTAAAATGTTGTTTTTAAAAAGTTTTTTTAATATATTTTTATTTATACTTAATATTTTGGGTTACTTTTGGTATGATTTAAGTTTAAAGAGAACTTGACTCATTCATAGATAGAGCATGACCTCTTAAGTCATGAGCTATGCAATTGTCTTAGTCCTGTTAATTAACCCTAAGTTGTAACATAGGACTCCTTACATAACCTCAACAATGCACACGAAAAGCATTAACAGGCACACTATCCATGCGCAACATGGCACTGTTAATACTATGATATTTTGCAGCTTTTGATGGGATCATCCTCTCTGAGAGCTACCACAGAATTGAGAAACCTTAGACCCTAACCAGCTGGCCTTAGAACAATTAAACTAAGTTTTGGCAAAGAACAACCTAACAAAACTAAGCTGTACCCTCATTAGGAGATAACAGGAAGAATTGCATAGCCACTATCAAAGAAGCAAAATATGATAAATGATATGATATATAATAATATGATAAAAAATTAAAGAGTATAAAAATACTTTTTAGTTTCAAAATTTGTTTTTAGTTTCAAAATAATTGGTATAATCACCATTGGCATAATCACCATTTCTGGTGATTATGCCAAATAACTTCTGCATGACTCTTATTTTCATTTTCTTGCTTATGGTTGACCTTCAACAAAATCTGTACTGAATTAATAGTCTCGCCTGTTTTACACAAATATTTTTTGATATATCGCCAATATTTTTTGATGGGTCAGAATTATAGACAATATGGTGGATTAAGCTTTTTTGGTACAAAATTAATCTTTTCAATTTATACTACTCCATAGTTTTATTAGCATAGCGGTATAAAGCTAAAATAATTTCTTGTGTGCAATCCAATGATTGTCAAAAATTTAAAGACAAAAGTTTAAAGTTTTTGATGTCAAATTCGATGACATCACAAAAGTTTTACTCTTTTTTCTGCAATTACTTTTATAAGAGCAATTTTTTACCATATTTTTGTCCACAAGTTTGTATTTAAACTTGTTGCTAAGTAACAAGTTTAAATTGTTACTTACACCGCCATGAAAAACTAAAGTATGTTTAATGTTTGTCACCAGGAAGTTAACTAAAGTCACATCTCAAGATTTTATTAAAGTTAATTAAAGTTTTGGTTCTTTTTTGAAATATCTAACTTAAAAACTAACTATTGTAATTTTAATATGATTAAGTTTTTTAATTTATGTAGTTTATTATTTATATTTAAAATTTTATAGATGCAAGATATTTTGACTACAGTCAAATCAATTAGTAAAGCAGATGTCATAACTCTGTTGTCAAACTTTAAGGTATGTTTGAAAATTGTCATTGAAAAGCCTTATTAAGAAAAATTATGTGTGTTTGTATTAGTATGTATGTACTATTTTTATGTAAACTTTTAGTTACATAATTAAATATGTCTTACTATTTTTTTTCATCTTACTAAGTTTTATTGTAAAATGTTGTAAAAATTTAACAAGATATTTTAAGTACAATTTTATGGTTTTCAGTAATTTGTGTAACTAATTTAATAGACATCATAGAAAAATGCCCTTTTAGGGGTGCAAAGTATGTACAGCCTCAAGGACATTTTGGTGTTGCTATGGTGCTAAAAGCAAATAACAGAGTAAGACTTTTTTCCATTTAGTTGAAAAAAATCAACAAAATGGAAAAAAGTGTTTTTTATGAGGGTTTTTCTAAAATGTAATCTGCTTCAGAATATTTAACCATAAAATTTTTCATAATAATTATAATAATAATTTTAATACCTACTTAGATACAAGATAATGAGAATAAATTTTTATAATTTTATTATAATATAAGTTGTATTAAATTATATTAAAAAAAATAAAAAATAAAAGATTTTTTTTTTTGAAAAATTAGATATTGTTTTTTATAGATAGTTTATAGTTTTGTTTAATTCTTGCATTTTTGCAAAGCATAAACACACATCAATGCTCTAAAAATGGTTATGTAATTTGCATACTTTTATATTGTTTTTTCATACTTAAAAGAAAATGTTTTTGTATTGTAATTGTAGTTTTTGTTTAAGAGTTAATTGAAAAGTATTTCACATTTTTTTGAAAATACTTTTTAGTTGTTTTTTCATTTTAAAAACAAATCAAAATTAAAAAAATGATAAGAAAAAAATTTATAGTAATTGAATCTTTAATTTATTTTTAACATGTATACATGTTATAAATACACGTTTTTATTACAATAGTAATAAAAACGTGTCATCAAATGCGTAAAGTGTGTAGGTCTAATATCACATTGTATTTGTAAATATTTGTGGTACTCCCACACTTAAATTAAAATAAGTGTGTTAAATAATAGGGTTTTATGCTATTTTTAAAAGGTTATTAATGTTATATATATTTTGAAACTCATGGGAGTTATATGTTAAAAAAATTTTAATTAATAGCAGGAGTTACCTTAATTATATTTGACATGTATAAATACTTGGTAAAATTACTTTTTTGATAACTTTTGCCCTTTTTTAATCTGGCTGAGGACAGAATATTGCGGATTGATTGCTTTATTAAGCCTACTTTGCATTAAGACTGTCCTTAAATAAATTAATGTAAAACACTTTTAAGTAGAAATAAATGTGCTGTTAAATTATATATAAATTTTAAATAGATTTCATTTCAAAATTTGTCATTTAGTTATTTGTATATATACTAAAACTGCTCAAGTACATTTAAAATAGCAATACTATGTACATTAATAGAAATTAATTATTATAAAAACATATAAATTGTTTTATTATAGAACAAATTTATATTGATTTTGAAAGCGTTACAAAAATGCAAAACATGAACTTGATACTTATTACAAAGGTCAACAAAAAAATTTTTTTTTTTGGTACCGAGCAAACAATTAGTTTTTTTTTATAGCATTTCTCATTTTTGATTTCAAATATGCAACTCATTTTTCACCATTACATCAAGTTGTAAAGATATTTGGGTTCAAATCTTTAGTATTTAGCATAAAATCCCTAATATTGTCGAAAAAAAAGTTATTCAAAAGTATGTCAACCTGGATCTCAAAAGAAGCATATTTTCATAGAGATTTTAGAAAACATAAATGTTTTCCTTTAAATTTATTATTATTGACAAAAAAAGTTATGTGTAAAAATACTTAAGACTCTTTAAAAAATTGTAACAAAATGCTTTTCTGCAATAATACAAAAAGTACTTATTTTTATTACAAACAAATAATATTTTTGAAATCTCTATGAAAATACTTTTGAGACCCAGGTTGACATAACTTTTGAATAACTTTTTTTTCAACAAAATTAGGAATTTTACCTCAAATACCAAATATTTGAACCCAAATATCTTTACAACTTAGCGTGATGGTGAAAAACAAGTTGCATATTTGAAATCAAAATGAGAAATGCTATAAAAAAAAACTAATTGTTTGCTCGGCACCAGAAAAAATTTTTTTTGTTGACCTGCGTTATAACGCAGGTATATATCACGTTATATATTACGATATATTATTGAATTTTTTTCTTCAATTTTACGATCGTTAAAAACCATTTAAAGGTTTATAATTTTTCTTACGAAAAAATATTTTAATACATATTCAAATATCAACTTTGTTTTCAAAGCAATATTGCAAGAGTTATGCAAAATACTAACATAATTGCGCTCAATTAAATTGATTTTGTGAAAATATATAGTAAGTATAAAAATATTTGTGGATTTTTTTCAGAATGTCAAAAAAAGTAAAAAAATTGCTAAAAGGCCCATATTTAAATAAAAGAATGAAAAGCCCATGTGGTAATCCCGCATGGCCTCTGGTGTCACCACGCCCCTGTATTCACTTATAGGCTTATATGACTCAATGTTTGTGTTGATTGTTTATTACACAATATTATTTTTTATTACATGATAAACTTGTGATTGTGATGCATTATGATGATAAATATAGACATTGGCATATATAATCTTATATTAATTGGTATTAGGCTTATACAATAAGTATTTATTTTTATATCTAAACTGCTAAATAAAGAAAAGTTACTTTTGTTGTCCACTATATTGTTTTACACTTTTACAAGTATACATAAACCTGAGTATCACCCAAATTTACACCATCCATGGCTTGGTTGTAAAGGGAAACAGCATTTATTTTAATAACTAAAACACCTCTTCTGTTATACAGTTCAGTAAAACCACATCAAAAGTAGATATTAATATTGGGCTATTTTTTACTATCCTGGTATGCCACGCATAACAAGGGACCTTTTCTATATTGACAAATCTCCTTGATTTTTTTAATTTTATTTTATAAGGCATATTTCTGGCAGGCTTTTCCTGTTAACTATGTCTGTTGTTTTGGTCTGATGTGTATATAGATCCAATAAAAGTTGAGGAGAAGTATAATATTTATCAACACCTTAGTGATGACCTTGGCCTTGATGACCAGTAATACTTACTGTATGTTTTTTACTGTAGTCATGAGAAAAAAAATAGTAAAAAAGAGCTCTAATTGCTAATATTTCAAAGTTACCATTTAAGAACTTTGAGTTGAAAATAAATGGGTTTCAGGACTCTCAGGAGTTCTGTACAAAATCCAGATCAAATTAGTTCCATTTTTTATGTTCATCTGGATTTTAAGTTGAATAAGTAAAAACGTATTGTTATTTTGAGTAACTCTGAAAAGTTGGTCTTTTCCTGTTTTATTTTTTATCCATCTATGACTTCTTGATGTTGCATGGGACCTCAAAGGTGGTTAATTTTTCTGAATACACTTATCAGCATAAGGGTTGTTATAAGTAAACTTTCAGTCAATATAGTCAATTGGAGTCTGGTGAAATGGTCTGGTGAAGAGGTGGTATGCTGAGTCCTGATTCACCAGTACAGGAAGCAACATCAAGGCCATGGTCATTTTCTAGAATAGAAAGCCACTTACCTTAAACATCGTCTACATGATTGATAGTCATGTAGACGATGTTTAAGGTAAGTGGCTTTCTATTCTAGAAAATGACCATGGCCTTGATGTTGCTTCCTGTACTGGTGAATCAGGACTCAGCATACCACCTCTTCACCAGACCATTTCACCAGACTCCAATTGAGTCTGGTGAAATGGTCTGGAGTCATAAAAATAAAAATAAAAAACTCCAAATGATCAGATTAGGTGATATATTTGATTTTAATAATATTGATATATTTGATTTTAATAATATTGTATATTATTTTTAATAAAAATTGTTGTGTAAAGTCATATAGCTCCTCGTGCTCCAAAGGTTTAACATCATTAATGATTCATGTGATTCATGCGATTATAAAACGTTTTGGAAATTACATTATATAGATTATATTACTAGATACATTAGCATTTTGAATTGAAACTTTGAAACACATTTTGAATTGTAAAGAAAACATGATTCAAAATGTAACTATAATGTTTTAAAAAACATTATAGTCGTGCTTTGAAACATTTTAAATTTAGCTCAAGTAGGCTTTCTTTTTTTTTAGAAATAATATAGAATTTAATTCTAAAAAATAATATAGCTTACTTCTTAGAAATAATTAATAAATAAGTTTAATTCTTAAAAATTTTTTTCAAGTTTTCTGAATAAGACTAAATTGTTTTTCTAGTTTTAAAAAAATTAAATATTAAAAACTTTTATTTAGAAATTTTGTCTTATTAAAAAAACTAATTTTATGTATAGTCGCTAAAACATGTTGCTAATGCAAGTGTGGTTGAACTTACACTCTGTCCAGGTTTTGGTCCAAAGAAGGTAATATTTTAATTTTATTAATAATATTTTGTATTAAATTTTGACTTATTGAAATTAAAGGTTAGTTTAAGTACTTTAAATACTTATTTTTATTCAAGAATTTGAGATATAAACTTTTTACATAGCTTTTGTAAAAAAAAGCTATATGAAAGGTTTACTAACCAATCAAAACCCTCTCACTTAACCATATCAAAACCCTCTCACTTAACCATATCAAAACCCTCTCACTTAACCATATCAAAACCCTCTCACTTAACCATATCAAAACCCTCTCAAAACCCAAATCAAAACCCTCTCACTTAAATCTTTTGTAAAGCCTGTTTATTAGAGTGTTTCATATTTTATCAATTTTTGAAATTGAACTTGTACCTTGATATATAAATTAACCGTTTATATAAAAATGTGATTAAGCAAAAAAATTATATATATATATATACAATATTTGCCCGATTTTGGTCCAAATTTGTTGGGTGCCTGGCGGGGATCTTAAAATTCATTCTGTAATCTTTTTTATTCTTAAAAATGGTATATATTGGATTAAATATTAATTAAAAAAAAGAAACATGTAAAAATTAGGAAGTTAGCCTGCACAATTTAAAAGTTAGTCTGCACAATTTTCAGAAAATTGTTGTAAAAAGATTTTTGCTCAATAAAAGGTGTTTATTTCTCCGTTGGCGAATGACAAAAATTTTCCTAATAAATTGTTTACAGATGCTGTACACACTTTAACCTGAAAATTCTTTATAATATTGTCAAATGAGGCCTAAAAAAATTTTCTTTGAACCACGGGGTAACCACCCCCTGACACTAACCTTAATGGCTCCTACTTAATAAACATTAGAGCGCAATAAATTGAAAATCTGGAAATTTGATCGGAAAACATTATTTAGAAATTTTAAAGTAACAACTACTCAACCTATTAAAAAATCAATAACTACTTTCCAATGCTAAGACAAAGTTTTTTAAAACTGCATTTGGAATACTAATAAAAACTTTTAAAACTGCATTTGGAATAAGAAGTTGTCTTTCTAAAATATTTGTTTAAGTATCATTCAAAATGGCTGAAGTTACAAGATTAAAAATGGCTGAATTACAAGATTAAAAGCTAAGGCGAATTTATTTGAAGAAAAACTGATAGATAACTTAACTCAAATAACTTTTGCAGCAAATGAAGAATTAATTCTTTGTTGACTTTTAATTTAAATTTTAATTTGAAAGATCTATTTGAAACTCCATCCAAAAATTCATTGGTTGTATCAATGAATATGTTGAAATGAGATAATTAGTTTAAAAGCCTTTAACAAAAGCCACTAAACTAAATAAATAAATTGAAAAAAATAAAAAATAATTGGAGTTCAATGAACTTAAAAATTTTAGGTATAGTATATTGTTTGCAAATAAAAACATTACATAAATCATTTTTTAATATAAACTAAATTTTTTTAACTGTTGTATAGACTGGTTTGGCGCTTAACCATCCATATTATGCTGATATTAACTTTTTAAAGGATCAAAAGAAAAGTTGCCTTCTGACCTTGGGGAGCAAAGACACGAGGTATAAGTCGGAAAATAAAGAAAAGAAAAAGTTAACAAATTTTAATATTAAACAATTATATTAATTAGGTGAATCAACTACCGAGCTAGAGTCTCAGACATAACTGATTCTAGTGCAGGATCAGATATTTCATTTGGAATAACGCAACCAAGTCATAAAAAACAAGAGTTGGTGAAGGATTTTGTTAAAGATATTGTCATGACAACAATGTCAAAAAATATATCATCCAGAGATCTGTTCAGGTGAAAATGTGGCTAATTTTTGAATGCTTCATTTAACTATTTGGCAAGCTCAAAAGAAATCTATATGGGAAAATGCTGAACAATATAAGAAAAATGTTAAAATTGTTGCCAATAAAACTATTTTTCCAATGTTCAGGCATTCAGAAAATTAAATTTGCTAAAAGCTCTTAACCTTAACCTAGAAAAACCACCAAGTATTGCATAATTAGTTGGAGAAAACTTGTTACTAAACTTGCAGTGGTTAGCAACGTTTCTTGCAGTGGTTAGCAACGTTTCTTGCAGTGGTTAGCAACGTTTCTGAAAGATCTATTAAAGCTGTATCAAACTTTGTAAACAATGTTTACAATAAAGAGCTAGCTAAAAAAAATCTACAACAATACCATGAGAATCTTCCATATACATCATAATGTCGAAGATATGAAATATAGAAGATCAGAGCTGAGTTATTTTAAGCAATAAATGTATTTTCAAAATTTTATTCGTAAATCAAAAGAACGTGTGAAAAGGTTGAAAAGCGATAAGTATGACACTTAAGTATGACACTTAAGTATGGACTTAAGTATGACACTTAAGTGTTCAGCATATTCAAGCTGGCTGTGGCTTATTAGGCATTTTGGGGATTCCCATCAAAAGGAGATTTATTTCCTGTAAAAATGCTAAACTCAAGGAATCAGTTTTTATTCAAAGGCACACTAGAAACATTGAAACAGTCAATATCGAAATTCTACCAAAGATCTCGCAAATAATAATAATAATATGGTTGCCATCACAACCTTGCCACACAATTAAGAGAATCAAAAAATTTTTATAATCCAAAAAATAGCCTTATTGGCATGGTGTGCCTGATTGAATGAACCCTAAAATGTACAACATTAAAATCAAAAGCAAAATACACTTTAGAAGGAAAGCTCTTGAAACTCAGTTACAAAACACTTATGCATGAAATTGAGTTGATGCCCAGGCATGTAAAAATTATCAAGGGTGTCTATTTTAGTACTGAAATTTATTGTTTTTCACTGTTAATTCTGGATTCGTCAAAATTTAATTGTCTTTTTTTTCTTCTTGTGTTTTATTTAATTAACTTTATATTAATATTTTTAATTACCTTCTGATTGATTTTTAATTTAAATTGTGGCAAATTTGCTAACAAACAAAAAAATAACAATAAAAATAACGCCTCTTATAGTTATATATATATATATATATATATATATATGTATATATATATATATATATATATATATATATATATATATATATATATATATATATATATATATATATATATATATATATATATATATATACATGTATATGTATATATACATATACATATATTACTATTTACATATCTGTTTACATATATGTCATAGCATTTAAAGAAAAGCAAGAAGAAATATAAATTATTGAAAAGATATTCTTTTAATAATTCTATCAGCTATTTCTTGATTTGTTACAATATGTTCAGATATTTCACTAATATCAGATGATTTCCTGAGTTTTTGACTCAGTTAATTTGAGGTATTTTCCTAATCCAGTCACTTAATGATGTTTCACACCTGTTTTATTTTTCACACCATTTATTATTCATAAAGTACTAATATTTTTTGAAAAACACTTTTTATCTTTTTTTGTCTTTTGTAATATTATCACTAAAATAAGTTTTAAATTTGTACTGCAGGTTTTATTACTGTACTTTTGTTACTGTGGGTGTTACTTTTATAATTTTGACTCAAACCCCATGACAATAATTAAACAAAATTAACATAAAAAATTTAGAATAAACAAAAATTTATCTTTTTGGTCTCGGAATTGTACTAATTTAAATCAAAACTAAATTTAAAAAACTAAAGGTAATAAACCAAAAAAAAAAAAAACAATACTTAAATTTCTAAATTTAAATTTACCAACTATTGAAACTAACAAACAAACTAGTATATATAAATTTTGTTGTAATAAAATTAATATGTTCATCTTTTAAAGGTTTATTTCTTTTTAGGCTCAGCGACTTTATAATGCCCTTCACGAACCATTTAAACGCGATCAAAAAAAACTTACGTCCTCGCAATCACCAAGCAAACGCACTAGTAGTAGCGTTACAAGCACTGTAAACGTCGAGTGTAAACTTATAAAACCTGGAATAAATGTCGATGCAATGGATGATGCAATGGATGTAGATAACACTGAAGAAAATAAGAGCAGTAGTTGCAAAAATACTGTCGAAGATAAAATTAAAAATGTTGATAGTTTAGTAAATAAAGCCGTTAACTTAATTACAAACTTAACTTCAAACCCGATTTCCGATTCAAACTCCGACGATACCGCCGAATCTATTACTCAAGTTGACTCGATTACTCGTGTTCAACCTAGTAAGCTAATAAAAAACCTGATTAACAAAGGTTTAGAGAAAGAACCTATAAACATTTATGGTCAAAAGTCACACACGAATTTCATTACTGATGAGGATTACCAAGAGTTGATTGCTGATTCCGATGAAGAATAAATTTTTAATTAAACTCAATAAATATAAATAAAATTGCTACCGCGAGACTGTTATAAACAAAATAAAATCGCTTCAAACGAAACTTGAAAAACATGAATAAAAAAATTTAAAAGAAAATACGTGTGTAGAAGACACGCGCATATAAAGATTATCAAATCCATGCAAAAAGACACGTCATGATGATACTCATAATCACGTATATATTAAGATGATCAAATGTAAAGTTTCTAAATATAAAAATATGTATGGATAAAATTAAAATGATTCAAATAAAAATAACTAGATGGAAAAAAATAATAACATTTATAATAAATATAACGAAAAAAACAAAGCTTATATAGGCACCGAAAGATAATAACTTTTCAAAAGTTACAAAATTTTTCTAGGTAAAAAAATTACTGCAGAAAAATATTTAAGGTTAATGTTGGTTATTTTTACGTTCTTAAAAACTGATCAAATAAAAACAATGTAGACTTTGTTATTTAATAAATTATTAGGAGTTTTATTTCATACTGATTCTTTTAAAAATAGAATAGTTCTGTAGAAAGTGATACATTTAAATCTTTTTGAGTATAGTATAATACTAGTGCCAGTATAATACTACACTATACCGCATTATTAGAACCATAATATATTGAAGCAATTTTACGTTTACAATTCTAATCTTTGATATCTATTTTATCTTTAAAGCAATAGACAGTGGACCAGAGGTTAGAATAACCCCTCAAAACCAACTTCTACATTGGAGTGATTTCTTTTTATAAATGTAATCTAGAGATACCCGGCACTCTAAAACTTTCCCTACTATAATTTTTAAGTATATAAATTTTACCGTAAAAACCTTGCAAATATTGGTTAAAATGTTTGTTCATTTAAATAACCCCCTAAAAATTAAAAGGAATCTTATTCAATGTGTCTATCGGTAAGTAACAATATTTTGTAAACTACAATCCATAGGCTCTTTACTTCATACTAAACAAAAGGCTCTTTACTTCTCTAAACAAAATCATTAAAAAAAAACATGTTGATACTAAAGTAAAAGTTAAACAATTTGTTTTCTATTGGGAAGCACGAGTGAACATTATAGTGTGTATCAAAGTACCCCATGGGTGGGGTATCCATTTAAAAATAAAAATTTTATCATGTTAATGTTGGCGATTCTTGACGACAAAACCTTACGGTCTTCTACGAGTCCCTGCGTTTTTTTATTTCTTATTAACGATCTATTCATAATTTTATTATTATATACTTTTTTTTTTTTTAAGTTTTATTTTGAAAACTGTATATTTTATAACAAAATATTGTTTAAAATGTAATAAAAAACAAAAATAATAATAAGAAAAAAAAAGTCTTCTTAGAGCATCTTGTTAACTAATTAAAAAAATTATTAGCACTTTCCATGAGATGTTCTTGTCAATAAGAATCAAAAGAAATTTTGTTAGTTGGCTTTGTTCAAAAAAAAATTGCCTGTCAACCTGGTTATATATAGGTTTAACAATGAGTTATTATAAACCAATTTTAAATTTTTTAAAAACATCTTAAGCAGAGAAGATGAATAGGAAAGAGTTACATTTATTAATTATTTTAAGATAAAAAAAAGGTTGTACGTAGACTTAAACGACAGGAATGATTTTTTAGGTTGAATACATTACCACAAGTATTAAATTGGCTATCAATTTCAAATAGACTTCTATCGCGTATATCATTATTGCTCCATTTAAAAACTTTACTTAGATCTGCATTCAGGTAATTAAAAGGATTTAAGATTTATACCATCCAACTGATCGAGTTTTTCAACCATTAAATATAAAAAAGTGTTGAAAAATTTCGAATACTCAAGTAGTTATGAAAACTAATATATCGCATTAACAAAAATAAAATAAATAATAATAATTCAAGAAAAAAAGAGTTTAATGATTAGTATTGAATGACTCTATTATTCTTTAAAATTTTTTTCTTTCTAAAAGCATATTTTATAATATAAGTGAAATGAGTCCTTCAAAATTTAAACTTGTCGGTTCGATGTTTTATGGATAGCACAAGTCCATCGGACATCCAGCGGACGTTTTTGTGCCCGCTGGAGTGTGTTTAGTATTTTTAGTGATACAAAAGTATGTATCAGTATCAATATTACAAAGTTTAAAGCTTGCACCATCTTTGGAAAATCTGACCTGCCCGTTTAACCCCCTTTTTTAAAAGACGTCGAAAGAATATTTTCAAAATTTAGATAATAGTTATTCAATTAGATAGAGGAGGGTAGTCTTTGCGTAAAATTAAAAACGTGTTGGCGCAATAAAAAAAATAGCAAATTTACTTTCGCTTTAAAGTCTTTTAACCTCCTCTTAAAGCTTTTTTTATTTATTTAATTGTTTCTTGTGCAAAGTCTTCGTTGAAATGTAATTCAGTTAAACGATAAGGATAATTATTAGGGGTGCACCGATGCATCGGCATCGGCCTTGAGAACCATTGGCCGATGCCGATTGCTTTAAAAACTTTTAAAATTTTGTTTTCATTTCATTAACAATAAGTTATTAACTAAACTAAAAAGCTTTTCACAGGGCTCTCTACTTTTCTTAGTGTTTTCTTATAATTTTTAAGAAATTTTTTATTAAATAATAATAAATTATAGAGAAAATTGTTTTTAACAAAGATTTTTTGAAACTCTTTCAGTTTTTTACAATCAAAATGTTTCATTACACTTATATTTTTAATAATTTATATAATTAATAAAAAAGTTTAATATTAATTTGAAAGTGTTTAATAAATAAACATTTAATATAAGTATTGTTTTATAATTTAATTGGTTCTAGGAAAAATCCCCCGGATGAAATTCCCCCAAAATAATCCCCCAAGGAATAAAAAACCCAAAAAAAAATCCCCTCGGAAAAAATCCTCACAAAAGAAAAAATCGATAAAATATATTTTCATATTAGGAAAAAACCTTTAACAATTATAAAACTTTTTAGCAAGTATCAAATAAAAAAAGTTAAAAAACAAAACAAAAATTTTTTTTTTTTAATAAAAAGACTGCCTGCCCTAGCCAAACCCTCAGCCGAAGTAGCAGCACTCCCTTGCGAGTCAAGCTATTTGTCAGTCGATGAAGCAGCACTTCTTTACATCAGCAGACTTGTATAAAGTGTATAAATTTTTCCTTTGGGGGGATCTTTTCCAGGGGGATTTTTTTCTCTGGGGATTATTTCGGGGGGATTTTTTTCGGTTACGAATTAAAAAACTCGTTTTATAAATGTATACTTTCGTTACTCTGTTCAAATAGAACGATTTCGTTTTTTATAAAGAATAAATTGAAGATTTTGATGTCGCTACTTCTAATAATTGGCAAGTTTTTAGTAAATGTTTTTACGAAATTAAATCGTAACCGGAAAAAATCCCCCGGGAAAAAATCTCCCCTAAATAATCCCCCGAGGAAAAAAACCCCCAAAAAAAAATTCCAACGGAAAAGTTCCCCCAAAGGAAAAATTTATACAATTTATACAAGCCTGCTGCTGTAAGGAAGTGCTGCTACATCGACTGACAAATAGCTTGACTCGCATGAGAGTGCTGCTACATCGACTGAGGGTTTGGCTAGGGCAGGCAGTTTTTTTATTAAAAAAAAAAAAAATTCTGTTTTGTTTTTTACCATTTTTTTATTTGATACTTGCTAAAAAGTTTTATAATTGTTAAAGGTTTTTTCCTTTTATGAAAATATATTTTTGCGATGATTTTTTTTATTTGTGGGGATTTTTTCCGGGGGATTTTTTCTCGAGGGTTTTTTCCTTGGAGGATTATTTCGGAGGGATTTTTTCCGAGGGGATTTTTTCCTAGAACTTTTTAATTGAAGTAATTGCTCTAACTATCAAGAGAAAAAAAAAAAAATGGAAATTAAATTTTAACAGTAAAATATCGCATTCATTGTAACCTGAATGGAATGGGGCATTTCCATTCAAGTGTATATTTCCATAGTATACGATGGCATTGCCATCGGCCCTGAAATTGGATATACTAGTATATCCAATTTCAGGGCCGATGGCAATGCATCGGCCGATGCATCGGCATCGGCTAATACCCATCGGGCCAAAAGTAGGCATCGGTGTACCCCTAATAATTATAAATTTTCAATTAATCATTCTTTTTATCTTTTTTCACGTCAATAAGTACGAGTATTTCTTAATATTATAAAAAATAACAATAATTTTTCAATTTTAAATCTAAACATTCAAAGTATTAATAAAAATTTTGCTAATCTAAAATTATTATTGCATGATTTAAATCGCATTGGTGGTGGTTTTAAGTAAAACCCACATTGGTGGTGGTTTTAAGTATCTTTGTTCGCTAATCTATAAACTTTGTTTTGCGTAATGATCTAAATGTTAACGCTCGTGGTTTATTCTTCGACTTTTGACTTCGACTTCGAATTGGTATTTTTGTTAAAGTGGGTATTGACTACTGTTAAGTTAAGTACACGTGTTTGTTTGAAATGTTAATTTTGCTTAAAAAATTTTTCAAATGGGTTTGAAATAATTTTAAATTACCTGCTGGTTTCCTATAAATAGTATTGATAATAATATTTTTGGTCGCTTTATTATTTATTTCAATGCATAACAACTCGCAATTAAATTTTTCCGTCATTTTAACACTTCATCATATCCTTTGTTTTTACAGGTAAAGAAATCTGAGCTACTAAGATTGTTAAATGTACCACTTAGCTTTCTGTTAACTTGAACAAATTCCGAAAGATTAGGAATAATTTCATTAACTTGAACAACTTCAGAAAGATTAGGAATAGTAGCATTGATGTTATTTAAAAAATATATTTAAGATTCTTTCTGGAAGCAAAAGAATTTATATTAGAACTTACATTCTGGCTTACCCAATATAACACTAATTCTGATCTTCATGGAATCCTTTAAAAGTATACATGTTACTTCCCTTGTTACTTTTACAAAGCAAACACGAAATAGCAAAGCAAAAGAGCATCATGCCAAACTACAAAACCGTTTAATTATAATGGAGAAATTATTTAGATATGATTGTATGGAAGTCAAAATTATTTTAGCTGTGAATAAGATGAGATTTAAAGACATTAAAGGCGATCCACAGGGATTTGTAAATTTTTTAGATAACAACAAGTTGCCATGAGGTATTATTCCTAGGTATCGAGGGAACTGTCTTTATATTCTGTTCCACACTTGTTTCATTTTTGTAAAACTATGATAAGTTTATGAAGTTTTTGACAATTCGTGCAGTAAAACGAAAAACATTACAAAAATTTCTGCGGGAAGCATTTTGTAATACAACTGCTATAAAACAAGTGTGTGTGCTTGCATTATTTGGAAAAATTTTAACAGGGCCCGGATGACAATGTTTTGTGTACCATCTGAAAAAGCAAAATTTGATTGTGTTGGTGGTATTGCAATAATTAAAAAACTTGTGCAAACAGTCGAAGATTGCAAATGTGATCCAGCAGCACTGTTTTGCAGAACAACAGACTTTTTTGGAAATACTCTCCTTCCAAATATTTTAGAACCAATAACAAAAATATGTGCAATTGATGCTCAGGTTATTGCTATGACTAAAGTCTCATTGCAATAAATAAGGTTTTGAATCAGCAGTATAAGTGCAATTTTTCCACTACAATTACACAGGTACTTCTAGAGGAAGCAGCAAGTGCACGCTTCATAACATAGACAGCAAGGAGTTAATGGGAATGTTCAGTGCTGCAAAAGGAAGATCCCCTAATGCAACAATTGACTATATATATTGCAAGTTAAAAACCAAGAAGAATAGGACTGTGGATTATCTTGACAATCTTGATGATTTTTGTAGACAAAAGGTTATTAAATGGGCTATTCAGGCAGCACGAAAAAATCAAGTAAAAACCCGACTCCAACATGCAGAAATTAGAATTGAGATTTCTAAATGACAGACTGATAAATGACAAAAAATAGATGAAAAAGAAAAAAGACAGTTAGACCAACAGTTATCTTAACTAACTATCAGTGATATTATGAATTTGTTCAAAAACTTGTCTGCTAAGTAAATTCATGATTTAAATGATGTCATGTGTAAAAGAATTGTTGGGAGAAATCTCTGTCATGAATGGTATGATAACAATTTAACAATGACAGCCTGGTATGATGGCAGAGTAAAAAAAACTTAAAAAAACACAGAACGACATGATTTACACTATTTAATACTGGACTAAAGATAAAACTGATTCTGACGCTGCTGATTATTGCATGAAAAAATTCCAGCTGGTTGCTGATGTGTTATATGGCGAATTAAGGTTTTCATAATTTCAACAAGTAATGGAACTTGCTGAAAGGTACAACAAATAGCGGAGTTTGAAAATAACAAAGTACTGCAACTAGTGGAACTTGCAAAAATATTGTACCGCAAGAAGTGGAACTTGCAAATAGGTACAGCAAGTTGTCGAACTTGCCAAAAATGGTACAGCAAGGAGTGAAACTTGCAAAAAATATGTACCGCAAATGGTGTAACTTGCAATTAGGTACAGCAAGTAGTGTAACTTGCAAAAATATTGTACCGCAAGTAGTAGAACTTGCAAAAAAGTACAGCAAGTAGTGCAACTTGTAAATAGGTGCAGCAAGTAGTGGAACTTGCTTATAAATTGTACTGCTATTAGTGGAACATAGGCCTCCATATTTTCAACCAATGAATCATAGGCCTCCATATTTTAAAATATGTGGCCAGATTTTTCATCGTGTAGGTAATCTTATACTGACTGATATTGCTTCGTTTTTTACACTTTTACATTTTGTATTGTAGTCTAGGTTCTTTGTTAAATTGCAATTTATTGATGTAAATAAATGTTTTAAATTTTTGATAAATAACTTATATATATAAACTTAAAAAAAGATATGGATTTCAATTAATCTTAAGTTAAAATATAACCTTTGATTGGAAAATATCGCAGTTTGTAAAATTCTTTTACATTTTTTTATTATTCAGTTGTAATAATAGTAATATTACTGGTAATATGTTTAAAGAATACAGTGAAATTGAAATAGCTAATAATAGGCGAAGAATTTATTTCTATAAATGCTAATATGCAAAAATAGTTGTTGTCCAAATAAAAAAGATAGAACTAGGCAAGATGAAATTAGTCGTTGAAATGTAAGAAATGTTGCTAGGTATGCAGAAAACTTACTTGAATTCAGTGTCAAGCCGTGTCAATGTCTGTTTATTTGATTTTACTTTAAACTCTTTAGAACAATACCAGGCTTGAATTTTACTATTTGTAGTAACAGTTATTAGTAGTTTTAAAATTAAATGATTTTATATATTTTTTTATTATTTCAAACATAATTATGTTCTTTTATTTAGTTGCCTACTTTTGAAACATGGTTTTAAATTTCTAAATTTAATGATATGAAATTTTCTCTATTAATCATTATTAGTCGACAGTTAGAGAGAAGCTGGAACTTCACATAATAAAGGTAAAACTAATTTTGTTTACTGGTAACTTAATAAAACCAATTAAGATTATTTATTGCGTGTCTTTTTTACTCTTTTTAATAGGCTATTTGAAAACGTTTTCTTTCTCTCCCCCTCTCTCTCTCTCTCTTAGATGAGAGTTAGATGAGAGTTAGTACATAAAGCGTCCAATAAAACTTATATAATTACTGAGCCTTTACGTGTTTCTTAATACCACAATTGATTATGACCATGTATATAAAATATTTTATGAGCTGCTTGCTATTTTAAGATATATTTGTTCAAATTGTTTAATCATAATTGTTCAATATTTTAATAACAAAAAAATCCTTTTTATTCATGTATTTTAGTTGATAAAATATCTTATCAATTTATGGTGTTATTTGCCCCTGTTATTAAGTTATGTTGTCTAGCCTTTATAATCTTTCTTTTTTTAATTATTTTGAAGAGACATAGTAAAGTGTGCTTACAAATATCTTATGCTATGCACTATTGTTTTTTAAAAATAATCGTAACAGCCCAGTTCATAGAACTGTTACAATTATTTTTTTAAGTCTACTAACAATAAAATGCAAATAATACTTTTTTTTACTAAAAATTGTAATTATTTTTCATTTCTTTTTTTAGGCATTGGAAGGCTTTACTTGACTTTCTTTTTATGGTACCTGCTGTGTTGTAACAGATTTTAAAAAGAACTTAACTGATGTTAATTTAGTCTTTTTTGTCGTTAACTATAAGCAATAATTTAATTACTAATAACCCGTATTACGGGTTGCTTACTGCGAAGTTTATAAAAAAGTTGTTGTTTGCCGTTTCGTTGCGCCATTTTTAATGTTTTTCTTGAATATTATTGGCGAACCTTCAGAATACTATATTTTAAAATTATTATGAACGTAATTATTTGCGTCAACGTATAAAGATTAAGCGTTTAAGAACAGTCTTGATTATACTTCCATGGTCTTACTCAGCATTTCAAACATGCTTTTTGAAAATATACACCGCATTGGAATGTCATTGCAAAACAAATTTTTTTAAAAGTTTTATATGCATTATTCTTATTATTATTTTAATATAATCTTTTATCTCTTGTTTGTAAATTTTTTTTATCTAAGCTGGTGGTATTTATGTAAAACATAAATTGTATTAAAAGTATAAAAAAAAAAAAAAAACGCGTATTGCAACATGTATGTTACACGTTTGTTTACAGAAGAAGTTGTTAACAGAGCAGAAGAAACAGGGCTGTGGAGCCGCGGAGTTGCTGTTTTTTGGTGGAGCCGGAGCCGCAAATATCGAGCGGCTCTCGACTTTCGTGTTTTTTTTTTTTTTTTAATGAATAAAATGTATGTTTTTTTTTTTTTTTTACTTTGACAAACTTTGTTCATTTATTGTTTAACTGATTTGTTGAATGAATTATTTATTGAGTTTCTATTTTTTTAAATATTTTTTCTTACGGTTACGGTCTTGGCAAAACGTAATATAAATGAATACTTTAATAATTTCTTCTCAACAAAATACTATCATTTAATAGTATTTCTTAATATGCTTTATTAAAAAAAAAGAGTAAATTATTTATGAAAACATTACAGTATTGCATAAATTGCTTTCTATTGTATTTTTATACTGATACTATGATTTTAAATATTTGATGCGCGAATGATCAAAGGTTATTCTTATCTTTTAAATTATACTAAAGCATAAGTATTCAACGATCATTCACGCAAAACCCCGGCTTATCAAACAGAGAACGATCCAAAAGGTATAAAGTTTCAGAGTTTTTTAAAAATTAAATTTTGGCAAGCAATATGCAGCTGAGGTTTGAGATCTCATCTTAAACCTCGGCCTAATCTTGCTTTTTGTCATTATTTTAAGAAAAGTGCTATAGTTCGAGAGACATCAAATTCATATCATAAAAGCTTGAATTCGTCAATCAGCACACAGTTCCATTCCATTGAAAAAATTTGGGGAATCGGCAAAGGATATTTGCGTAAGACTGGCAAAACAATAATTACAACTAAAGATTTGATTAGAGAGTGGACATTAGTCGAAAAAAAAATTTCAAACACACTGTGCAAAAGTTGATGTCGTCGATTAACGTAAATGTTTGCTTATTTACATGAAATAATGAAAAATATTAAGATAAAAAGCACGTTTATAATCTTCAAGTTCCTTAGATTAAAATAAATATTTTTTTATAGTTTTTGCATTGGTTGAATTATTTTTCTTTTTTTTTTGTATTTTTTTTGTTTTGAATTTAACGATTGCATTTTTTAGCCAGTGGGCACGGGACATACAAAAGAGTTCTTTTAAACGTCTTTGGACCGTTTTGAACGTCTTTTAAACGTTCAAAATACGGGTATCCAGTGGGCACGGGACTCAGTGAGGACGTAAGAAAGACGTCTTTTAAACATCTTTTGAATATTTTTTATGCCAAATGAACGTTTTGGACGTCTTTGGGACGTTCAAAAGACATCTTTTTTAGGTACCGTTACCCAAACTCTAGTTTTTGGTAAATAATATAGAGAAAAAAGTGTTTCTAATATAGAGAAAAAAGTGTATTTTTCTTTTCAACTATAATATTCGGCAGTAGAGTAGTGATAATAATACAATAACCTTGTAATCATGAGAATTGGTAAAAAGTTAATTCTGTAATTAGTATAGTTTTGGGTTAGCAAATATGATCAAAAAAAATATTTCAAAACTTGCGATTTTTGGAACCGGAGCCGAGCCGTAAAAAAAACAGTCGGCTCCACAAGCCTGAGAAGAAATACGCGATTATTTGTAAGTATTTAACCCAACAAGTTAAAAAACGGAACAGATGCAATGGAAGTTTCGTGTCTTAGTTTTATTCAATTAATTCAGACTAAAAATGAAATTCGGCAGAACTTAGAGATGAACTACATACACACTTCCATAATAAAAAAAATGATTTTTATAGTAAAAGGAACAATATTTTATGCAGGCATTAGTAAAATTGATTCATTGAAAAATTTATATGGTACTTTGGCCAACTCTAATAGTCATCTTTCCTAGTGCAATATTGCATGGGGAAATACCAGTTATAGTAAGCTTAAAAAAAATCTATAGCAAAAAAAAAACCTGCAAGTATTTATATTTGGTGTGCAAGTAATTATATTTGGTGTTAACGGAACTGTTAATGGTAAATCTCTTTTAATGGAACTCGATGTTTATAAACTTAACATATACCAAGTTATGTTTGTAATGTCAAAACATAGTTTATCTTCTAATATATTTCACTTTTACTTCACCGAAAATACTCATAAATAAAAAAAGGCGACAATATAAACGGGGCAAGATACGATCTTCCTTATTGTAATTTTTTTTAAACGGAAAAAGAAATAAATAATCCTAAATATTTAAAATTTATATTATTTATTTAGTCCTGGCTATATACTCGGATTTAGCTTTGTTCTATCAAACCCGACCTTGTTGATTCCAAGCACCAGTAAAAATAACTGAATGAATCAGGGAGATAAATATTTGATTTTTTTTTTGAAACTGATAAAAAAGTAACCTCAATTTTTGAATTAAGATTCTTTTCTCTTCGACTTTTTTTTCTTCTAAACTTTATGAGTTTGTTTTCCTCTCGTGACCACGCAGAAAAAAATGCAACTCTCGAATGGGACAAAGAAAGCAAACTCGGTAACATAAGAGTTTTTTTTATTTCAGCTAACCATTTAATGCAAAATTACTTATAATGGGTAAGTAAGGTCAGCCATTATAAGAATGTTGACGTCACTAAAATACCTACATTATGTACGCAGATGTCAACTCAGACATTGTAATGCAATACTGACGTTGCTGAAACACATATAATCAGGGGCGCCGAGAACATGGGCGAAAAGAACAGTTTGTCCCAGGCGGCATATTTCCAAGGAGCGGCAAATAAAAACAAGGAACCTTAAAATAAAAATAATAATAATAAAAAAAAGGTCATTCAATGAAAATATACAGAGTATTTAGAAAAATAGGGGAGCTTATCAGGGTTGCTGCTCCGGGTTGCGTAAAGACTCTCGGCGCCCCTACATAAATTAAACACATATTTAGTCAGTCATTATATACAATATTTATTCACATATAAAAAAAAAAATTGTTTAAAAAAATTGTAAAAAAAATTTCGTCAACAAAAAAATTTATATATATATATATATGTATATAAAATATTCACATAAATACCTAATACTGCATTAAAAAAAATTATTTTAAGAAATTCAAGAGAACAAGAAAAAAAGTTTCAATTAGCTGCAAATATTGCTGAACCATAAGAGTAATTTGAATATTTAAAAATCAGAATTATTTAAAAAAGAAGCTATAATAGAAGGAAACAAAAAAAAAAGCAAAAATAATATAAAAATTTAACTCTAATATATATATATATATATATATATATATATATATATATATATATATATATATATATATATATATATATATATATATATATATATATATATATATATATATAGAAATAATATAGGCAATACGGATATACTTCTTAATACGGAAATATTTCTGCGGTAACGTAGAAAAGAGGAAAAACCAGAACAACCATTAAACAAATCCTTGAAAATCTCAGAAGGATTCTGAGAATCGTATGCTTCTAGTTGAACTAGTATGTATATACTACACATACCTTTTATATTTATATGCATAAATATGCACCTTTTATATGCATAAATATGCACCCGTATTCATTCCTTCGCACATTTATGACAAAAAAAAAATTGAAAAAGAAAACAACATTACGCTTCAATTATATTATTTTTTATAAGTGGTAGCAGTTCCATGTCACCATTTTCTTTACCATAGTCTTTATTAATGTAATTCGATGCAATATTATTAGTTTCTACTTTTGAGCGAGTACTATTCGTACGTTGCCATTGAGGGGCTAATGCAACAGGGGAACCCCTGTGACTCAAAGGTGATGATTGTTTGATAAGATTTCGAAGAACAGGTGGTGGAGTACGTACCATTTCCATTGGTGTATAACTAACTAAAGTCTCTGAATAAAAACGTTTGCGGGGTGGTTCATCGCATCCTGTTAGCCAATAAGTTTTAATGTTACCTTTTCCCTAAATATGAATTTTTAAAGTTAAAATGAAAATTGTTAAAACTTATAATAGCTTTTTTTTGTTATCAATTTGAATGGATAAAAACGTTATCTCTAAATTTTATTAAAACCCACAATCACAATTTTAGTGAAGGGGATCACAACAGCAATTTTGGTGTTTGAAATAAGTTCATACATGAATTAATATAAAGGAAAGGAGAGTAAAAGTGCGCGGTTGGCTAAAAGTGCGCATGTGTAAGTCCGACTATTGGCGGCACTGCAAGCGTTATTTTTATGTGTCGGTGTGACTATCTAAATAATACAAGAACGCGCGTTGATTAATTTAATTACCTATCCGTGTTTTGAAATATCAGGTAGAATATGATTTCCATACTTTAGCATGCAAGTTTAAAGAAAAGGAATTTAGTTAATATTCGCATTTATTGTTTATGAAATATGATATTATATTGAGTTATAGTAATTTTAGTTGCTAATAATAAGTGAGGTTAGAATTTTAATTTGCAAGGTATTGCGATCTGGTTTTAACTTTTAAAACACATTACAAAAGCGGCCAAGAGCGCGCATATAAAAAGAAGCTAGAAGACATAGAAAATCAAGAATCAAAAAAGGTTAAAGCCAATCAAGCTAAAAAAAATAATAGAATTTTCAAAAAAAAAAATCTAGTTTCAAAAACGTTAAAAATGTCACAGATATTAAAAATGATAAAAATGAAGAAACGATTTGTCCAGCTTGTGGAGAAGCAGGGCAAAAGGATGAAGAATGGATTCAATGCGAACTTTGCAAGAATTGGTGGCATGAAGAATGCACTAGTTATGAAGGAAATGGGCCATTTATTTGCTATCATTGTTAGTGCGCACACCTACCTTCTTATATGCGGACTCTTACCCTCATAATCGGTTAAAAGTGCGCAATTCTAATTTTTTTATGCAATTTATATTTTCAAGCTTTTTTTTTTATGCAATTTTATTTTTATTATGTCTAAAATTTTGTTATATATTAAAGATTATTGTATAAAAATTTCAACTGTCTATCATTTTAATAACTCTTTTCTAAATTTATATTCATTGAATCATGAATAAATGATTTTAAATTACATTTTAAATGTTTTAGTTGTATTCATAATAAAGCTATGCCCATGTAATATTTACAACTCCCTCCTTTTTTTGGGGGGTGGGGTGGGTGGGAGGGGGGTGGGTGGGAGATGGGTTATCTCACATTTGGAGTTGGAGAGGGACATGTTTACGCTAAGGTTATTACTTGTTAAACTAAAATATGTCATATACTATTTGTACTTATACTAAATGAAAAAATGCATTAAGTCTGAAACAAAAAATTAAACACCAAAAAAAATCTTGTTACAATCCATGTCAGTTTGCTATAAAACAGTCACTGTTGCTATGACACAATATCTCCAGTCACTGTTGCTCATGAAATGATTACTTAAATACTAAACATCTATATTAATTAATACATATAAAACATCTATAACTTATATGATTATTTTAATTTTTTATCATTTTTTACTACAGAATTATTTAATACGTTTTCCTTAACTACATTATTTTGCTTAATTCTGGTCACTTAACGAATTTAATTTTCAAAAGAACTTACCTTTAGAAAAGTTTCACCACGTTCTTCAAAATGGAAACCTCCGATCTTTTCCACAATATTTTTAAAAGCTGGGCTCACATGAATTCGCAGAGCTAAAACAATGTTTATACTTTACATAATTCCTAACAAATTTGGTAACATGACATATATAGTAGAATGACATGACATATGGTAGTTCAACATGACATGGATGGTAGTATGGCATGACATATATGGTAGTATTGCATGACATTTATGGTAATATGACGTATGATGTAATATGATGTAAATAACTTTTAATGAAAACTAAATTTTATTAAAATTATATTTCCATGCTTTAGTGCATAATTTAATAATATTCAGGAATATTCAAGTGACTTTATTTTACATACATAAAATAATGCAAAAATGTTTGAAAAAATGTGCTTGTATGATTTTGGGGTCGTCCATAAGTTGTCACACTTTAGGGAGAAGGGGGTTATTAGTTTTGTGACGACTCATACGGAAATTGTTAATAAAGAGTTACGATATTGTGACGAGATGGGGAAGGGGTAAAAAACTGCGTGACGTAATTTTGTGGACGAACTATTTGATTACAGTATGTATATATATGTACAACATAATAAACTTTCTAATGAAAAATTTCAAACTTTATACGTCCTATTTATCAATATCAGCAATTTCATTACCCAGCAAACACTGGACATACAAAATACGTACAATTTACGTTCAGCTTACGTTCTGAACGTAAGACTTTTTTGGAACCAAAATATTTCAAAAATCAAAAGACGTCTAAATTACATTCGGAAGTGCCTTTTTATAATAAAACACAGATCAAACAAACATGTAAACTAAAATTAAAAACTCGTCTTATTAGTATCGTTCAAAAATATTTAGTTTCATGGTTAACTTTTCGTAGATATTTTATTTGGTAGTTGTTAAATTTTTATTTTATCTCGAAATAAAATTGAAATCTAAATAATAACTAACGATTTCACAATGAGTTGTTTGAAATAGATTAGATTGTAAGTTATTAATTTAATTATTATTACATTAGTAGATTATTTCTTAGAAATTTTTAATCAATTTGATTTACATTTAGTTTTATTATATATGAAATAATAAATTTAAAAAAAGTTTAGACTATTTTTTTATATAGATAATTATTTCAAAAACTGTATTTATAGTTTTTGATAAAACTATAAACACTATAAATGCAGTCTGTATTTATAGTTTTTGATGTCTAAATGAACTAAAAATAATTTTTTTTGCCAAAAATTTGTAATTTTTACAAATTTTATTGTTATTGCCACAGTTATTACCAAAATTATATTTTTTTTACATTTTATTTCTTTCATAAGAATTTTTCATAGTAGAATATACATTATGTATACAATCTATATTGTCATTGCATATACAATGACAATATACATTGTATACGCTAAGACAAAAAGTGTTATACAACTTCTATTGTTATGTTATGTTATACAAGACAATAAAAGATATATGGCTTAATAATAAGATAAGGAATTCAAAATGAATAACATCTAATCAAATTCTATATTTAAAATGTATAATTTTTTATTTGTTTGGTTGATTGTTATTATATTTAATAAACCTTTCTTTTTAATTTAATAAAAAATACCATAGCATGGTTTTAATGTTGTAAGAGTTGTATAAACGTGTTTTGACGCTTATTTACAGTCCTGTTGCGTAGCATTAAAAATCGTATCATGTATAATTAAGAACTTTGATGTTATATTGCATTTTTTTAACTTAATATACATGGTTGCTAATAATAATTTATACTTTTTTTCTTACATCATTGATTGCGTTGTTTTATTTGTTGTTTTAAGACATTGGATTTTTTATTACAACCATCATGACAGAAAAAACATAAAAATGCTTAAAAAGTAAAAACTATGAAACTCAGTATATAACATCAATATGTGCTGAATACACACCAAATAATTTTTTTTTCTACCATCCATTAAGTTTGATAAAGTTGTTCAGAAGTGGTAACAAGTAAGCGTTACGACCGTCACGCTACGTAGAGTTAACTTTTGAAAAAAGTTGAAGACTTTAATGCTGTATTTTAAACTTTAATATACTAAATTATATGATAGTATTTCACATTTCTGGAAAGTTTCAAGTCATTTCCATTTTTAACAGCTTCAAGAGTGTCAAATGTTACGACCGCTAGTCTCACGAAACTGCCCATAATTATATATATATATATATATATATATATATATATATATATATATATATATATATATATATATATATATATATATATATATATATATATATATATATAGATATATAGATATATACATATATATATATATATATAGATATATATATATATATATATATATACATATATACATATATATACATATACATATACATATATATATATATATATATATATATATATATATATATATATATATATATATATATATATATACATATATATATATATATATATATACATATATATATACATATATATATATATATATATATATATATATATATATATATATATACATATATATATATACATATATATATATACATATATATATACATATATATTTACATATATATATATATATATATATATATATATATATATATACATATATATATATATATATATATATACATATATATACATATATATATATATATATATATATATATACATATACATATATAATATATATATATATATATACATATATATATATATATATATATATATATATATATATATATATATATATATATATATATATATATATATATATATATATGTATATATATATATATATATATATATATATATATATATATATATATATATATATATATATATATATATATATATATATATGAAATATATATATATATATATATATATATATATATATATATGAATATATATATATATATATGTATATATATATCTATCTATATATATATATATATATATATATATATATATATATATATATGAATATATATATATATATATATATATATATATATATATATATGAATATATATATATATATATGTATATATATATCTATCTATATATATATATATATATATATATATATATATATATATATATATATATATATATAATTTTAAAAAATAAGCTTAGGTATTACTTATTTCATATAAATCGTCAAATTAATTTTGGCAATCACCAAATGCTTTACATTATATGATAATCTCAAAGGTTTTCTCTTTTTCAATTTTTTAGTTAATGATATTAATTAGGGGTTATTTATCAATTTTCTAGTTTATATACCTAATTAGGAAAATAAAGTATACATAGCACAAATGAAAATGCCAAACAAATTTGTTTTCCTGCTCATTTTTCTTGCTTTTTTATTTTATTTTTTTCTTTAGTGTTTATGAAAAAATTTTATGTTCAGCTGATTCTTCCATTAAACTACCTTAATTATTGAAAATTAAAGAAAAAGTTAAATAATCTGAATCTATTGAATGTCTTAAATGGATTTCCTCCATTCACCATGTAAAAAAAAAATTGTTTCTGTTTTGGTGAATAGAAAGAGATTTTTATTTTTATTTGAAGAGATTTTTCAAAAATCATAAAATTATCAAAAATATTTAGTGCTTATGGTTGCTGATGTTGGTTGCCACACTTGTTGTTGTGATAAGTTTATATTAAAGTTATCCTCGAAGGCCAACACTCTTCCTTATTTCCAGTAACTTCTGGGGTACTTCAAGGTTCCTATCCTTGGTCCTATTTTGTTTCTTATCTACATTAATGATCTTACCGACAACCTTACATCTAAAATTGCTCTTTTTGCTGATAACTCAACTTTACACTTCTGTCTTGACAAAAAGTCTTCTCTTTTTGAACGCTTAGAACAGGCAGCCGATCTTGAATTTAATCTCACTTCTGTAACAGATTGAAGCTCACAGTGGCTAATTTTAACTCCAACAAAACCCAGTTATTTAATGCAAATAATTATCGCAGTACTGTCAACATTCCTATATTGATGAATGACAACCCTCTCACTGAGAGGTTTCTTTTTGACATTTTTTGGCGTACTTATGCCAGTTCGCACTTGTGCCAGTTTTTACAACTGATTTGCACATATGCAGTGTTTGCAAATTCCTTAGGCGCACTTATGCCAGATCACACTTAAGCCAATCGCGCTTGTGCAAGTTCGCACTTTTGAAATTTGCGCTTATTCAATCAACCCCTTTCAAACAGAAACCCCTTTCTTTTTCATTCAGAGTGTTTTTGAAATGTTTTTTAAAATGTAAATAATAATTTTAGCAACCAAATCCAGGGTAATTTGAATGTCTAACAATGGATTGTTTCACTTAAATGTCATGAGAATGTTTCTCTTACAAAAAATAAAAGAATACAATGCCCAATTAAAACTGACACAAAATTATTAATGGAACCAGACATTTAAGATCTTTTATAAAGAAACAGACCATGAATATTTTACAACTTTGTATGAATATTACCTCATAAAAATAGATTGTAGCAAAACTTTGAAAACTTGCTGTTTATATAGTTAATATGTATTATACAAATGTGTTAATAAAAATGTTTAATAAATTTTTAAGCGCTCATTACATTTTGTTTTATTTACCTATTACATATTCTAGTAGACCTTTTTTTTTTTGTAAAAGCTTATGCTTTATTAAATTTTTTAATTTAAAAAGGAATAACTAAATAAAAAAAGAATAACTAAAAAACTTTTTTTTTACCAAAAATATTTACTTTGCGCAGATTTAATTTTGCCCACATAAACTGATTTACAAAGGTTTCGAGGGAGGTGGAGGCTATAGCCCAACATTTCTACTGAAGCTTGTAAATTCTAATATAATTTTTATACAACATTATCAATGGCATTTTATGTGTAATTAAATCTGCATCTATTGACTAATGTATGCATGTAAGTATTTACAGATATATGGATATGCACATATATATTAAGAAATAAACACTAGTATATAAAATTAAAATGGGTAAATATTTACGCTCTCCTGTTGACTCCATCCTTGATGCAAAATTAACTGAATCCCCAAAAAGACAATATCGAGGCATTGTAGTTCCAACAACACCAGCCACAACAGGTCCTGTATGTAAGCCAATTCGTACCAATAGCTTTTGTTCAGGTTTGTGACGAACAACAAACGTTTTAACAGCTGAAAGAATATGAAGTGACATTGCACCAATTTCTTTGGCATGCTGCATTTTATTTCTTATGGGCAAGCCACTAACTACCATATATGCATCACCAATAGTTTCAACCTAAATTGAAATAAATCATTTAAAATCAAATTAAATCATTTAAACTCAAATTTAAATTTAAAAACTTTTATAAAATAACAAAGTTCAGAACAAAGTTCCTTGTATCAGAAGTGAAAAAAATCCTGATCTTATATGACAGAGACTTTAAGTTGAACATATAAATTTAGTGGAACAATGCCTTAAGTAAAGATTTTATAAAAGATTGAAAAAAGTTTGAAAGTTAGAAAAAATTTGCCATTGATCAGCTAAAATGAAAAATATTGACAATTAAATTATAAAAGTAGACAAATTATTTTCCAAACCATGAAATTTAATTTTTACAAATTTAGTTTTTATGTAAATGCCCAAAAAAAAATAATTAATTATGTAGCTAATTGAGGAATATATATACAAAATAATATTAGAGATCTGTTTGATGTGCATATGATTTTGTTTAATCCCTAATCAGACATAGGTACACTCCACTGGCTATATCAGTAGATGTATGTACACTTCATATTAAAATAAAAAATTTAAAAAATTTTAATAATGAAAAAATATATTTAAAAATAAAGTATTTCCAAAATTCATATTTTAAATGGTTTAAAGTGTTAATTGTGACATGTGTATATATATATATATATATATATATATATATATATATATATATATATATATATATATATATATATATATATATATATATATATATATATATATATATAAATGGGTACCATATTATATATAAATTTGAGAAAAGGGCGTCCAGCTAAGACAACTATGCACATTAATAGAGAAATTAGAAAGTAGAAGATTAGAAGTCTTAACTATCTGCACCAAAGCAAAAGATTTACAAACAGATCATGGTATAGTTTTAAATTCTTGCTTGAAAAATCAAAGTTTTTTTTTAGGTAGGGTTTCCTTAAAAAAGCTTTTCTTCAGTAAAAAAAAACCAAAATAAAAGATTAGGCCTTAAGAACATTTGTAATGGACTCTTGATCAATGGCAACAAGTTTTGGGTGAAACAAAATTATGTTTGTTTAATTCTGATATTCTCACAAATGGAGAAAAAATGCTTAACGTTCAAATCCTAAATGTATGAGACCAACTGTCAAACATTAGACTTAATTATATACTATATACTTCCAACTTATTTTTTTCCTTTTTATTATAGGACAAATGATGGTTTTGGGGTTCCTTTAATTGGAGTAGTGTTAGAGAACTCAAATTTATCTATGGATTAATGACAAAATAGGTTTATACTAATATAATGAAACAAAAACTGGTATTAAGCACCAGAAGAGCAGGCTTATCTCACAATTTTATCTTTCAATAGAATGGAGATCTAAAACAAACATCAAAGTTAGTTGCTAAGTTACCAATTGGTTCAACAGTTAGTCACTATGTGGTTAAAAAAAAACAGTTAGGTTAGGCTAGGTTCCTTAGTACCCAGAACATAATCTAACTAAAAAATTATGGAATCAAAATTAAAAAAGCTGAACAAAAATCATCCAGTTTGTTTCAATCATCCAGTTTGTTTCAATCATCCAGTTTGCCTCCATCATCCAGTTTGTCTCAATTAAAAGTAATATTCATTGGAAAGTAGAAAAAATTTGATCTGCCATGGTTAAAAAAGAATAGATTATAAATTTCTAGTTATAAAAATGTTATTTGATACAAATTAAAAATTCAATTAAAAAAAAAAAAAAATAGTACAAGTAAAAAATTAAAATTTAGGCTTAAAAAATTCATTAGGTCTTTTTTTTTATATACTGTATATACAAGTATACATACAAACATACAAAGATACACAAAATCATAAAAAAATACACATATAAATGCATACATGTCATTTTTAAATAGAAAGAACTTACTTTATAAACTTCATAGTTAGATATCACACTATCGAATAGTGTATATAAATCATTCAACAATGAAACAACCTAAAACAAGCGAATATAATTATTTTAATTCAATTTTTAAAGCAATTTTTTTAATTAATTAATATAATAATAAATCAAAATTGATAATACATAAAATTATAAATTTTTAAATATTAAAAAAAAAAAATTTTGTCTTTCTATTTTGATATATTTTTGATTATTTATAATACAATTTAAATTAGCAAATATTTTATTATTTATTACAAATAAGTTAAACTTTATAAACCCCCTACCCCCACCCCCCTACCCCCACATACACACTTAAAATTTGATGGATGGATCTTAAAAATAGCTGTTGACTTCTTGAACCCTCAAGGATGCTAAACCCGAATATTACACACTTAAAAAATTTCTATTTGATGTTTTGGGTTGGTTATATTAAATTTATTTAAAATGGTATTTATATTGTTTTGCTTAAAATGGCATTTGTAATGAATATAAGCAAGATAACCTTAGATTATTCTAAATAATATTTTTTTTCCAGATTTGCCTAACCCTAGTTTTAAACTTCTATTTGATTAAACTTCTATTTGATGTTTTGGGTTGGTTATATTAAATTTATTTAAAATGGTATTTATATTGTTTTGCTTAAAATGGCATTTGTAATGAATATAAGCAAGATAACCTTAGATTATTCTAAATAATATTTTTTTTCCAGATTTGCCTAACCCTAGTTTTAAACTTCTATTTGATTAAACTTCTATTTGATGTTTTGGGTTGGTTATATTAAATTTATTTAAAATGGTATTTATATTGTTTTGCTTAAAATGGCATTTGTAATGAATATAAGCAAGATAACCTTAGATTATTCTAAATAATATTTTTTTTCCAGATTTGCCTAACCCTAGTTTTAAACTTCTATTTGATTAAACTTCTATTTGATGTTTTGGGTTGGTTATATTAAATTTATTTAAAATGGTGACTTAAAATGGTATTTGTAACAAATATAAGCAAGATAACCCTAGATAAGGAGCATGTTATTCTACATGGGCAAATATTTTTTTCCAGATTTGATTAACCCTAGTAATAAATTATAAATATTTTTTTAGTTAGATTTAAAAACAGATTTCTGTTTGAGTATAAATTTATTATTGGGAACAATATAGAAGATATAGTTTATAGTAAGAAGTATATAGAAGATATAGTTTATAGTAAGAAGTATATAGAAGATATAGTTTATAGTCGGAAGTATATAGAAGATTATAGTTTATTATTTATAAGTTTATTGGGAAGCAAAAGTATGTTTCTACAGCCTGGTTGTTGAAATACTTGTGTTGCTGTATTTGTTTTTTATTTATATTAAAACACTAACATAATACTTTATTTAATTTTTACACTTTATTTAGTTTTTACACTTTATTTACTTTTTACACTTTATTTAGTTTTTACACTTTATTTACTTTTTACATTTTATTTACTTTTTACACTTTATTTAGTTTTTACACTTTATTTAGTTTTTTAAATATAAAATCTCAGTTCAAAAATCAAAATTTTCTATTGCAAAATATTTCATCAAACTTTTTAGATTAATAACAGAATCTTTAAACTATTTGTTAAAATTTTTCACTAGAAAACTTCTCTATTTTTCTTTTGTAAATCAATTTTTTAAACATGTTTGCTTGCCGTTTACAAATACTCACAGACATTTTTTAACTTAGTCGTGCAATACATCTTATCTTCTAAAATACCCTAACGCTCAGGTCTTGGTTGCCCATATAAAGCAGACTATATTGAAGCCTTGTTTGCTTTGTTCGCCCATAACTGATATTTCACTTATGCTATAACAGATTACATTGAAGTATTGTGAAGTTTATTTTTTGTTTTGTCTTCACTATATTAACTTCTGCCTATCATTAGTCAAGAAGTGCTTCTTATCAGCTATTACAAATGGAAACTTATCGAGTACAAAATCAAGATAAGTTTTGAGGTCTTAAAAAACAATTTAAAGCCACAATTTTTAATTATGGATTTTTGATAAATATTTTTTAGCATTAGTTTCAAGGTAAATCTGCTTTGAACAGCTATGGATTTTTTATCTTTCATGTTTAAAATTTCAAATTTGCTCTTGTTATATTTTTTCAGAAAAAAAATTTGTAAACTTTTCAAAATGGAATTAACATTAACTTTTTGAAAATAGAAATTCCTCAAAATTTGATATAATTAGTTTGTATAAATTCCATAACAATTATTTTGAAATTCAATTGGGAATTTTATTATACTTCAAAAAAATGACTTGGTTACAAAATGTTGGGTAAATGAGTCTATTTACATTTTACTGGAGAATTCCAGTAAAATTATAAATAAACATTAAATTTTATTTTCAACTGTGAATTTTTGGTTGTTTAAATACAATCATTTTTAATTACAAAATACTAATTTCGTTTTAAAAATTTAAAGTGTAAATACATTGTACAAACTGTTCTTATACATTTATTTAAATTTAGTCATATGTTAGAAATAAAAACAGAAATAATAATATTGCAATTAGAAAAAAAAAATTAATTTTAAATACCTGTAAAGGGGTACTAATCGAACACAAAGAAGTAAAACCAACAATATCACTAAAGTAAATTGTAACTTCATCAAAATACTCAGCTTCAACCTCTTGCCCTTTCATGAGCTGTCTTGCAACTGACTGTGGCAGCATACGCAAAAGCAAAGCTTCTGTTTTCTGTTTTTCAGAAAGCAATTCGCCAGTGCGTTGGTTGACAATATCTTCAAGATGATTTGTATACTTCTCCATCATTGCCACCATATTATCCAAAATATTGGTTTTTCTATTTAAAAAAAAAAAGTAAAAAAGTAAATTAATCAAAATAAAACTTTATAATACACAAATAATATAACTCTAGTTTTTTAAATATAGAATTCAATATTCCATACTACTAAATGGTCTATAACTAGAATTTATGCAACTTACTTAATGAAAATAAATGTCTAACCTGAAACCTCTTGGTTCTGAGCCAGAACTCTAACCACGATATTTATATAATTTATGTTTATAAATATAAGTTTATGCCTTAAATCATGTCATACAATATGATTTATATGATTACATTTATATATATTTCAGGTCAGGTCATGTTATCCTGCTACTAGTAAGATGTAACCCAGTACAACCTGCTTCATAATCTGCTGCCTTGTAGGATACTCTTTTTCAGGCAAAGACTAGGAGAAGCCAACTCAGACTTATAACACCAACTGCCTTGGGGCTCTTGGTTGAGTAAAAGCTACAGATGGTGTCTTGATAAAAATACTCATCTTGGGCAGATGTTGAATGCATCTGGCTACTGTCTTATAGAAGGCCTTCTAAGCAAAAACTTAAGAGGTAAACAGGTTGTATCTGTTGACCAGCCTCGCACCCTTCTTAATCTATTAGGCTGGCACAGATGTATTTATAATGATTGTTTCCAGTTTAGGATATTGAATGCTGGATCTTCTTAACTCTATGCATGAGTTTTGCTTGTTTCTCTGTTTTTATGACTAGGCAACTCATTCTATTATCTCCTAATGAGGGTAAAGCTCTAAAACTCAGTTTTATGGTTCTGAGGCTGGCTGGTTCTGAGTAAGGTTTCCTGAACTCTGTAGTAACTCTTAGAGAGGCTGATTCCATTAACAGCTGTTAAATAACAGAGTACTAACAGTGCCATATTGCGCATTGATGGTGTCCCTGTTCGTACTTTTAGTGAACATTGTCGAGTCCACATTTGGAGCCCTTTGTTATGACTTAGAGTTTATTATTAGTATTGAGGTAATTGCTTGGACTATTAAATAGTGTACTGAGTACTATCTGTGCTTTGAGTCAAGTTCTTTAACAAATTAAAAAATGACTTAAGTCCAAAAACTATAAAACACAAAAAACTATCGCCATCACCAAGTTCTCTAAACCTATCATTCACTAATAATTGTGGTCTTTGAAGTAACTTTTCTTCTGTTGAGCCTTATCTTGCAAAGTTCATCAGACCTACTTGTTCTTTGTGAGATTAATTTAAATTCGGCTGTCTCATCTTGTGATCTTAATGTTGATGGTTATCTTACTTTAATTCATAAAAACTCCAATAGTCACATGCTTGACCTGGGCATTTACATCTGTAAGAATTCAACCATTTGTAGGGAAACTAGGTTTAAATCCACAGACTATTTTTTTATGCACTTTTGTGTCATAAAAGAATAGCGCCACTTTACTCTATCACCTTTCTCTTTGTTCTATACTGCTCTCTTTCATCTCAAGACTGCACTCTTTTTAATGTTATTTCTGATCAAGTTGACCTAGCCCTCTCTCTTTATCCATTAGCCAATACCGCTGTTGTTGGTGACTTTAATGTTCATCACAATGAATGGCTTGGGTCTAGTGTCAGTGACTCTGTATGTGTTAAGGCCCACAACTTTTGCCTTTCTCAATCTTTAACAAGATTGAGAAAGTTAACTTTCCAACTTGCTTTCCAGACAATCAAAATCATTTACCTTCTCTACTCAACTTATGTCTTGTTTCTGATCCTACTTGGTGTAGTTAAGGCAATTTACAAATTATTCGATTTCCTTTATTTGGAATTAAGATGATTTTATTAGTGCATTATGTCCAAACAAGTGCTTTAGATGTTATAATTTTTTTTGCTTCAGGTTTTTTTAATATTTAAAGATAAATTTTTTTATATAATTTTCAAAACCTTTTTACCACCTCTAATGGGTAACCTAAAGAACATCATTTTGGAGTTTTTAGATCACTTTCGCTCATCAACGTTTACATAAATTTAGCTAAAATCTTTTAAAAAAGTGCCTTAACCCAATATAGATCTTTGTTCTAATCAGTTCTGACATACTTGTCAAAATACAATATTTCTATCAATTTTCACAAAAAATACTAGAATTTAAATTTGGACAAGCAATTGTGATTTTAAGATTTTTTTTAAAAAAAAAAGAGTCCTAGAATCCTCGCTACAAACATTTATACTTTGATTTTTTTTGTCTTTCCATAATTCACAGACCTGATCATTTAACGGAAATATGTGGTAGTCAACAAAATATCATACAAACACTATAATATTTTAAAATTACCTTGACTACACAGAGTAGCCATTACTCAGTTTCTTCACATTTACCCTTTGGTGCTTCAGATCACAGTTGATCTCTCTAAAACTATTATCTCATTCTTCTTCATCATCCCCTTATCATCATATCTTGTACAACTACTATAAAGTTGACTGGGACTCATTCTGTGATTTTCTTCATGATGGCCCTTGGGTAGAAATCTTTTGTCTTCCCGATGACAAATGTACTTCTTATGTAACTTCTTGGATTCAGGCTAGCTTGGAATCTTTTATTCCCTCTCAATGATTCCAAGTCAAGTCTCACTCTTTTCCATGGTTTTCCTCACATTGTGCTGCTGCAATTTTCAATTAAAACTATTACTTCCATATTAATAGATATGGAAGTAATGGTTTCTTGCAAAATAATTTTCCAGAAAACAGACGTCTGTTTACTACTGCTAGAAACCATTGTAAAAAAGTTGTCTAACACAAAAGCCTGCTATTCTCAGGTCATAAAATCTCAAAAATTAAGCTCTTGTGACTTCTGGAGAGTTTTTAACAGTATCTATAATAAAGGCAAGTCTGTTATTCCACTTCTTTTGTATGGTTCAGATTTTGTCACCTCACCTAAAGACAAAACTGAATTGTTTGCTAAGAACTTTTGATCAATATCATCTCTTTTTTTTTTTTTTTTTTTTTTTTTTTTTTTTAACATCTTCACTTCCAACAAGGCTGCAAGCAACCACTATAAGAGTTGGAAGTTACTAGAAGAGAAAAGACTAAATCTGTAGAGCAAGATAGCGATTGACTGATGACTTAAATGATTGCAAATTATATGAATCAGGGAAGCAAGATGACGGAAGCGAACTCCAAAGAACTGATGTTCGAGGAAAAAAACTAGAAGAATAAGAGTTTTTGAAGCACTTAGGAACAGTCACAGAAAAAGGATGAGACTTAATTGAATGACGAGTAACACGAGAATGAATTTTAGTAGATGGCACAAGAGACGCTAGCTCTTTAGAGCAGTGCCCATTATAGTATTTGTAGAAAAGAGAAAGAGAAGCAACATCACGACGATGTGACAAAGGTTGGAGATTGGCTGCCAGGGCAGGTCCAACTATGTTTACAATGCGTTTTTGCACCTTGTCTAAAAGAGAAAGGGCATCATTAGAAGATTCGCCCCAGATGTGGCAACAGTATTCCATACAGGGACAGATTTGAGATTTATAGAGATAGAGAATAGAATCTGGAGTAAGAAAGTGTCGAGCTCGATAAAGAGATGCAACCTTAACAGATGCTAATTTTGCAATGGATTTGATATACGGTTTAAAAGAAAGATCAGAAGTAAGAGTTAATCCTAGAAGATGAATGGTAGATGACTCATCTAGTACATTACCATTCATAAATATAGGAAGATCTAAATTATTACGATAACGATTGGCCGAATAAAATTGAGTTTTATCTGAATTAAAGTTCACCAGCCACTGTGAGCCCCATGCTGTAGCAGAAGTGAGATCCTTTTCAAGCTCAGATACCACCTCCAGGCAATCAGAGAGTGTAGGCTTCTTATCATGACAAGAGTAAATGGTAGTGTCGTCAGCGAATAATGCCACCTTAGATGTGAGAATATCTGGGAGATCGTTAATGTAAATTAAAAAGAGTATAGGGCCAAGGATTGAACCTTGAGGAACCCCTGAAGTTACAGGATATAAAGAAGAGTGTTGTCCATCGAGGACAACTTTTATACTACGATTGGAAAGAAAGGACTCAATAATCTTAAAGATGTTACCAGATACACCATAAGAAGAAAGCTTATGGAGAAGACCAGCATGCCAAACTTTATCAAATGCTTTAGAAATGTCAAGTGCGATAGCCTTAACCTCTCCACCTCTATCTAATGCACGGTAAAACCTATCCGTTATTACTGTTAGCAAATCAGCTGTAGAACGAGAAGATCGAAATCCATATTGATGATCAGAAAGTAAGTTATTTGATTCAAGATGAGAGATTAAGTGTTTGTTGATTAAAGATTCAAAAACCTTGCTTATGACAGGAAAAAGACTAATGGGACGGTAGTTAGATGAATCAGATCGCTCTCCGGAATTTTTTAAAATAGGGATAACAGATGCTGCTTTCCAGCATGATGGAAAACAGGACTCTGATAAGCACTTGTTAAATAGTTTTGAAAGTATGGATGAAAGCTCCGGAGAACACTTCTGCAAGACTACAACAGGAATGTTGTCAGGTCCACAAGCTGTTGAAGAGTCTAAGCAGGAAATTACTTTTGATACAGAAGCTGAAGTGATGCGAATGTCAAGCAAGGGATCAACCTGTTTGACGGCTATGTCAGGTAGAACGCAACTAGTGGAATCGAGAGATGATATTGATGAAAAGTTCTTAGCAAACAATTCAGCTTTGTCTTTAGGTGAGGTGACAAAGTCTGAACCATACAAGAGAGAAGGAATAACAGATTTGCCCTTATTATTGATACTGTTAAAGATTCTCCAGAAGTCTCAAGAGCCTAATTTTTGTGATGAGATACGAGATTTTATGACCTGAGAATAGCGAGCTTTGGCGTCAGACAAAATCTTTTTACAATGGTTTCTGGCGATAGTGAACAGATGTCTGTTTTCTGGAGAATTGTTTTGCTGATAGATATGGAAGTAACGGTTTCGATTAGAAATTGCTGCAGCGCAATGTGAGGAAAACCAAGGAGAAGAGTGAGGCTTGACCTGGAATCGTCGAGAGGGAATAAATGATTCCATTCCAGCCTGAATCCACGAAGTTATGTAAGAAGCACATTTGTCAGCAGGAAGACGAAAGATTTCTACCCAAGGGCCATCACGAAGAAAATCACGGAAAGAGTCCCAGTCAGCTTTAAGGTAGTTGTATGTGGTACGATGATAGGGGGATTCTGATGAAGTAGAAGAATTTGATAATAGTTTTAGAGATCAAACCGTGATCAGAAGCACCTAAGGGTGAATGTGGAGAAATTGAGCACTGGCTAGGATCCAAAACAAGACATAAGTCGATTAGAGAAGGTAAATGATTAGGGTTGTCTGGAAAGCGAGTTGGAAAGTTGACTATTTGAGTTAGAGATTGAGAAAGGCAAAAGTTGAGGGCCTTAACGCCAGCAGAGTCACTGACACTAGAGCCAAGCCAATCAGTGTGATGGGCATTAAAGTCACCAACAACGACGATATTGGCCAATGGATAAAGAGAGAGGGCTTGGTCAATTTGATCAGAAATAACATTGAGAATAGTACAATCTTGGGATGAAGGAGAGCGATATAGAACAAAGAGAAAGACGATAGAGTGAAGTGGTGCTAAACGAAAGCACATAAAAGAATAGTCAGTAGATTCAAACCTAGTTTCACGACAAATGGGTGAGTTCTTACGAATGTAGATGCCCAGGCCAAGCATGTGATTATTGGAGTCTTTACGAATTAAAGGAAGATAACCATCAACACTAAGATCACAAGATGGGACAGCCGAACTCAAATTAGTCTCACAAAGAGCAAGTAGGTCTGGTGAACTTTGCAAGAGATAAGACTCAACAGAAGAAAAGTTACTTCGAAGAGCATGAATATTAGTAAATGATAGGTTTAGAGAACTTGGTGATGACAATGGTTTTTTGTGTTTATTAGTTTTAGGTACTTTAGTCATTTTAAATTTATAAAGAACTTGACTCAAGTATAGATAGTACTCAGTGCACTATTTTACAACTAAGCAATAGCCTCATTACTATTAATAAACCCTAAGCCGTAACAAAGGGCTCCAAATGTGGCCTCTGCAATGCACACCAAAAGTACGAACAGGGACACCATCCATGCGCAACATGGCACTGTTAGTACTCTGATATTTTTCGGCTGTTGATGGAATCAGCCTCTCTGAGAGCTACCACAGAGTTCGGGAAACCTGACTACCAGCCGGCCTCAGAACCATAAAACTGAGTTTTAGAGCTGTACCCTCATTAGGAGATAATAGAATGAGTTGCCCAGTCATAAAAATAGAGACACAAGCAATACCCACGCATTGAGTCAAGAAGATCCAGTATTCAACATCCTAAACTGGAAACAATGTATTAAAAATACATCTGCGCCAGCCTAATAGATGAAGAAGGGGTGCGAGACTGGTCAACAGAAAAAATCTGTTTACCCCTTAATTCTTTGCCTAGGAGGCCTTCTACAAGACAGTAGCCGGATGCATTTAACATCTGCCCAAGATGAGTATTTTTATTGAGACACCATTTCTAGCCTTTACTCAACCAAGAGCCCCAAGGCAGGGGGTGTTTTAATTCGGAGTTAACTTCTCCTAGCCTTTGCCTAAAATAGCGTATCCTACAAGGCAGCAGGACATGAAGCAGGTTGTACTGGGTTACATGTTACCAGTAGCAGGAAAACCTGACCTGACATACTTGATTCCACTAGTTGCATCCTACCTGATATAGCTAACAAAGAGATTGAACAATTGTTTGACATTTGCATCACTCTAGATTCTGTATCTGATCTGAAAGTGATTTTTTGCTTAGAATCTTCTACAGCTTGTGGTCCAGACAACATACTAGTTATAGTCTTGCAGAAGTGTTCTCCAAAGCAGTCGTCTATACTTTCAAAACTATAACAAGTGCTTATCAGAGTGTTGTTTTCTAGCCTGCTGGAAAACGGCATCTGTTATCCCTTTTTTCAAAAACTCTGGAAAGCGATCTGACCTGTCTAATTAACAATTAACAAACACTTAATCTCTCATCTTGAATCTAATTTTGATTTTCGATCTTCGATCAAAGATGAGCAGTCAATTTGACCAGCCAGCACATAAAATTGAAGGTCAATTGCTATTTTTAAACTGTCAAAATTTTTATTTTTTTCTTAGCCTAAATTTGTATTTTAGCAATAGCTCTTCATGACTGAATTTTATACACACAAAAATAACTTTATGCTTGAAAATTAACATTTTTTTTCCCTTTTAAAACAATAATTTTAAACAAAATCAATGCATTTTTCAAATGGAAACGCAAATAACATTCAAATTACAAGCCGATGTTAATTAGTTAATAACTCGAATACACATAGATTTTTATTAGATTAAAAAGGAAGTTTGATAACATCCAAGTAATAATAAATTTTTTTTTTAATATCAAAACAATTTTTATAAAATATTTAAAAAAATTGAAACTCAATAACAATAATAAAATAGTAAACACAAAAAGAAATTGTTTTGAGAAATGCAACTATAACAATTTTTTAAAAAGTTTTTACCAAAAAATATATTTTAAAACATGTTTTGTCTGATTCCTTGATAGAAAAAAAATGTGCAAAAGCGCATTGATAACTTTAAACTTATTTAAAAATAATTTATTTATTGCAATAATTTTGCAAATGGCAGGAAAAGCTACAAGAAAAACAAATAAAAAGATTGAATGAAAATGAAAAAGATAAAGTACAGTTGGAAGAGAAAAAGTTCTTAGTTACATACAACTATTTGAAATAATAATAAAATAAGAACTTCAATCTTTGAAGACAATGATGTTAAAGAAAAATTTTTATATTTTATATCTCTGCTCATTAAAATTATTTTAAAGACTGGTAATGTTTATTAGTTAATTGCTAATGTTATTACAGGGTAGAGTGGAAATAAAAATTATTATATATTATTATATTATTATTAAAATAACATTAAATATTTTTATTAAAATAATAATAAAATAAGAACTTCAATCATTTATGAAAAAAAGATTTTTCCCATCATTAAAATGAAAGTAAACTAAATAAGTAAAGCATAAAAATTAACAATAATAGTATAGCATAAACTATATATATATAAGCTATATATATATATAAACTATATATATATATATATATATATATATATATATATATATATATATATATATATATATATATATAAATATATATATATATATATATACATATATATATATATATATATATATATATATATATATATATATATATATATATATATATATATATATATATATATATATATATATATATATATATATAAGCATAAACTAACAATAATAAAATTACATATAATATTTGTCAACAAAGTGAATTCACGGCAGTTTCAAACATGCTTTATGGCTCCTTGTTATTTTTTGAAAATGTTCACTTAAGAGGTGTTACTAAAACTTTTGAAATATTAGACATAATATTGTTATGTAAAAAAAAAAAAAAAAAAAAACACTAATAAAATATTTTATCTTAAGATAATGAATTTCTTCTTGTTTTTTTTTTAACTCTGATTTTTTTTTAATTGTTTAACTATGACCAGCAAGAATTCATTTTGGGAGGTCAAAATAACAATTTTAGTCATTTCAGGTCATTGATCACTGCCTGTATAAATATACATTAAAAAAATAAATTAAAAAATTTTATTTTTAGATACAAGTAACTTTCTATAGATGAAAGTAATTTTTACATAAATAAATATAAGTAAATTTAAAAAAAAGTAAACTTTCTAAATATAAAAAAACAATTTTTTAGATATACAAAGAGTAGGATGAATAATTTTTTTTTTAATTAACTTATTTTCTACACTTTAGAGGGCAACATAAACATAAACAGTAGCAAACTTATTTTACTGTACCAGTTCAAATGTCTATGCTTAGAAACATAAGAAACAATATTGAAATGTTTACTTTGTTAAATTAAATTATTTAATACAACTAGCTACTTGTTAGAATTAAAGTTATTCAAGTTTCTTAAATGTCTAAAAATTCCTTTTTCTTTGGGTGGTATCACTATGGTAATGGTGGTTGTGTCAATAAAGCCTATTTACATCAACAAATATTATATTCAAATCAAACAATAAAATAAAAACTCACAAATTGTTTCTCTTCATTAATCCTTCGATCTCTTTGCGAATATCTGTAAACGATGGTCGTTCATCAGCATTCTCAACCCAAGATTTTTTCATTATATCTCTTAAATCTTCTGCATTCTCAATCAACTGAGGGACATGCGGTCTAAACGGTGGATTTTCACCATTCTTAACGCGCATTACAATCTCTAAAAGAAGTTAATATTAGTTGAAAATAAGACTAGTTTTAATTTAATTTTAAATATCTTCCTTAATAACTGTTATACTTAATAATAAAATGATAAAACTAACAGAAATAACAAGTTTTGTTAAAAATAAAAAATTCAATTTGATTATCTCCCTAAATACTATTTATACGCTAACTTGGAACTTTTATATTTTTTTTACATTATTTATATAAATTTTCAACCATACAGATCATTAAACAATTATTTTTATCTACTTGTTATCTCCATTTTCATCTACTTGTTATCTCCATTTTCATCTACTTGTTATCTCCACTTTCATCTACTTGTTATCTCCATTTACCATTGAGTTATCTAATCATACAGTATTGGACAAAAGATTTGCAACCAACATCGAACAATGCTAAAAAGTGTTCCTAATTTTACATGTCTTAAAAACGAAACGAATTATACTACCACATCAAACAGTTCAGAAGTCTGGAGTCATAGCATGTCATGACATGAGCAATCAGCTGACAGGTGACAGCACACAGGCAGAATTTCATTGACCAGTGCAATTTTGCAGCGGACAGAAATTTCCAGAAGAAGCATCTGGAAGCATCCAGAAGTATCCAGAAACATTCAGAAGCATCCAGAAGCATCAAAAAGAAGCATCAAGAATCTTCCAGAACAGGTTCACACAGGTTCATTTTACTATATAAGAGACATGTAAACCGACATGTAAATCAGTCAGTATATGGAAGTCAATCAGTCAGTATTATTAAGACAGTTTATCGAAGTGAGTTTTATCAAAGTGTTTTATCGAAGAACATCAATACAAGAAGTGAAATACAACAAGTGTTTCATTACATCAATACAATCCACATCCAACCAAGACGTTGTGTTCCACAGAGCATTATTGTATCATCACAAGGTAAATGTAACATGATAAGCCTTGAGAAGCGTGATTATTTATTTTTATTATTTTTATGACTTCAAGTGCAAAAATGGCTCCCGACAGTCTTGGATTGGAACTAAGAAAGAAAATTATTGGCGATTATGTAAGTGGAATGTCATAAAAAAGTATTTGTGATAAATATCGCGTGAAAAAATGGAGCAGATCAAGGCTATGTTCCAAATATCTTTTTACAAGGAAGTTGGCAGCAGATAACAAAGGTGGAAGACAGCGATTCTATGATCGTCAGATCCATCATGAAGGATCCCTGGATATCATCAGTCGAGATACAAAAGCAATTAGAGCTGCCTGTATCGGACCAAACAATCAGACAACGTGCTGTTGAAGCCGGATTGTTTTCTCGACGCCCTACAAAGAAACTGCTGATTTCACTAAAAAACCAGAAGAAAAAACTCCTGTTTGCTACATCTCATATTGACTGGAATGCGCAGAAATGGCGAACTGTCCTGTTCAGTGATAAATCAAAGTTCAACATCATTGGGAGCGATGGCATTTGCCAAGTATGTTGACCGGCCAGAAAACGCCTCGATTTACATTACTGCCATAAGACCGTGAAGCATGGTGGAGGCAATGTAATGGTCTGGGGGTATTTTTCTGCTAACAGTCTAGGTCCAATACATCGAATCAATGAAATAATGGACCGTTTCATGTATAAAAATATCCTGAAAGATGTTATGTTACCTCGTGCTGAATGGAATATGCCAATAAAATAGGTTTTTCAGCAACGACAATCCGAAACACACTGCAAAAGTAGTCAAACAGTGGTTTCAAGACAACCACCTATCGGTGATGGATTGGCCACCTCAATGCCCGGATCTCAACCCTATCCAGAACCTGTGGGACATCGTCAACTGCAGAATTAATTGTGAAGGTGTTCTTAATAAGGATCAACTGTTTGAACAAATCCAAAAGGCCTGGGCAGCTACCTGATCGAATCTATGCCTCAAAGATGCAAGGCTTAACAACAAAGGATTCGCCACGAAATATTGATAGCGAAATACAGCTTGGTCAACATTTTATGGAGTTGCACTTGCTTTTTCCAGAAAGAAATCAAATTTTTTTAATATTTTTGATTAATTTATTAATTATCGTGTACAAATAATGAACTTTGTGATGAATAAAACTTGAAGAACATTGTCTCTAAACAGTTACATAGTTATTTCTCTAAATTGAAAAAACGCAGCACTTTTATATAAAGAAACTAAATTAGCATTATTTGGTCCACTTGTTTTGTTCGATACTGTATATCTAGCCAGCTACACTATTTTATATTCATAAGTTTAAATAATTATTTGGATTATTTATTATAGAGTTACCAAAATTTTTGTTATAGATTAACTATTTACAAGATTTAAAAAGATTACAACAAGAAAGATTTTATCTCCATGGTATTCATCTCCATGGCATTTATCTCCATGGTATTCATCTTAAACTTGAAGACTTAATCACATGGAGTGGTACTGAGGAAGAACTCCAGGAACTTGCAATTTATGAGGACTTTTGCAGCTTTGTATGTGGGCTAAGTGTCACTAATGATTGCAGAGAAAAAACATTGGTCTTAACCAAGAACTTATTGATACATCCCACAAGGAAGATCAATAATTGTAATCAAGTGGCTTTTTTTAAAAGTCTTTAATAAAGAATTTTAAAATTACATTTCTTTCATAAAAAGTTGAAAATTTTCATGAAAATTCGGATTTCATTAAAACTCAGTTATAACTAAGTTAACTCCCGATTTTGTAGCTGTTCCTGATGTATTAAAGGTAAAATATTTTATCTGTGGATGTGATGGGATGTAATGGAGAGGAAACTTTAGCATGTTGAATTTTTGAAAAAAGTGAATTTTTGTTGAAATTGGGGTCACCCTACTATACACACTTAAGGATTAAATTGATAAAAAACTGGGAGAGTATTGACTCTCATAGGAAGACATACATGGTATCTCAAACTTAATTAGTTCTATTCTCTTCTCAAACACCATTAAAAACAAAATCAAACGTTGCATTGTAAACTTTACAACCTTTGTGAACTAAGTACAAAATTATATTACAAAAACAAAATTATAGCTCAAAGTTCTGATAAAATTAAAGCTAATTGTGTTTTCCAGATCTCATTTTATTACTTTTAAATTTATTTTAAAAATGCACATATGAACCTTGTTTTCCTGTCTGCTGGAAAATGACATCTGTGGTTTCAATTCTAAAATACTCTCTATACCACTGACTTCTTGCTGATGCTCAATCAGCCTTCTGTTATCATCATCAATGATGTCATCATCAATCAGCCTTCTGTTGTCATCATCTTCTGTTATTAAGTCTTTAAGTCTTTAATCAAAATATTTCTAACAACAAATTTCAACAGTCTCTTAGTTCTACTGCTGACTTGTTAAACATTAAGCAACAAAAGAATTTTATCAAGCATTTGATGGAAACAGCGAGGCAAGTGCTATTGCTTCTGACATATCAAAACCTTTCAATTAAATCTGGTATGCTGGTCCTTTCAATTAGCTCACTTCAAATGGTGTATCTGGGAGAGTACTAATAATACTGAACCATTAACTGCAAAATTTAAGTTACCCTTGATGGGCAACACTTTCCTTCATTTCCAGTCACAAGATTCTATCTTTGGTCCTGTGTTATTTTACTTATATACTAATAATCTTGATAATCTTCCTTTAAAGCATCTCTATTTGTTGATGACAAAACTACTCCAGTCTTTACAAAAGTCATTTTGTTGTTTATCAATCAAAATTATGCTACACCTCATTCAACAAAGTTGTAATTGTTTTTTTTTCTCAAACATCAGTGATATGGATTTCAAGTTTTTATGTTTTTCCAACTCATGTAATTTACAGTTTTTATAGTCTTTTGTCAAATGCTTCCTTGCTCCTTCCTTGCTCCCTCTACTTTGCTTTCTGTTAGCTCCTAATTTAGTGGTTGTTTGCAGCCTTTTTGAGAGTGAATTCATTTGAAAAAAAATAAAAATTTGTTTAAAGTCTTAGTCAAAAAAGATTTTTTCTTAATAATCTACAAGTTGGTTTTAAGATGCAAAAACTACTCCAAACTTTTTATTCATTTACCTTCACAATTCAATTTTAGGTTCTTTCAAAAGCTAGCATCATATAAAAGATGCAAAAACTACTCCAAACTTTTTATTCATTTACCTTCACAATTCAATTTTAGGTTCTTTCAAAAGCTAGCATCATATAAAAGATGCAAAAACTACTCCAAACTTTTTATTCATTTACCTTCACAATTCAATTTTAGGTTCTTTCAAAAGCTAGCATCATATAAAAGATGCAAAAACTACTCCAAACTTTTTATTCATTTACCTTCACAATTCAATTTTAGGTTCTTTCAAAAGCTAGCATCATATAAAAGATGCAAAAACTACTCCAAACTTTTTATTTATTTACCTTCACAATTCAATTTTAGGTTCTTTCAGAAGCTAGCATCATATAAAAGATGCAAAAACTTAAACAAACTTTTATTGATTCACTTCACAGTTCAATTTTAGGTTCTTTAGAAAGTTAGCATTATATATAAGATAAAATACATTAAAATAAATGTCAGAGAAATTATTTGTATTTTTATTTGTTTTAAATGATTTAAATGGTTTAATATGCTCTTAAATAAAAAGCAAAAAATGTTTGTTTTTAAAAAACTTTCTTCACCTTTAAAAATAAGGTTTTGTATTATTACATTAATTGAGTTAATCAATAAAGATGAATAATGTTAAATAAAAAGAGAAATGATTGTTTTTAAAATACTTTTTTTGAATAACTATTTTAAATATGTTTTTTTATAATATATTTTAAATATCATTTAAAATAATAATTGTCATTAAGAATAAATTGTTGGAGATTACTGATAAATATAATTTATATTTTTTATGTTTGTTTTTTAATTTTAAAATTTTTGTTTCTCACTTTTACATTTTTTTTTTGTTTAAATTTTAAAACAAATGTTTTTTCAGGGTATTGCTTTGAGTCTTGGTGATAAAATCAATCTCTCAAAAAAGATAATAAAAGTATAGAATTTAGTAAAAGAAAATAAATTCATCATTTTATATTGTTTTTTTTTTCAATAGCTTAGATATTTTTAAATAGTTCTTATGTTTAAGATGAAATTATCAGCAATTTGCCAAGTTATATTGTAATATTTATACATTTTGTTTGGATTTTCATTAAAAGAGTGAAATATATCTGAAATCTTAGATTTCAGATAAATATTATTTTAGTGAAAATTTACTCATCACAATAATTTAACTGCTTTTGTAAGAATTTTTTTTTTGAGACCAGACATTTTAAAATATAAATAACATTTATAAATATTATTTTATAAATATTTAAAAAATGTCTCCAAAACTAAAAATTTCTGACAGTTAAATTATTAAATATCAATGTTTGAAAAATTAAAACTGATTAAAATAAAAACCCAACTTTATTAACTAACCATGAGGTTCTAAATAAGAAGTACTCCAAGGTCCTTCCCTTGTATGGAATTCTTGTGTTATAATTGCAAAGCTATAGATATCACCTTTTTGAGAACCTCTTAATGGAGGATCAGTCAACCGCAGAAGTTCAGGTGCTTTATACAACAAACCTAAAATATAAGAATAACAAATAATAAAATGTAATGCATGATTTTAGAATCTTTGAAATATCATTTGAAAAACTTATTGAGGAGTACCTAATTTCGAAATTCAAAAACTAATTAAAATTTTTTTGCAAAGAGATAAAATTTATGAAATAAAAAGATATCAGAAATAAAAAAAACAAAACAAAAACTTACTTCTATAGTTAACATTTGTTGATTCCACAGTAGAATTATCGTGCTTAAACTCATGTAGACCAAAATCAGTAATTTTAAGAGTCCATCTGACGTCAATAACACAGTTAGAAGATTTTAAATTACCATGAGATTTGATATCACTGCAATGTAAAAACTGCATTCCTTTCACTACTTCATGAAGTAAAGATAAACAAAACAGTGTGTCCAGTTTAATATTATCATTTTCAAGAATATCCTAATGACAAAATTAAAAAAATAAAAATTGAAAATAAAAATGAATTAAATTTTTTTAAATAAAAAAAATATCAAAACATTTATATATAAAAACAAATAAAATAATTTTTGTAAATTTTTTTCAATCATTTTGGCAGTAAAAAAAGAAATTGCTTTTTGCTTTTTAGTGAAAAAAAATTCTTTTATTTGTATATTTGCACATTTAGGTAACTTATTAGGCAACACTATATTAGGTAACTTTCCTCACAAATAGATTTTGCTTTCTAGTAATAAACAGTAAATAAACATGAATTTATAAAACTGGTGAAACAAATTTTACTGTTTCACAACTGTCCTATGTTTTTAATGGAATAAAATATTTTTTTCGTCTTAAATTAATATCTTTGCAAGCTTTTTTATTTATCTTTTTTGAAATGAAAAGACATCAGACTTATTTTTGAAATAGAAGACATTAGACTTATTTTTGAAATAAAAGACAATTATTTATAGTAATTAAAAAAGAGAATAAGTAAAAAATTTTTCAAACAAATAAAAAAATTTCAATGTTAGGCAGTAATTAACTTTTTAGAAAAAATTTATAAAATGTACTCAAGCATTATTAAACTCCAATTACATTTACATAGTTTCTATAAACTTATACCTTAGTTTATAGAAACTATGTTATTAAAATGGGGTATATAACCTTAAAATGGGGTGTAAACTATCGTTATACACCCCATTTTAAGGTTATATACCCGTTATACACCCCATTTTAAGGTTACAGCATTTCTGTCCTTTTACTACTATACATAACATAGCTCTTTAAACTTTCCAATAATTTTCTGGAACTCTGCTACACTCTTTTTCAACAGCTTATTATTATACAAGGCAATATTATCTATTTATTCAAATCCATAATGTTTATTTATATGATAAAATCTTGTTTAAAATGAGTGATTTGAGGTCTTCAGATGCTGAAAACCAGGGGTGAAGAGTCGTAAAAAAAAAAAGTAACGTAAAAGTAAAGTAAAAATTCTTTGAATTCTTTAAAAAATATTGCCCGGTAAGTTGAAAATTTTTTTTTGACAAATTTATGAAACATTCTTTGATGTTTAGTATGAACATAAGGTTAATTGAATGTTTTGTACATGCATGTGCAATACCAAGAAATTTTACTATCGGAGTCGGAGTCACAATATTTTTTAGCGACTCCAACTCCGGTAAAATTGTCGCAACTCTGCGACTCCAACTCCACAGCCCTGCTGAAAACATTCAAAGGCAGATTCTAAATGAGACAGGATCTTCTGTATTAATCAATCCTATTTGACTAAAAACCTTCTACCTACCCACCATGCACCTGGTAGTACTGCGTTCAACTTGTTTCTCCCTGCAGCAGCTTTTTTTTATAGAGTTAAAAAGTTGAGTGAGGGTTGCAACCACTGAAAGTGACTGAATAAAAATATCTCCCTCGGCCTTGGCAAAGTGAATGAATTATAAAAAAACACACACAAATACTTAGAGTCAATTCCAGTGATGTTTGTTGAGCTGCAAATAAACTTGAATTACATTCTTATGTCTACTTGTCCATTTAAGATTTTTTCGATGATACACCCTGTCATAAACTTATAATAATCAACATTAGTTTTGGATCTGAAGCATTTGTTACACTTAAATTTATCTAACCATAATACACTTTTTGACTGTTCTTTTATCTAACCATAATTACAAACACTTTTTGTATTTTTGTTCTTTTGTTTAAATATTATGAACTTTTTCAAACTCTAATTGAGATTCTTGGTTTTTCACAACCCTGCAAACACTTATACTCACCTATTTCTTGAATAAAGCAGGGTTGTGCAAACACAACCCTACTTTATTCAAATGTTGTTGTATTTTCTGAAACATTTAGATAAAATTCACGAATTACACCTCTTGCTCAAGCAAATGCAGGCTTGGACAGGAATGGCGTGCGATCGCACTCTGTAACTGACCACGCTAATATATTTATTTCTTTACAACTAGACCACGGCTATTTTGATATTTTAACAATTTGAATGCAATAAAAAAAAGTGTTACATTATAAATATCTTTTAATCGTTGATCTTTTCTAAAGTTTTTCATTTTACGAAAAGGCTTTAAATAAAACCATAAATTAATTATAGTTATTGTTTACATAAACGCTTGTGTAAATTAATGAAAAACGTTACATTTAAGTTTTTTTTATGTAGGCATGTACTTTTTATGATAAATTTAAACGTTTGAAACTATTTTTTCATGTCTTCCTAAAAGATTTTTAAACCATTATATTTACAAAGAATTTTTTTAAGTTACTTTAATTTGTGAATAAGTTCAACTTTTGTCTGTCTAGACATAACCAAAAAAGATAAAAATTATTTGACAGCATTTCCTAAAAGAAGTATCAGTTACTACAAAATGTAGCAATTATATTTGTCTTTTAATTTTATTATTTTGATAAAAAGATTATTTTTATGTTTGAAGTTTAAAATTGGGGCTACTTGAACCCAAATGTCATTGTAGCAGCTTATGTTTGAAAATGATTAAATTTATATTTCATTAACATTAAACTCCAAAGTGAAATAATATATTTAAAAGGAGTTGATACGTTTGTTATTTTAACCATGTTTTTAATATTTGTTAGGTTATAAAATGTATACCTAAATAATGTTGATGATTGGTTAGAGCTATTGTTATACACCTTTTTGCGTATACTTCATGCTATCATAACTGGTTCTAACAGAATGGTTTGCAGATTTAAAAGAAAACTAAGATCCTGAGCTTACAAAGACCATACCATTCAAAACTTAGAGCAAGTCTGTATTAATATTGAACGTGGAGCTATGAGTCAACAATTTGCTGAAGAACAATTTAAATCAGGCGCTCCAGCATTAAGAGAGCACTTCAAAGATGACGCCTTACTATCACAAAAAACATGCAGGGCATCCAGCTATCTTCACACCTGAAGAAGAACAGTCATTTTGTGATCACTTAAATAAAGTTTCAACTTTTGGCTACCCACTGACCTCATTTGATCTTCAAATTATTGTAAAATCCTATCTAGATCGATTAGGGAGTGATGTTCAATGTTTCAATGAAAACTTTTCAGGTGTCAAATTGGTAAAAGCTTTTATTAGACATCATCAGCTATCCGAAAGATTTGCTAGAAACCTCAAAAGGGCAGGACTTTTTACACTATGGGTTCAAGTAGCCCCACAACAGGGGCTACTTGAACCCAATCTTAACCCCCCAAAAAAGGGGGGACAGAAGTCCACCCAAATATTTCTCTACAATCATCATTACTAATTCATAAGTCCATGAATAAGCAACAACAAGTTTTTTTTACATTGACACAAATATGAGAGAGAACCACAAACATCAAATATGTATCAAATTTGGGTCCAAGTACCCCCGTATGACGGTACTAACTAATCCACTTATAACTGTTTTTGTGATTTTAAACTATTTACATAAATTACTTGGTGCAGTTCTATCATTTTAATCATTTTTTAAACATTAAAAACGTTGTTATATTTATTACAAACCATCCTGTCATTTTCAAACTTTATATTATCAACTTCTACTGTTAGCTATACTATCAACTTCTACTGTTAGCTATACTATCAACTTCTACTGTTAGCTTAACTATCAACTTCTACTGTTAGCTATATTATCAACTTCTACTGTTATCAATTTATGCAAGAAGTTGATAGTAGAAGAAGTTACTTAAACAACTAAACTAAAAACCACTTCGTAAACTAAAATCAGGTTTTGATATTAAAAAACTAAACTAACTTATGAAAAAAGTTTAAAATTTTTTTTAAATAAGTTGTAATTACAGCAGGTGATGTAATTACAACTTATTTTAAATTGGAGGTATTTTTTTAGAAAGCAATTGAATTGCCCAATTCCATTTTCTTATCTACATTTATATTATTTGATAAAAGTATACAATATATATTTGTATCAAATGTTGAACATACAATTTTTAATCGTATTATATTTTTTTAAATATGTCATAAATATAAATAAGACGTTGCAATAAGAGATTTTTATTTTTTTACTTTTTAATATCTATCATCTAGGGTTACATTGACACTTGTATGATCGCACAAGTTTATATGATGTCATTGAAATATCTAAATACAACATTATAGAAGAGTTGAAGCAGAAAAAAATGAACTTGTTTAGCAGAGAAAAAAGAAATCTGTTTAAACCCTGTTTAAACAGATTTCTTTAACAGATTTCTTCATGATTTTTTCAAAATTTAACCCAATTTTCCTGTTTTTTTGTAGATATCTGAATTCCCTGACGTTTCCCTGTTTTCTTTGACTCACTTGATCTGGCAGACACCCTGTAATATAAAAGAACTTCTTGACAAAATTAATTACTCTGGATTGAAGTGGGATGTCTGGCTTGCAAGGGGATACACAAAGTTTTTATGGGATTGCTTGGCTTGCAAGGGGATACACAAAGTATTCACGTTTCTTTTTCTTATAGGACAGCAGGGATGATAATGACTGTTACAAGTTACATTAGTTTCAACTTGTAGCACTACAACCATGATTGTTCTTTTGCAGCCTCTAATAGATTCCAACCAAATCTTATTACCATAGACATAGAGTTTTAATTTTCACGGATGGGGCTTAAACTATTTGGCGGGAATTAAAAATGCCTCTTCAATAGGCATAAAAATGTAATTTATTTTATCAAGTAAAATGTATTCATACAAAGGAAGGCATTACAAACTTATCAATCAAAGGATCAAGAGTTGTGGCAATATTGCAATAGTGATTCAAAAGAACAAGATGATTCAATTGCTCTTGAGACTTCACAAATAGGTCTACAAAGTCAAGAAAAAGAGCGCTCACATGTACATTAAAAGACAGGCATACATAGTAAAATCTTCACCAGTTTTACACACTCGGAAATCAGTGGAATTAACTGAGAAAGGATACCTTTTTGGTCTACCAGCATGCCCAAAACTGATTAAAAATGGTTTAGCTGAATATATTTTTAAACTTGGCATGATCCACAAATATGCAGTTTTTTAATTCTTTAATTAAAAAACTTTAATCTTCTTTAATCTTCAAAAAAATCTTGAATCAAAGCCTTAACGAATCAAAGCACTGACCAATGATAAATTTATGTCGGTTAGAATTGGGTCGCAAATCCCATTATAACACAATCCAGAGATGCATTGTAAAACTGGCGGTAGTGATTCTCTGAAGTTATTGTAAAGTATGAAACTCCACTTCCAGTGAATTGTGATGTAGTCTTACCCTTCCATGGTATCTCTGATTTGTCAAGTACACTACATTCTGCTGCTAAAACAGTGGCATCCCATAAGAGTTTAAAGCGAATATCACTACAGACTTCTTTTAACATTTTCTTGAGCGTGTTGATGATATTTTTTGCTTTGGAAAAACTGAGCCAGAAATGTTTTCAATAAAATTTCATTGTAACTTGCTTAAAATATTTTGAAAAAAAACAAAAAAAATATTTACCTTAAAGTGTTGGATTTTTATTGTAAACATGATTTATTGAAACATGCCAGGCGTTTTAGAGAACTATGGGCAAATGCAATGAATAATTGAACTATATTTATTATATTCTTGATCTCTGTTTGATTTTCCAAAGAATCTTGTTCTACCAAGTTGATATTATGAGCGTGGCTGTGCATGTAAATTGTCCACTCTTTTTTTTTCTAATAAAAATCTGCAATCCAATGGATACTTACAGACATGTTAGACAATCTGTCAAAACATTTGCCCCAACAATCATGTATTAACAGGCGAAAATGACACAAAACAGTTTAACAAAGTCACACTCATGGTGTTTTCGATTTGGTATATTAATTAAATAACAAACTTCAAATAGTTAAATTCAAACTCATTCATTTAAGATTAAACTACATAAATCATTTTGCATCCTATTTTATTTTATTTTGGCAAATCTATTGGACTTGAATCAATTGATTGGCAAACTTTACTTTGGCAAACTCAAAAACTTTTTCCCTGCTTAATAATCAATTAATCATCAAAATAAAATCCAAAATTTCTTTTAACAAAAATATTTTGAAGCCTGATTTTTACCTTTTTTCTAAAAGATATCATGTTGGATCTTAAAGAAACAAAATTATATAAAACAAATCATTTTCAAAACCAATCATTGTTCTATAAAAAAATTTCTATTTTAAATTATACTGTCTAGAAAATGAAATTTTTTAACAAAAAATGAAATTTTTTTTTTTTTTTGAAAAACTTTTTAATTTTATTTTTTTTTCATATTTTTTTTTTATAAAATAATTTTTTATTTTTTTATTTTAAGTTTTATAACTTTGCTTCTTTTAAGACCCAACATGATATACTTTTTAATAATAATCTTTTTTTGACAACATTAAATGGATTTAATATTAGACAATTTAACTTAAATTGGGCTTAAATTAATCACAAATGATACCAAAGCTCATGAAAAACACAAAGTTCTGATTTTTTATCTAAAGGCACTCTAATACACACACACAGATATATATATATATATATATATATATATATATATATATATATATGTATGTATGTATATATATATATATATATATATATATATATATATATATATATATATATATATACATACCAAAACATACCAAAACAAAAAGAATTTTAGTAAATTTCAGTTTTAATTGTTCTATTTAAATTTGAAACGAAAAATAATTAAAGATATTGCCATTAAAGCTATATTTAGTAATTTGAATGATGAATTTTTAAATACAAAAAAAACACACACACTAAAAACAAACCTTAGCGCTTTTTTTCTTCTTAAAAAACTATTTTTAAAAAAAAAAAACATAAAAACCAAAACCAAAATTATGAGTCACATCTCTAGACGCTACCATAACTGCCTTTCCAATGTGGGTCACTTTTTCAGGGTTTTGTTAAATTCAAACTTAACAAAACCTTATAGTAAAAGAAGGCTGAAACTTAACATTTTCCTTATAAATTGTAATGAAAAAAAAACAAACCTGTAGACTACCTCGAGAAAAAAAAAAAAAACAAACCTGTAGACTACCTCGAGCACAATATTGTAATGAAAAAAAAACAAACCTGTAGACTACCTCGAGCACAATATTGTAATGAAAAAAAAACAAACCTGTAGACTACCTCGAGCACAATATTGAGTAACAATAGCAATATTTCCAGTATCCACACATGCACCAATAAACATGTTTATGTTGTCATGACGAATGTCTCGCAACTAAAAATACATATTAGCTATATATATATATTACTAAAAAAAATCTCACCAAACGATTTTCAATTAGATACATAAATTAGGACAAAGTTAAAAAATATTTAACCTGTTTTAGTTCCATTAAAACATTGCGATTTAGTTCGACTGTCCGCTTTTTCAATCGTCTTACTGCAACTAAAGTTGATTTATAGTATGCTGTTGTTGTAAAGTGCTGATATTTCTCATAACTATAACTGCTCAAACTTTGACCATCCTTTTAAAAAAGTTAGAATTACTCATACTTTGTAGTTAAAGCCATGGTAGCCATGGTAGTAATCTTTGTATTATTAAAAATAATTTGTTCTATTAGTTTATTTAGTGTTTTATTGATTTTTATGTATGTATGTAAAAACTTTTGAAAGTTAAAGTAAATACAAGATTATTAAATTTTTGCAACTGCAAAAAATTAATGCAATTACTTTATATTAAATATTATATATATATATATATATATATATATATATATATATATATATATATATATATATATATATATATATATATATATATATATATATATATATATATATATATATATATATATATAATAATATTTTTATATTAAATAATGGAAATCATTATACCAATAAATATAAGATTACTATGAGATAAAAGACCTTGGACAGAAATGGCGTGCGATCCTACTCTGTAACTGACCACACTAATATTTTTTCTTTACAACTTGACCACCGCTATTTGGATGTTTTAACAATTTAAATGCAATAAAAAAAGTGTTACGTTATAAATATCTTTTAATTGTTGAAATTTAGAAAGAATTTTAGTTATTTTATTTTATGAATAAGTTCAAAACCTATTGTGACTACTAGCTTTTACACATTTTATGTGAATTATACAAGAATATAAAATAACTTTATTTACTTATATAAGCATGTATGTTGTTGATTAATGAGTTTAAATTTTATAATAATTTTTAAATTCTTTAAGCGAAGTGCTTATTAATAAAGTTGTAATGTTCAAAATAAAATTAAATTAAATTGCTTATTTTATTTAAATCGCAGGCACAATTTATTTATTTATTTTTTCCCTATTTTTACAAATAAAAAAGTTGAAAACCTTTTTTTAATTAGACATTAATTATGAAATTATTAAAAATTACTATTTTAAAAAGCCTACTTAAACAATATTTTTTTGGGTAACTTTTTTGAAAAAAAAAATGTTTATACAATTGAAAAATATTACATATAACAATTTTTAATAAATTTAATAAAATTTGTTCATTTATTAAACAATTGTTAGTAGTAAATTGTTACTTAATTTAAAAACGTTTTGCGTAACTTTGTTAAAATGTTTAAAAAGATAAGCTTTAATAACTTTTATTTCATATGTAATTGAAAAAATTACAAAAAGTTTTGCTTTGAGTTTAAGTTTTCATTTTTATTTTAGTGCTTACATAATTTCTTTTTCATAAGGAATTTGTTTTTCGTTTCTTTTTCTGTTAGTTTTTTTTTTTTAACTTTTTTCCTAGTTTAAGTTTAGCTTAGCGTTTTTTACATTCAGAACATTTCTGAAATGTTTAAATCATCAAAACATATAAACAATTGTGATCAAGTTGTCAAAAAATAAAATCATTTGCATGGTCAGCAATAGCGCTTGATTGCAGACCATTCCTGTCCAAGCCCAAAGACTAGTAGATTTTTGCAGCCCTTACTACAAAAGCTATAATTTTGTAGTTGGGACTATGAAATTTAAAGTTTCTGAAATTTTGTGTTTATATTTTGTCCCTTTCTTTTAATAATCATAAGTTTTCATAAGTTTGTAGCTCTAGTTTAGCATGCTGGTCTTCCCCATATGCTTGTTTTATAGGGTGTATCTAAGAAAGTTTTTGAGATTATCAAATTGTTTCTTTCTAACTGCTTTATTGAAGTCATCCTCAAAGACCAACACTCTTCTTCATTTCTAGTAACTTCTGGGGTACCTCAAGGTTCTCTCCTTGGTCCTGTTGTTTCTTATCTACATTAATAATCTTCCCACAACTTTACATCTAAAGTAGCTCTTTTTGCTGATGACTCAACTTTACACTCCTGTCTTGACAAAAAGTCTTCTCTTTTTGATTGCTTAGTACAGGCAGCCAACCTTGAATCTGATCTCAATTTTGTAACAGATTGGGGCTGATAATGACTTTTAAATTTTAAGCAAAACTCAGTTCTTATATTAATGAATGGCAAACCTCTCACTGAGTCCTCTTCTTTACGTTTTCTTGAATTATTGATTACTACTGACTTTCATGGAATCTATATCTACTATCAATTAATAAATTAGCATCTGCTAAGATTCCCTCTCTTTATCGTGCTTGCCATTTTCTTTCTCCTGATTCCGTTCTCCACCTCTACAAATCTCTTATTCCCTGTATGGAATACCGTTAGTTTTAGTCCCTGTATGGAATACCGATGTCATATTTGGGCTGGTTCTTCTAATGATACTATTTCTTTTCTAGACAAGGTCCAATAACTCGCATCTTCATGTTTTCTGACTCATACAACTTCAACTTATTAAGTTTCCTATCAACCGTTTCCTTGCTCTATAACTCTATTCTTTTTTTCTAATAACTCCCAACTTAAAAGTGGTTACTTGCAGCCTTGTTGGGAGTGAATTAAAGTAAATCTGAAAAAAAAATGTAAGGTATAAAGTCTTTAAGCACAGTCATATGACGCTCCTCCTAAGTGGATTTCTTCATATCATTTTTAATCAGCTCAATTTTGCTTGTGTCTCTGTTTATATGACTAGGCAACTCATTCTATTATTTCCAAATGAGGGTACAGCTCTAAAACTCAGTTTTATGGTTCTGAGGCCAGCTGGTAGTCAGGTTTCCTGAACTCTGTGGTAGCTCTCAGAGAGGCTGATTCCATCAACAGCTGAAAAATACCAAAGTACTAACAGTGCCATGTTGCGCATGGATGGTGTCCCTGCTTGTACTTTAGGTGTGCATTGCCAAGGCCACATTGGAGCCCTTTGTTACGGCTTAGGGTTTATTAATAGAAATGAGGCAGTTGCTTAAGCTATAAAACAGTGTACTGCGTACTATCTATGTTTCGAGTCAAGTTCTTTAACAAATTTAAAAATGAATAAAGTAACAAAAACTATAAAACACAAAAAACCACAGTCATCACCAAGTTTGCTAAACCTATCATTCACTAATATTCATGGTCTTCAAAGTAACTTTTCTTCTGTTGAGTCTTATCTCTTGCAAAATTCACCAGACCTACTTGCTCTTTGTGAGACTAATTTGAGTTCAGCTGCTCATCTTGTGATCTTAGTGTTGATGGTTATCTTCCTTTAATTCGTAAAGACTCCAATAGTCACATGCTTGGCCTGGGCATTTACATTTGTGAGAATTCACCCTTTTGTCGGAAAACTAGGTTTGAATCCACAGACTACTCTTTTATGTGCTTTCGTTTAGCACCACTTCACTCTATCACCTTTCTCTTTGTTCTATACCGCTCTCTCTCATCTCAAGACGGCACTCTTCTTGATGTTATTTCTGATCATATTGACCAAGCCCTCTCTCTTTATCCATCAGCCAATATTGTTGTTGTCGATGACTTCAATGTTCATCACACTGAATGGCTTGGCTCTAGTGTCAGTGACTCTGCAGGCATTAAGGCCCACAACTTTTGCCTTTCTCAATCCCTAACTTAAATAGTCAATTTTCCAACTTGCTTTCCAGATAACCCAAATCATTTACCTTCTCTACTCAACTTATGTCTTGTTTGTGACCCTAGTCAGTGCTCAGTTTCTACACATTCACCCTTAGGTGCCTCCGATCATGGTTTGGTCTCTCTAAAACTATTATCTCATTCTTCTTTATCATCAGAATCCCCCTATCATCGTACATCTTACAACTACCTTAAAGCTGACTGGGACTCTTTCTGTGATTTTCTTCGTGATGGCTCCTGGGTAGAAATCTTTCGTCTTCCAATTTACAAATGTGATTTTTACATAACTTCGTGGATTCAGGCTGGCATGGAATCCTTTATTCCCTCTCGACGATTCCAGGTCAAGCCTCGCTCTTCTCCATGGTTTTCCTCGCATTGTGCTGCTGCAATTGCCAATCGAAAACATTACTTCCATATCTATCAGCAAAACAATTCTCCAGAAAACAGACATCTGTTTATTACTGTTAGGAACCATTGTAAAAAGGTTTTGTCTAACGCCAAAGCCCGCTATTCTCAGATCATGAAATCTCGTATTTTATCACAAAAGTTAGGCTCTCGTGACTTCTGGAGAATCTTTAATAGTATCAATAATAAGGGCAAGTCTGTAATTCCACCTCTTTTGTATGGTTCAGACTTTGTCACCTCACCTAAAGATAAAGCTGAATTGTTTGCTAAGAACCTTTTATCAATATCATCTCTTGACTCCACTAGTTGTGCTCTACCTGATATAGCCATCAAACAGGTTGATCCATTGCTCGACATTCATATCACTACACTTTCTGTATCTAAAGTGATTTCCTGCTTAGACTCTTCTACAGCTTGCTGCCCAGACAACATACCTGTTATAGTCTTGCAGAAGCGTTCTCTGGAGCTGTTGTCTATCCTTTCAAAACTATTTAACAAGTGCTTATCAGAGTCTTGTTTTCCAGCCTGCTGGAAAGCAGCATCTATTAACCCTATTTTTAAAAATTCTGGAGAGCGATCCGATTCATCTAACTACCGTCCCATTAGTCTTCTTCCTATCATAAACAAGGTTTTTGAATCTTTAATTAACAAACACTTAATCTCTCATCTTGAATCTAATAATCTACTTTCTGATCATCAATATGGATTTTGATCTTCTTGTTCTACGGCTGATTTGCTAACAGTAATAACCATAGATCATCCAGGTCATATTTTAAAAATCCGGAAAATCATTAGGGTAAAATATCCGGAAAAAATTAGGAATATATTTTTCCTTATATTCCATTTAATTTTGGTTTCAGCTAAGTTGTTTTTAATTTTTTCTTAACTTTTCTTAATTTTTGTGTGAGTGATGAATGAAAAAGCCTAAAAAATAAATACATTACAAAAATATATTCCTAAACTTGTATGTATGGAAAACATTTTTGATATCCGGAAAAACTAAAAGTTGAGAAAAATATCCGGAATTATGGAAATCTCTGGAAAAAGATGATCCCTGAATAACCGATAGGTTTTATCGTGCATTAGATAAAGGTGGAGAGGTTAAGGCCATTGCTCTTGACATTTCTAAAGCGTTTGATAAAGTTTGGCATGCTGGTCTTCTCCATAAGCTTTCTTCTTACGGTGTATCTGGAAACATCTTTAAGATTATTGAACCCTTTCTTTCCAATCGTAGTATAAAAGTTGTCCTTGATTGACAGCACATTTCTTCTTATTCTGTAACCTCAGGGGTTCCTCAAGGTTCAATCCTTGGCTCTATACCCTTTTTAATTTACATTAACGATCTTCCAGATATTCTCACATCTAAGGTGGCATTGTTTGCTGATGATACTACTATTTATTCTTGTCACAATAAGAAGCCACCTCCCTCTGATTGCTTGCAGGGGGCAATTGAGCTTAAAAAGGATCTCACTTCTACTACAGCATGGGGCTCACAGTGGCTGTTGAACTTTATTTCAGATAAAACTCAATTTTTTTCAGCAAACTGTTATCGCAATCATTTAGACCTTCCTATATTTATGAATGGTAATGTACTCGATGAGTCTACCCTTCATTTTCTAGGATTAACTCTCACTTCTGATCTTTATTGGAAACTTATATCAAATCTGTTGCCTATAAATCTCAAATCTGACCTTGTATGGAATACTGTTGCCATATCTGGGGCAGATCTTCTAATGATGCCCTTTCTCTTTTAGACAAGGTGCAAAAACACATTGTAAACATAGTTGGATCTTGCAGCCAACCTTCAACCTCTGTCACATTGTAGTAATGTTGCTTCTCTTTCTCACTATATTTTTATTATCACAGAAATCCAGAACACAAGAACTAAATCTGATATCAAAAAGTCTAATTTGTTACTAGCGTTTGTTGTTACTTTGCATTTAGATAGGTATATCAGCCTGAACAATGCATAATAATCATAATAATATTTGTAACATATTAGTTAGTAACATATGTTATATGTAGATATAACATGCGCAAACCCATTCTCCCATCAAATCAACTAGCATATGATGTATATGCTATTTAGCTAAATAATAATAAATATTCAGAATCAGGATTTCTGAAATTTCTCAAGGTTTTTCTCAAAGCTTATCTTCATATTCTGGTTAAAGCTTGGTTAAACTTGGTTAAGAATTTTGCCACCAGACTAAGTCAGGTAGGAGTTTTTTTGATAGCTTAAATTCAAAAAACATAAAACTTGAATGCTTTAGAATTACTTTACATATATGGTAATCATTTAAACTCATAATTGATATCATTATATTTTTAAACTCATAATTTTTACTCAATAGACAAATACAAAGTCAAAATCAAAAATATAATATTAATAAAAAAAAAAGAAGCAAATTTACTTTTTAAAATCTCTGTTTGAATAATAGATTTCCATTCACAAGCCATTTTTCAATTAACAATCAGAATATGTACATGTTTTATTGATGTGATAATAATGCATGTTATGTTTGACAGTTTGACAAATCATCAAGTACAACTTTACATAACTCATATTTAACAATCAAACTTGCAATGCATACAATGTACAAACCATGTACAAACCATATACAAACCATGTTTTGATTAACTTTTAGATCTTAATGTGCAAATAACACTTTGATTTAACATAACATTTAAGATACAAATCCTACTCACACCTATCAAAGATTTCTGTCATTGTTGTAAATGATGGACTGTTTTGCTTGACTCCGAAACATAGAGTTGCATATAGTCATTTAAGGTATCAGAAACAGACAAACCCTATAGACATACAAATGCTTTGCTTCAGATTGTCAGTAAATGTCTTGCTTTTATTTTTTAAGATTGAATTAGAAGTGTTAAAAAAAGTAATATTCAAAATCTATTTAGATAATAAGTTGCAAAAGGTCTTTTATTTATGCTAAATAATAACTTAATGACTTGTATTTGGCAGTAAGAGCTGTACTAGCAGATGGTAATGCAAACACTCCTAACAACACTGTTTTGCTGCTTGTCAAAAAACCATTGGGGATATTCAACTCAATTAGTATTTTTTATCATTGTTAAACTTGTTTCTTGATAATACATTGGTTTTACAAATTGAGCTTTTATTCATCCATCTATTCTTTCTTTCATTTATAAATTGCTTTTATAAATATCTTTTCATTTATAAATTGCTTTTATATCCGCATGGTATAAAACACATGTTTAAATGTTGAAATTTAGGGATAAATGAAGGGTAAAAATGGATGAATGAATTACTAACTTGAATCAATAAATAAGGTTTCTATAAAATCTTGATTCAACAGACTGAATGCTATATATGTTGTTTAATACCCAAGGCTGTTGAATATCTTAGATGTTTTAATAATGTAAACCCAAAGTTGTTGAACACCTTATATGTTTTAATGATGTAACCCAAGGTTGCTAAACATCTTAGATGTTTTACTTATAATTTTATTTAAGACTTAAAAAGAATAAAACTTGTTTAAAAATATTTGTTAATTTTTAAAGTTAATTTTAAAAGTTAATCCACTAATTTTAAAGCTAAGTAAGAGGAGAACTCAATTAAATGATTATTGTCAAACTTATTTTTAAATAGTTTAAAAAAAATTATTTTTAAATAGTTAAAGTTTATATTTATGTAATTGTCAATTACATAAATATAAACTTTAACTATTTAAAAACTTCAAAACTTCAAAACTAAAAATATAATAATATTTTTCAAATATATTATAGTGTTGAAAGTATATATATTTTTAAAAAACTGGAAAAAAATTTTTCAAGTTTTTTTTTTCCCCAGAAAATATCTAGAGATTAAAAAAAGTTGTAAAAGAAAAAAAAAATTTTTTTGTAAAAATGTTAAAAAATATTGATCTAGCCAAAATAAAGATAATTATTGTAAAAAAATTATTGTATTTATTGTAATTATTGTATTACATTTATTGTAATTATTGTATTGTATGATAATTATTGTAAAAAAATTTACTTACACTATTGAAAGAATTACGAGAGGAACCACCACATAACTCACAAGCTGGTATCTTCCATAACTGATTTGACAGCTCTTGTTCTAGCTTGTATTGCCTATTAAATATAATAAAATGATTGTTAGAAACTTGCTTTTTTTTTACAAAAACATACAATGTTATAAATATTATAACATACAATATTATAAATATAATATAAAATATTATAAATACAATATAAAATATTATAAATATAATGCAAAATATTATATATATAATATAAAATAGTATATATATATATATATATATATATATATATATATATATATATATATATATATATATATATATATATATATATATATATATATATATATATATATATATATATATATATATATATCTGTCCTTGTATGTATATATATATATATATATATATATATATATATATCCTATATATATATATATATATATATATATATATATATATATATATATATCTGTCCCTGTATGGAACACTGTTGCCATATCTGGGGCAAATCTTCCAATGATGTCCTTTCTTTTGCAAAAAGGTGTAAAAGCCCATTATTAACATTGTTGGATCTGCTCTTGCAGCCAATCTCCAACCATTATCACATCATCGTTATGTTGCTTCTCTTTCTCTTTTCTATCAATACTACAATGGAAACTGGTCTAAAGAGCTAACGCCTCTTGTGCCAACTACTAAAATTCATTCTTGTATTACTCGTCGTTTAATTAAAACTCATCCTTTTACTGTGACTGTTCACAAAGGCTCCAAAAATTCTTATTCGTCTAGTTTTTTTTTCTCAAACATCAGTTTTTTGGAAATAACTTCCTTCATCTTGTTTTCCAATTCATATAATTTGCAATCTTTTAAGTTGTGTATCAATCGTTATCTTGCTCTATAAACTTCATCTTTCCTCTTCCAGTAACTTCCAAATGTAATAGTGGTTGCTTGCAGCCTTGTCGGAAGTGAAAATGTTGAAAAAACGTCTTTTTAGTGAAAAAAATAAATTTACACCGATTCTTGGTCTGTTCAGGTCAAATTAAAACAAGCAACTTCATAAATTGCACAAAATACTTGATTTTCACAAATAGCACCGAGGATTTTGCTCTACTTAGAGTTCAGAAAATAAGCATAGCAGATAAATATTGATATTTTATTTTTCCAATTTTTCTATTTTAAAAATAATTTACATCAAGCAAAGACAGTAGAAAGTAAACATATTTTATAAGGAACTAAGTTCCTTATAAAATTTGTTTGAATTTTTCAACTATCTCATCTACATGACATAGATAGAGCCAAAGCCTTATTATAGATTAAAATTAGCCTTGATTAAAATAAAGTCAAAGGTCAATGTTCTAATTGTTTAAATGTTTTATTTTAAAAATAATTCAACAATTTGTTTTCTTTTTTTTTGACAATTTTATTAAAAAAAACCAAAATATCTTTCTGTTTAACCTAAAATATTTTTAAAAAATGCCCGCAAACCATATCTATATAAATACCAAGCCCTCAAATCCAGGTTGACATTCACCATAAAAACATCATAAAAACCTTCCATATTTTCTATTGACTTGACTTTTTTTTGAACAATGAGGAAATTATTTATCTACAACTAACATGTCAATAACAAGTTCATGTTTACTTTTTATTAATCAATCAACTAGTTAACTTTTATTAATTTGCTTTTTTCAAAGGAATACAGAAAACATACGTGAAAAAATTGTAAAAAGAAATAGCCTCACAAACTTTTTTATTTCTGTTCTACTTTCTTGCCAACCCAACTGTTATTCATAATTATTTTATTAAGTTATTTGTTAGTTTGACAACTTCCTATGCTCAGCCTAGTTAAGGAGAGATCCGAAAAAAACATATAGTGTTTAGGCCCTTTCGTTTTCAAAAAAAGCTGTTTTATTTTGTGAGCGTTTTGATTGGTTTATTTTTTTTTAAATATCACAATGCTCGTTGTTTTATTTTTTTTACTAATATTTGGTGATTTTATTATCTACGAGTTTGAAGTTTTTAGCTTAATACTATGGGGTAGAAGTTATATAAAAACTGAAACGTTTCTTTTTAGTAATTTATTCAAACAACTATAAAGAGATTATGGAAGTAAATTGCTATCAGTGAAAACTAACGTGAATACTTTAATTTTAATGTTTTTACTGTTTATGGAAATATAAAATAAGAGGTTTTTAGTCATTTATTGAATATTTTAATGCTATTAACAATAAGTCTTTTTACTTTCCAATAAAAGACATTTTTGGAATGTAAATATTTAACACATTTGTTTCAGCTGTTTTTATGACACTGCCCCGTCGCATTTGTTTGAGCTGTTTTTATGACACTGCCCCTTCGCATTTGTTTCAGCTGTTTTTATGACGCTGCCCCGTCGCATTTGTTTCAGCTGTTTTTATGACGCTGCCCCGCCGCATTTGTTTCAGCTGTTTTTATGACGCTGCCCCGTCGCATTTTAAGTATTTTAGTGTTAGTTTTGTTTTGCTTGATGCTTTGATTTAAAAAAATTTATAAAAAAATAATAAATTATATAAGAAAAGCTTAAATTCTACTTTTTAAAAATATATAACAGTAATGGTCGAAAATTTTTTTAAGAAATGCAAATCGTTCGGATCTCTCCTTGACTACGCTGATTGGTTGGAAACCAGTTTAGTCACATTTAAAGAAAAAAACCAATTAGAATTAAAAAAACAAACAGTTAAAAAACAATTTAAGTTTTTTTTTAATATTCCTACCTAAAATTAAATATAAAAATGAGTCAAAAAGCAGTAAGCGAAGCAACAAAGTGGCAAATAATAGGTATGAAGGATGGTTCAATGATCAATAATAGAGAAATATTCAGAGAATCGTGTCAGATATACTTTAAAAACTTTTAAAACAATAAGTGGCATTCAACATCAGGATCATGAAGGTTAAAAAAAACTAATGAGAACAAAAAGTCATCAAGGCACTCAACAAACATGAAAAAACTTGAACTCATCAACTCATTCAACGAAAACCATCAAAAAAGTATTTTGTCAAATACAGCTAGAAAAACTTGACTAAGGAATGTTTTAGTAAGAGTTAAAGTTATTGTGAACGCATTCAACAAAAACTGAGAAAAAACTTATTTCATCAAATACAGTTAGAAACAATTTACCAAGAAAAAAATTAGTATCTATACAGGTGTTAGAAATAAATGTTGACGGTCAGAGAACGGCTCACAATATTAAGGTGGTGTAAGGAGTGAATTGGGTGGTCTTTGGAGAAGTGGAAGCAAGTAAATTTTAGTGGTGAAAGTAATTTTGAAGTAATAAATAGAAAAAGTAATGTTCTTGTTAAAAAAATTAAATCGCAAAAGTATAGTAATTGCTTTGTACTGAGGTTGCAAAGTGGCAGTGGGAGTGTTGGTATTTGGGGTTGCTTTATTTTTAATGGAGTAGGAATGTGTAACATTTACACAGGTCAAATCAACCAACATACATATATAGAGACGCTAGAGAACTGCATGGTTTCATCAGTGGATATGCTGATTGATTGAAACAAATAGTGGCAATATCAACAAGATTTGGTCCCTGTCCACACAGCTTGTACAATAAAAGCATAAACGAAAGAAAATAAAGTAAATTTATTGTCCTGGGAAGTTTGATCACCAGATTTAAATCTAATCGAATCTACTTATGTTTGGATCAACAAAGAATTAGTCAAGGGGCAAATACAATCCATAAAAAGCATAATGCAAAAATTAGATACCATTTGGAGAAGAATTCCAAATGTAACTTGCAACAATATTATGTAAAATCGATGCAAAAAAGATGAGCTGCTAGCAAAAATGTTTTCAGCAACAAATATTTACTGGCATTTTTTTTAATAGCACTTTTAATTGCTTTTTTTCTTGAAACTATTGGTGTGATTATTATAATGTTATTAAATTTTAAATTTTGTTTTTTATAACTGTTTATTTACATTTTTCACAATATTTCAGTATATCATAATTGAGTATTTTCATTTTTTAATACAAGAGATAAATGTCTTAGATGCATTATTTTTAATAATATTTTTGGCTCCCAATTGACCATTCCCATTGACCATTCCCATTGACCTGTTTACATTCAAGAAATTATTAAAATGATATTTATCTTGATTAAATACAAGAGCACAACTTGATTATTTGCAAAGATAAGTGCAAAGATGCCAGATCTCAAGACAATTCCCAAACAAAACAAAGCAAATTCACGATGGAACACTACTTTTGGAGCATCAATCAAGATGACTCAATTGTGAAGAAGCTTGTCAAGATAAAAAGTTTCTTTCCAATTGAGTCATCTTGTAAGTCAGTGTAATTTAATTGAGTTTTTATGTGTAATTTTTATGAGTAAATAATAATTTGCAACCCTTTTCAAAACTAAAGTTTTTCTTAATTTCATAAATCTATAAAAAGTTTGAAAACTTCATATGATAATAGTATAGCTGTAATATCATTAAAAAAAATTTATAATATTTTTATTTATATTTAAAATTATTTTAAAGATCATTTACTGACATTTACTTTTATCTGTTTTCTGTTTTTGTGTGTAAAAAACAAAACCTTTTAAAACATATCCAAGCATTTTTAAATGAGTTTCAAATCTACTTTTCAAAATCTACTAGAAAAAAATGTCTTTACCTAATTTCCACAAAATAAAATTAAAAAATTACTGCAAAAAATCTGTAGCTTGCCAAAAAAATCTGATATTAAATTTGAACTAAGCATATCAAAATGATATATAAACTATTGATAAAATAATGCATTATTTTTTTATAATAATGCAGATATTTTTTTGACCTGTTTAATCTGTGTAATCAAGTTATTGCTAATTTTTACCTGTACATAACTAATGGAACAATGATAAGAATAATTCCAACAAAAGTCATTGCTATTGTTATACCAAGCAATAATCTCTCTGAAAAAAAAAATTTTCAAAAATTTTATTGTTTACAAAATATTTAAAAAAACAAATCAAAATGTATATAAAAATAAGTAGTAAGTGAAATATAAACTATTTTATATATCACAGGTCGTTAAAACATTAAAGTCCTTAAAATTATCCATTACAAGTACTTTTAAAATTTAAATGTACAGCAGTGACACATTAAAATATTTATGTCGAACAAAACATTTTTATTCATGACAACAATTGCTATGGCATATAATAAAAACTATTTTTCATGTTTAGAAGATTAAAACACAATAAAATTTAGTGGAGTCAAAAAAGATTTGATTGAAAATTACTACAAAATCCTTAAATAAAGATAAAAATCAAAATATGCATAATATATTACTAATAATTAAAAGTGAGTAAATCTGGAGGGTTATATCAAACTATATTTAAAACAAAAGTTTTAAATAAAATATGTAATAAAACATGCATATAATAATAAAAACCACATAATGTAAAATATATTTTTTAAATATGTATCTATGTAGATATATTTAGCATACTTTTAATTTTTCTATTTGAAACTTAATTAATGGCAGAAAATAAAAAATAAGGTTTTCTAGTTTGTTAGTTTTTCAAGTTTTTTTAGTTAGATTTTTAAAAACGTTAAATTACTTAATAATCAATTAATTTTCATAAAAATGTCATGACAAAAAATATTAGTATGCCTTTATATCCATTACTATAAAATCTTAGTTAGGTTTTTCTAAAAACTTACTTTTTATTTTTTGATATAATATGTTCAAAAAGTATAAAAACCTTTTTTCTTTTTATCTGTACAAAATATAAAAACCTTTTTCTTTTTGAGATCGATCAATGCATTTACTACCATCAAAACCACAAACTGGTTCATCTAATACATCTTCTAATTTTTTATTACCAGGCCAGTAAATACTTGATGCCTGAGTAGGTTTATATTGTAACTGCAGTTCACTAACTACTGTCTCATTAACCTTTTTAGATCCATTAACACGAACTGAATCCATGACAGCTATAACTTCCATTTTGGGGAGATCCAAACCACAAACTTTACCTAATAATATAGAAATTTAAAACAAACAAATATAACTTCATATATACTAAAAATAAAAATAAAAACTTTGCTTTATTAATTTTTTTAATTTCATATTTATAGTTATATTGCATGTTGCTGAATGTTTTACAACACAATGTAAAAATATAATCAAAATGTATTAGAATTTATTTAAAAGTAATTTGTACAAGTGTGATAATTATGTGTTTATATAAATAACTGTATTTCTTGACCTCTTGAGTTTAAAAGTATATAATAAAGCTATGTTTGCAAAGTGGTGCATATTTTCAATGTGGTGCTTGTTTGCAAGGTGTTGCATATTTACAAGGTGGTGCATATTTGTGGAGTGGTGCAAGTTTAAAATTTTAAGTATCACTCTATATTACTATACAGCTCTACTGGTCACCTGTATTAATCTTCAACTTCAAGAAACCATGATGATGCAAGTTTTAATTCTAATGGATAACTTTAATCAAAGTCAATTAAATCTCCTTAAAATAATTCAAAAACTATTAGAGTTTGTTAAGATTATGTCAACAAATCATTATATTTATTATTAATTTTTAAAAACTATCGAAACTGTAAAATAATTTAAGAAAGCCATCCCCAAATTAGAATAGGTATATTAATTTTAAAAAATATAAGACAACTAATAACCATATGTACTTGCTTTTAAGGCATTTTTAAAGCCATTTTTCCTAAAATTTTATAAAATTAAGATCATTTTGTTTTTGTAACATGTGTTTTTGTAACATGTGTTACTTTGAGCTTTTACTGTCTAAAATAATAAAGGGACCTCAGTCATAATGAGATAAAGGAAATGTTTATTTTGCCCCTGCTTTTTTTTCTTTTTCAACATTGCATTTATTGTTATTTAGATTTGTAAATATATAATATTAGGTTTAGCCTACTCATTTTTAGTAAATATTTTAATAGATCTATATTGTTACAATACTTTTATTTTAGATAAAAAAAAATGTTTAGGCCAATAAATTATTAATTTATTAGTCTACCTAATGCATTATAGAAAATATATTAATTACTAATCAACTTTGACATTTTTATTTGCATTTTCTTGAATATTTTTTTTAATAGTAGTTTACGTTTATAATTTTTTGTTTAGACCATTTGTTGAAAAACTTTCTGTGACAGCAGAAATGGAGAAAGACAAAGAATGGAAGATTCGACCTTGGCTTGAAGGACTAAGATAAAACTTTCTTCATACAATAGCTCCAGAAGAAAATAACTTTATTGATGAAATCATTATTGCTTTCACGGGACACTTTTCTAAAATGAGGCAGTATATTAAAGGAAAACCAAATCTGATGTCTGCAAAGACCAAGTTGGATATTTTCCTGTTAAGGGCAACAAGATAGGAAGATGTACTGTATGTAAGAAAAACCTAACAGATACTGAATGTATAAAGTATGGTGTGAAATTATGTTTCACTACTGAAAGAAACTGTTTTTATGATTATCACAATTAAAATAGCCTGGGACTTTTTATTATTTTTTATTTAATTTTTTTTCATTTCATATATTCAAAATTGCTAGTTATTTTGAATTATTTCAATATTCAAATATATTGATATTATTAAAGATATTAAATATTACATTAAATATTTAATGGTTGTGTATTAAAAAATTCATAAATAAGTCTTGTAATAATTGTTATTATAAACCCTATTTATGAATTTATAAATAAAAAGAAAACCTAAAGTAGCAAATGTTACATATACTTTACAAAACAGTTTTATAGTCTATTAAGCACAAAGTAACATATATGCTATATGTTAATAAACATGTTTCAAAATATTTTTTCCCTAAAAGGTTTATATATACCTTCATTTTAGCCATAATTTGATACAATTATGTGGTATAATACTTTTTTAAAAGTTTATTTTATGGTCTGTGCTCTAGAGGATTTCGAACAAAATAATATGTACTTTGAAATTCCTAGGTTAGAGGTTCCTAAAAAATAAAATCTGTTTAACTTTCATGAGTATTTTTGTTGATGAAAAATATAAATTTGGAAAAAATTGCTTTTGCAAAAGTATTTTTATAAAATATAATTTGAATTTCTCTTCAGGCTTCTCTGTTCTTACTTATTCAGATTTGCACTTAGGCAATTTTTTGCACTTTTTTTAAAACTAAAAATTTTTGTGAACAAATATAAAATAATTCTAACAAATATTTGATTAAATGAAATAAGAGATTTAAAAATAAATTAAAAAGTATATTAATATTTATATTTTAAAAGAAATACTATTTTCTAGAAAAATATAAGTTACCATGGCTGCTTGCATTCATTGACAAATGACAATCACAAGCTTCTTTATTTGCTGTAAAAAAAAAAAAAAATAATAATAATAAAAAAAAAAACAATTAACTCATAAATAAAACAAAAATATTAAAACTAAAAAACTTACATTTTAATCCGTAATGATATAACTGAAATGGAAATTGAACTTCTCCATTATTGTCAAAGAACAATGAGTAACCATGACTACCTAAACAAACAGATATAAAAATATTTTACATCTAGCTTAAAATTAAAACTTTTATTTTAAACTTCTAAATCATTAATTTTTTTGAAAAAAAAAGTTTTTAACACTTGTTAGCCAGAAAAAATTTTTTATCATTCTTTTTAATATGAACACAACATGTCTCGGAGGTTTGGGATCCCTTTAAAAATTGCTTATATTCTTAAAAAAGTATATGTATGTAATGGTGTTAACCTTGAAATCATGAATTTACGGTGATAACTTTAAAATCATAAAAAGTTATCAGTGAATTAAATGAATTCATTAATATTTGTAAAAAAATGATTTCATTTTTTTACAAATGTTGTTTGTAAAAAAATGAAATCATTTTTTTTACAAACAACATTTGAAAATAGAACTTGACTTTTAATTTGCAAAAACTAAATGAGTTTTATATAATAAAATAACAGTGGACTGTAAAAAGTCTCATTTTTAACCAGGGCAAGGAGGCATTAAAAATATTTTTGTTACATTTCAAAAGTCTGAGTTTTCTAAAAGAAAATTATTTAAGCCAAAGTAGAGCTTAATGCAGTTCTTATGAAAGTGCTTATGTTTTTATTTTTTGACTAGAAAAACACCACTATATATTAAATTATTTTGCAATACTCACTGATACAGTACCACAATGCATTCTTCGGCCATGAATATGCCAGTTTTATTTTCAATTCTTTCAACTTTTATTTTGTTTTTATTCAAATAATTTTTAATTAAATTATAAGGGAGTTTTATTTTCAAATAACTTTTATTCCAGTTAACAAGATATATAATTATTAGATATATCAAAAATGCATATTGAATTTTATCAATTTTTTATTAATTCAAAACAACTTTTTATGCATTTTGCAAAGCACGCACAAGTTAATGATAACTAATATGCAATAACATTATGACTGTAAACTGTTATCCATTAATACAAAATAGTAAATTATTCTCATTTTAGTTTGCTAAATTTATTTACTTATAAAAAAATGCATTAACTTGAATTTAAACAAAAGGAAACTAAAAATAAAAGTTGTTTTGACATTCCTTTTTTAAAACATTTTAAAATAATAACATAATATTAAGTATTTAATAAGTTATTATATTAAGTTATTATTAAATGATATTATATTTATAATAATATTAAATATTTAATAATAAAATATCATGTTATTGGTGTTGTTAAACGCACAGTAAAGAAATTGCAAATGCATTAATTTTAACTAAAATTTTCGATGCTTTTGTAAATGAATGTAAAAACCATGCTAAATCACAATTATTTTCTTCAGCTGCATACTTAATTATTAAACTTAAAAGTAACGCTATTGAAGAAAGTATTAGCATGGTTTCTTCTAAAGTCATTGAAAATGCGTTTTAAATTTGCTGAAAAAAATTGCTGAAGTCATGCGTTCGATTTTAAGAATTTTAAGCTAACACCAAGGTTTACTTAAGTAAAAGTAAGGAAATGTGAAGTTCATTTTTCTGTCTTTTTTTTTAACAAACGTTCACATGTTTGCTGATTTGTTGCGACCTGATATAACTGACACTAAAAAAAAACATACTATTAAAAACTCTGTTTTGCATATTTTCTAAAATTGCAGTCCCATTCAAGAAACTTTTTCCTTTACTTAGAGTCGAGTTTACAGCCATTGCATAAAACTTGATTGCATCATAAAGATTTTGAGAATGTTGAGGTGGCTAAACAAGAAAATGCTAAAGCAATTGAATTATGATAAACATTAAATCATATAACAATGTAGTACCAAACAAACTTCAAAATACTTAAAAAACTTACAAAGTTTTATAAAAATAGAAACACTTACAGTTGATTTTGATTTAGCATAATTAGTATATGGAATAAATCCTTCATAAGTGGTAGAATTAAACCATGTTTTCATTCCTGCTTTTGTTCGGTTATTAAAATCTTCTATGCTTTTTTCAAGGTCAACTGAGGCTGTTAAAAATTTTGTCATTAAAAGCAATGTAGACTCCCAGCCTTGACAAAGGAGCTTACTCCGGTTTGCAAATAACTCATAATTAATTTTTAACGTTTTGTTATCATCATCATTGAAGTATGCTATAAAAAAAATGGATAAAAATGAGATGTACTTTGTATTATATAGAGTTATTCCATATATACTAATTCTATTTCAAACTTTATTGAAATGATGTTCAAGTAAAAGTTTTTTAGACAATGAATAATAATTTCTTTAAAAAATTGAAAAATAATTTAAAAAATTTATATAAAGCTCTTTATATGTGATTAAGGATCACAAAGATCATCCTATTACATGCATGAAACGCAGATCATCGCTAACTGTTGCATATTTCATTCACTATATTTTAAGTTTTAAATTTTTCCAATTTGAAACCAAAAAAAATAAATTGCAAACGTCTATCATAAATAAAAGTAAAATTTTAATAAATAATAAAATTTATCAAAATAATAAACAAATTCTTTGATATAATAAAAAACAATAAAAAAAGATTAATTAAACTTTTAAATAAAAACTTTTTATCCAAAACAAACGTACTAAAGTCCGTAGTAACCCATTTGAAAGGTGTTTTTTGTCTTCCTTGGGCAACAAGCATATCTAGCTCAAATGTAATAAACACATAATCTCCGTTAATGAGATTTAGCTCTGCTGCAGCAATAAGACACTCTTTCACCACTTTCATGGTCATTAAAAGCAGAATGACTATAATAAATGAGACTTGAAAAAATTAAAAAAAAAAAAAGAAAAATAAATAGAAATTAAAAATAACGCCTAACTTTGAAATATAACATTAAATATAACAAAAAACGTTGTACTTCTAGATTTGTTGCTTAAAGTCTTTAAGTCCTCTTTGACTAGGTCAAAATGTTTTTCCAATGAATAATATGTTGAAGCAGGAATATTTTTACTTAGTAAGATTCTTTGAGAAAACTTTTTTTGTATATCTTCAAACGCACGCTTATATACATCTTGATTCTCCACATACACACTAAATTTTTCCCATTTGTAATATCGCAAAAGTTCATAAATAGCTGGTGTGAGATGACGCCCATTAGGTTCAGTTCGAGCAAATGTAGGATATTCTTCTTTATTGGATAATTCTGGCTCCAAACACATCTATATAAAAACTTTTATTAGCTATTTAAACCACTTCAGAAATAAAATCAGTGAAACTAAAAAATATATATAGAAATTAGTTGAAATTACAAATATATATTTTATTAAATATATTTTGAACAAAACATAAGTATTATGGTGTTTATCCTGTCAACTAGCAGCTTGTTTATATGCAAAAAAAAATTATGCAAAAAGGAGTTATTATATCGATGGTTTCTTTTTTGTTACAAATAGTCCTTTTTAATAATTTTATTCTACATATCATTTTTAAATATGCTTGTAAAAAAGCTATAAAAAATATAAAACTTTGTAAAAAAAAAGTAAAAGCAAAAAAAATTATAATTAAATTTAAAAATTATTTTTTTTAAATTTAATTATAATTTTAAATTTAAGAATTATTTAAAAGTAAATTATTAAACTTAACAGTAACATAACATAATTGCCAACTTAAACCCTTTGACTCAAAACAACTGCTAAATTATAAAATAAAACTTTTTCAGAGCTTAAAAAAACAATTTTTATAACAGAATAATTTTAAACATAGTTTAGTTTTAAATTTTAGTTTAGTTAAAAACTAACAGTTTTAAACTAAACTAATTTTAAACTAAATTTTGCAATAGCTATCACAATAACAATTTTGTAAATTTAAAAATGTTAAAATTAAAAATTAAATTGTTTATGATTTAATTTATTTTGAAACAGACCTGTCAATCTTTAGTTTACTGAACTATTAAACTAAATTTTTTGCTTTTTAGTATAAAAAAGATATTTTTTAGCAAATGTTTTTGTTTTCTACTTTTTAGTCTTTACAATGAGTTGCAGTATTTAACAATGCAAATTATTGTTATTGTTATGTAGCATTGTTATGTTTATGTCTCAATATTATTATCAAAAAATGTTCAGACTACAAAAAATAAGAGGAAGAATTGTTATTAAGTTCCCTAGTAACAAGCAACGTTGGTGCAATATTGGTACAATATTTATCTCAATGTTGGCTAAATGTTGCTAATAATATTGCACTAATATAAAATGCCCACATTTTGATATATATATAGCAAATATTTATTTACAATACTGGCTATATATAAACTGCAATATAATGGCAACATATTTTTTTTATCATAATCGATGAAAAAACATTAAAATAAAAAAAATTTAAACCAGGACACCCTGAGGAGGAATTGAATTGAACCATGTGAGCCGTGCCTAAAAATTAGCTATCTATTACATCCACAGGACTACGCTACTATATCAATGAGGAAAAAAATTTAAGAATTTTAAAATTTTTTTGCGTACAAATAAGGTTTTTATAATTTAAACATTGTTTGTACAAGTGTAAAATAATGTGAGCAACAATTGAGAACATTATTTGTACAACCATACAAATAACGACCTCCTAGAAATAAAATAATAAAATCTACAAAAAATAATCTTCTTGAGGAGGACTTGAATTTAAGCACTATAATCTGCGCCTCAAAAGAATAACTTTATTACATACACAGCACTACACAAATATATTGATGACATAACAAAATAAAATCAAATTTGTGGACAAGTTACTTGATGAAAAGTTAAAAGAGCCTTTTGAGAAAAAAACATTTTTCTTTACTATATTCTTTAAATGATCAGCAAAAAAAATGTTTATCAACTTTATTTATACTTTCACAAACTAAATTCTTAAATTATCTGATTTAAAGTGTTAAACTTTAAGAAAATTTAAAAAAAAAATTTTGAAAAAAATTTTTGAATTTCGAAAATGCGTTTAAAATAGTTTATGATTTTTTCTAAATAGACAAACAATATGCTAGTTTAATTTGCTTCTTTGAAGAATATTAAATATGATGTAAACTCATCTACTATTTTTTTTTACCTAATTATTACAGAATACTCTAATTTAAATAGTGGTAAAAACCAACTAAGCCTTTGGTTTTTGTTTTTTTTTCTATAATGTTTTTTTCTAACATACTATTTATATTTATATATAATTTGTAATATTTATATATATAAATTATAATTATATATATATAATTATTGTTAATATATTATATTTATATATATTTATTATTATATAATAATAATTATTTGTATATTATATTTATATTTAATTTATTATTTTCTATAATATATTTAAAAATATATATTTTATACAGATATTAAGTGAAAATCTGATTTTATGTAACATAAGTAATTTTTATATTAGCGTTTTATAAAACGATTATCTTCTTAGTATTTGTTTAAATAGTATCTGCACCCAAAAGCAGTTTTTAAAATGATTTTAATGAGCAAAGATATAAAAACAGGGCTCAATTTAATTTTTAATAAACTGCCAGACAAAATGTCCGATCAAAACTTGTTTGGGTTGGACAGTGTCCGATCAAATTTTTAAAATATAATTTTTATGGTTTTATGAAACCGAGTTATGCAATCAAAGTCTTTGTCATGTTATTCAGTTTATTTAACGTTAGTCTAGAGAAGTTGTAGTTTCTATCCTTATTATTTAGCATAATTCATCGTAGATTTTTGTTTTTTAATAAAATAGTTTCAATTAAATATTGTACCTTTTTTTATATTGACATAAAATTTCAAGCTGTAACTGACAACGCTTATAATTTTTTTCTTAACAATTTGACAACAGCTGTTCTGATGTTTTTACATAGTGATTGACCAGAAATAATATTCTGCTGGAACTGGAACCGAACTGAAAATCGATTTTTATTATTTATTACCAGAACCGGAACAGAAAATAAACCCTAACTGGAACAAGAACCGAAACCGGAACCAAAAATCAATAATATATATTGTTTTTTAAAGTTAGTTTTAATTTAAGCAAAATATTAAATTAATAAAAATAAATAATAACAGATTCCAACAACTAGAAGATTTTCTCGACAAAATAGAAGTTTTCCAAATTTGCTAGTCAAATTCTGTTTCTTTTGTTTGGAAGAATATCTCCAGCTGTAGAAAACAGTCTTTCAACATCTGTTGATGTTGGATGTTAGTGTGAGGTACTTTTTTGCCACCTTAGTCAACGCTATTTTGATTTTGAGATTTGCATTTTTTTTCATAGTTTTTCCAAAACTCAAGACATTGCGAAGTTATTTGACTAAAAAATTCTTTTATCATTTTGGAAGATGAACGTACATTTGGTTCTATTTGAGTTTAAAATTGCGCAATAATTTTTGATATTACATGAACAAACGATGCGCTTTTTTCATTGTCACTAAATAAAATTTGAGAGACAGGAGCCAATTCATCTAGAGGCTCAAAATTGTCCATTCAGGACATGACAACGTGTTTAGCTTTTGGCAAAGCACCTTGAGATCTGAAAAAATACCATTTGTATTTTGGATCAATTAGAGTAGTAACTAAATAATGTTCTGTGTTTTAAATTGTTGAAAAATGTTTTTCCATTGCATTTTTCATAGCAATTTTCAATTTTCAACACTGATAACGCTAGAGGTTGTTTTCAAAGTTTTAATTAACTCTAACTAACTTTGATCGAACACTTTGTAGATCATATAAAGTTAGGATAAAAAATGAATTTTTTTAATTAATTGTAATATTTAATATATATATATACATATATATATATATATATATATATATATATATATATATATATATATATATATATATATATATATATATATATATATATATATTTATATATATTTATATATATATATATATATATATATATATATATATATATATATATATATATATATATATATATATATATATATATAAAAGTTATACTCATAACAACAATATTATCTTTCAAAAACAATAAAAAAAATTTACAAGATATGAATATTAATTTAAACAAGAAAATTATTTTGTTTTCAGACAAAACATGATCTTATTTCTGTTAATTTTCAAGCTTATCATTTAATTTAAAAAACCTTTTTTTGAATTATTTTATCAAAATGATAATGCTTAATAAAGCATTAAGATATCCATTTTCGGTAGCATTTTGAACCAAAATTCAGGCCAGAACCGAAATCTTTAATGATACCTGAACCGGAACAGGAACCGAAAAATCTTGTCAGAGTTGTTGCCGGAACCAGAACCAGACCGAATTTCGGTGGATCATTATTTTTACAATTTATAAGCAATTAAAAAAACTGTTACGTTACGAATAATTTTTAATCATTGATCTATTTTTAAAAATTTATTTCACACGAAGGCTTTAAATCAAATCAAATCAAAAATCTGGTTTTGCATGCTAATTATTTGTTTTATCTGGTTTTGATCAGAAATTTATTTCTAACTGGTTTTCAAAAAAGCTTTATGACTAGTGACGATTTTAAAAAATCAAAATAATTGTACAAAGCGCCTCTCTGCCTTAAAAAATAAGTAATTTTAATGTTTGATACTTTTATAGGATTGATGAAGTTAAAACTCAATTGCAATTGTTTAAATATGGCTTTTGTGATTTTAGTGAATTTTTATGTATATGATTTTTTTCTTAAAAAACGTCCTCCATTTTTATAAAACATTTTTAAAAAAGAATGTTGATTAGATAAAAAATTTTCATCAACAATAGTTTTTTTTATCTGGTTTTGCATGGACATAATAATTTAAAGCAGGTAAAATTTCCATGTCGTTCTAAAAATCTTTTAAAAGATTATTTTTTTAAGTTACTTTAAATTATGAGTAAGTTAAATTGAATCTTCGCATGATTTAATTGCTTTATTATTATTTTTTATTATTTACATTTTTTTGTTACTATTTTTACAAAAAATTGTTCAAAAAATTTGTTTTTTGAAACTTGACTTACTAATTAAATCATGAAATGTTTAAAAATTACAAAATTAAATTAACGTTAAAACGTTAAATTAACGTTAACGATAAAAAACTAACGTTATTTTTTTAGACAATCTTTTTTGCAACTTTATGAACTTTTTGTTTATACAAATTAAAAATACTAAATTTTTTTTTTCAATAATAAAAAAATTTATTAAACATTCATTTATTAAACAATCAATAGAAGTAATTAGTAAAAGCATTTTGCATAACTTTTATTAAACGTTTTACAAGTTTTAAAGTAATTTTTTTCAAATGCAATAAGAAACGTAACAAAAAGTAATTTCTATTTCGAGTTTTTTTAGTTTCATTTTAAAGCTAATTTATTTACTTTTTTGTTAGGAATTGTTTTGCTTATTTTTTAGTCTTTTCAATTTTTTTCCAAGTTAAAGTTTAGGTTAACGTTTCTTTTTTAAGCGCATTTCTGAAACGCTTAATTCATCAAAACATTTAAAACAGTGGTGGTCAATTAACCAAAAAAAATCATTTGCGTGGTCAGCAAAAGCATTCAATCACACGCCATTTATCTCTAAACTTTTTTTTTTATACTTTATATCTTTTTATTTATTTTTCTTCTGGTTTTTGCCCCCTTTTGCAAAATCATTGCCACGAATAAATTATTTTTAAATGAGTTATTATCAAATAATTATTTTTAAATGAGATTTATCAATAATGCATTTGTCCTTTTTTTTTTCTTCTATAAATTAAAATTAAGGAATCAGGCAAAACATCTATTAGAAAATACATTTTAAGTTGAAACTTTTTTTAATGTAACATAAGTAATTGTTATAGTAGCATTTCACAAAACAATTTTTTTAGTATTAAGTATTCAGTTTATATTTTTTGAATATTTTATAAAAATTATTTTGATATTAAAAAAAAAAAAAATTAATTAAATTGCTTGGATGTTATCAAAGTTCTTTTTTTAATTAAATAAAAATCTCTGGGCACATAAGAGTTATTTTAAACTACTAATGTCAGTCAATCATTTGAATATTAGTTATTTGCATTTCAATTTTAAGAAAATGTATTTTATTTAAAACTATTGCTTTAAAAGGAATTTTTTAAGCATTAAGTAATTTTTGTAAAGTTCAATCATAAAGAACTATTACTAAGTCAAATATTTAAACAAATAAAAAATAAAAACTTTGACCTTCCAAAAAAAAACAGTTGAACGTCAATTCTATGTGTGATAATGCCCATTAAATTGACAGCTCGTGTGATTGTGATGAACGTCAGTTGATGAACGTCAGTGATGAATGTCAGTGATGAACATCAGTGATGAACGTCAGTGATGAACGTCAATTCTACGTGTGATAATGGCCATTAAATTGACAGCCCCAATTATGCCCATTCAATTGACGGCTTGCCTTTGATTTCTTATTTTTCACGCTGTCATAAATGATTCATTTCCAGAATAATGGAGATTTTCTCAGAGTATCCCCCAGTAGCTGGCATGAAAATATACATTTAAAGGAAGTCACTATAAGGCATTAATAATGTAGCGGAATAAGGAGCAAAATTAATTACAAACTTTAATAGCATTCTCACCAAAAATGAGCAGAAACAATATGTTTTACAAGTAATACACAAATACTGAAAACTATATCATGATGTTAAATAATTAATTTTATACTCTGAAAAATAATAATTTTAACAACATAAATTCCTTAATAGAGGTTCCTTTTCATGTTTTTGATGAAATATGCTGTTACGTGTTCATTTTAGCATATTTGTTTCTCCGATTGCACAAGTTAAATTTTTTGATAATGCTATTTCTTTAATATTAAAAATCTTTTCTTCATTCATGCAACACACTCCTTTAAATTTTCCAATTTTAATCTCTACTCATTTCTACCCAATCATCTGCATCTTAGCAGTCTTCCATAAATTACGTCACGCAATTTTTAACATTTTTTTGCCCCTCCCCCTCTCTTGTAATGGATTGTAATATTTTATTGACAACAATTTTTTCAACCCCCCCTCCCCCCTAAAAAAAATTTTTTTAAACAATTTTAAATATGATAATGCCTATAATTTTCTTAGCTTCTTTGAGTTAGTACTTTTCAGTCTGTTTAATGTTTTTTTTCCACCCCAATAGTTCCGTGTAAAATTGTATAAACTAACATCGCTATCCTAAACATGATCCCAATTTTAAATAGCTATTCTTCAAATATATATACGAAGGTTTGATTGATGTTTTTTTGGTTTGATTGATGATTGTTATATAAAGGTTGACAAATTTATAGACCTGATTGATGATTAGGTATCAGAAGAAAGGAATGAATTGAGTAGATGATAATGTTTTGATGATTTGAATTGAGTAGATGATAATTGTTTTATTTGTTGCTGCACACTTTTGTGCAGCAACAAATAAAACAAATAAAGCTCTACACTTGGATCATATGAAGTCAAAGCACAGAATGTGCACTACACATAGACTGTTACAGCTGTAGGAGCAACAGGTTGCTGTAACAGTCCATTAACAGGCTGTAACTAATCCGTTAACAGAGTGTACACATCAAATAAGTTTTATAGTGTAGTTGATTTTACAATCAACATGTAGATACACTAACTGAGGGTTGTGGTTTGGTCAGATTTAAATTTAAAAAAAAATGTTGTCACAAATTCGAACACCCCCTCCCCCTCTTAACAAATCATCACAAAATTGTCTACCCCTCCCCCAAAGCATGACATAATTTATGGACATCCCTTTATGCTCATAACCATAATACCTAAATTCTTCCTGATATGCTCTATCAAATACACTTACTACTCCCATTAAATCAGAGATTTTCAACCACCTGATTATCATCTACTCAATTCATTCCTTTCTTCTGATACCTAATCATCAATCAGGACTATAAATTTGTCAACCTTCTTATAACAATCATCAATCAAACCAAAAAAACATCAATCAAACCTTCTTATAACTTACTCTTATAACTTGAATTTAAAAAAAAAATCAAATATTATCATGTGCAATATAACCAAATGGATATATCTGAAAATTAACCAAATTTAAAAATAACTTTGCTTGTTACAAGGCAATTAAGATTAGACTTATCTGTTTATAAAGTTGAAATAATACTTTAAAAAAAAATAGTAAGCAATATTTATAATAGCAGCACTCAGAATTAGGTTTGGCATTCTGCAATACTAACCTAACTGCCAAACTGACAGTGTCTGACAGCAATTTTTTTGCTGACCTCAGAATTATAAAACATAATTTTATTTACAATTTCAAATGAATGAAAAATAGCAAAATGAATGCTTTTGCTGTTTAAACTTTAAAGTAAATAATTTAAATGAAAGCAACAAAATGAACATTTTAT